TTTATCGTTGCTTATAGATAGCAATTAAATAACGCGTATCCTACCTTTCCAATTTCCTACCTAAAACAGTGGCGTTATAACCGTTACCATTATCAGCTAGCTCTTTTTAATATTAGGTATATTCCAACAAAATAATCGATTTAGTTCAAATAACCGGATGTGCCGTCATAAATCCCGCAGTGTTTCGTTACCTATATAATATTATAGTTTTATCATTTTTCGCATGGCTAGAGAAAAGTTCGAAAATATCCTCTTTAAAGTACCTTATATATATACATATAATAATAATAAATTCAATTTCTTCTTGTTTATATATATACATATTTATTTATTATATTGTTTGAACAACAGAAGAACAATTTTGAAAACAAATTTATACTTATTGCGTCGAAAAAAAAAAAAATCCCCGTCATTTTGAAAACGCAATAATAGAACAATATCTGCAGTAGCAGCAGCAGCAGCAGCATCTCGCTAACCGTTTGGAAACTAAAACCCTGAATCAAAAAATACATCTGAAGATCGAAGTATTTTTAATAATACGACTGGGAGCTATTATGTATTATTATACTCGAATCGCGATCTTTTTTGGCCAATTATTTCTCCCGGTATCGAATTTATTATTGCAGTATACACCAAAAGGATAATACGGTATTTATATATTATTGTAAAAACTATAAAGAGAAACTATTACGATAAAAAATAAAACCACTATGTATTTGTGTTTGAATTCGTATTGCCGAATAAAATATAAAACAGAGGTTCGGTTCAAAATGGGCCAATCTCACTTTTAATCAATTTTGGGCAATTAAGAATAAAACACATTTTTGGAGCTTTTTGATATTGCAATAGTGATTTTTCTAACAACCTTAGTCTCATCAAATCTTACAATAATGATTATTGTGATACGCCCTTTTACCGCTAAAAAAAAGCATGTACAATTTTATAACTTATAGGCCTTATAACTGATTTTCAAGTGACATTGGCTCTTTTTGACCCAAGCTCCAGATAAGTTCGCATGGAAATAGCACTTTATGTACAAACGAGAAACATGCACATCGCATTCAACGAGCGTCCAAGAAGTGTTCTTAGCTTCGGTGCGTATAATTTTTATCATTACTCATATTGCTTTTGTATTGCTTTGTAAATAAATTAAATATAAGAATAAAAATCGCATATAGGTTTTCGAAAAAATTTAAAAATATGTTCATACATTTTTAATACAAGGATTTTTATTTTGTCACTTTTAAACCTCGTAAATTAATAAGAGGAATGTCACACACGCATGTGCTGTCTGCGTCTTATCACGCACGGCATGGCAAAATCACGTTACTTAAAAATATACAAAATACATAAATAAATATGCGAACAACAAAATTTAATTAGAACTTGTCTATTTGTAATATTCTCCTCCTTGCATTTTTTTTTTTTTTTATTTGTTTACGAATTCTAATTATTTCAACATGAACTCCAATATTTGTTTGAAGTAACGTAATTTTGTTATGTTGCCCGTTGGTCGGACTGAGGCATTACATGCGGGTAAAATCATGCGGGATGTCTTCCTAATTGGATTTTGTCTGGTAAAAATATTTCAAGTTTTTATTATGATATAACCATACATAACAGTTCGAAATCGTCAATTCTTCCAAGTTTCATTTACGCGTAATTCACTTGCTGACAATTTGTTACCTGTTTAAGTAAATCTTTTATTATAAAAAAATAATCCAAGTTGTACTACCCACAGTCCGATTACAAACAATTATTCATGTATCGTTTATTCAAATAGAGGTTTGGCGCTTTCTTTAATAATATTTATTTTTATCTATTATTTCAAACCAGCTCACCACAAACTATTTCAGGTTCTGAGATGTATTGATTTACTATAATATGATTTATATATATTTTTTTTTTTTTTTTTTTTTTGTTATTATATTTGTTATACGCCGATAAAAGTACTTTAGCCGAGCAAAAATGTTACACAATTTTACACAAAGTTTATCGAAAGTTGTTCTTGGGGTAAAAAAAAAACTAAACGTAATGTGAAGTAGTTTTTTTTTAACGTTGTTCTTAATTTAAAATTTTGATGAAAATCGTAAAAACGGCGTAATTTTAAAACATGTATAACCGAACTTCACACAGAAATATTTTTATTTTTAATATATTATATCCAACATGTATATTAACAACGATCGAGCATTCGAAATTATGTTAAAATTTGGTCACGCCCGGCACTTAAAATTTGTATATAAAAAAAAAAAGACAACTGCAGAGCATATAATAATCGTATTACACACGCTTCGTTGGCGAATTCGTCGAGACGTGGGCGTTAAATAAAAAAAAGCGCGACAAGTATCATTTTTGAACTTGATGGTGTTGTAAAATAAAATTGCATTTTTTTTTGCAACCTGTAATGGCCAAAGTGATGTTTTTGCGAGACTCTGTGTTGTTATAGTTCATCATATATTCATATATTATTCACGTCTTGGTCGGTGGAACCTATCGTAGTTAAATAACCAATAGGTACTCGACTAGCTCGGTTTGAAAGGGATACATCGAAATCAAATGCATTTATGATATTAATTTACGCCATCATATTATTATAACAGTTATGCAATTTTAAATATCTGGTCAACATTATAGTAAGTAAAGAAATCCTTCCAATAAAATCACATTGAATGCAGTGGCTGGTGTGCTCAGATTATCTAAAAACGGTATAATTTCAATATTTTATAATTTATTTTTTATTTTTTACACATTTTTGTTGATATATTTGTTTTGTGAAGTGTGCACATTTTTTATTTTTGTGCCTGTGAACGTCTTTTATACTAGAAATACTAATATAATCAAAAAGTAATACGAGGCTTATTTTGTTGCATTCTGGATAAATTTAGTGATTTGAAAACGACGTTTTTTTATTATACTGACAAATTAAGCATAAAAAAATACACATTTTGGAAAAAAAAAATTTTAAATGTCAAATTCTACCTAAGAAATACGTGAAAATTCGAACTTCATGAAGTTTTTCCTCATGACTTTCAAACGAAGTTCGTTCGACTTTGTGTACAGGCAAAACCCACATTTAAAAAAAAAAAAAATTGAAATCGAGTTTGGGCCGCAAACTAGATTTGTTCCAAAATTTAGTAGGTATTTTATAAAATGATTGTTACATTAGGTAAACGAAAATATTTATAGTCATTTAAATATAGTTTATTTCCGACGAAATTAAAGAACAGGCTTTTTTTGAGGAGGGATTAGCACGAGGCTCTCGGATTCACGGTCGTTTTGGTCCAAACGGTTGCGGCAGTGGTATAAAACGAAACTTACCGAAACGTTCTCCTGTTTTGGACGGTATATGCTATTGGTAATATCCACCGAAATAACGATTACCATGCCATTTAACGCTGTATAGTGTGTGCTATAGGATAATGTATTTCTACGTTTTAAACGATCGTTTTTATAACCGAAATGATTGTTTGTTTTTAGAGTGTAGCTGGTATTTAGAACGATTTTCAGAAGAGTAATAGCGCAGGACACTGGCGATTATCGTTGTAAAATACGCGCGGTCGTTGAACGGCGGCGTTTCACGAACGATTTAACTCTCTGGCGGTGGTGGCCGATGCCATTTGCGCCTAATCAAGAGCGAAAAACGGCGTATTAACATTGACGTCCATCACGGGACCTGGTCCGCCCACCTCGTACGACGACCGACTCCGAATGCAGATTTAAGCGAATTGGTTTTCGAAATTGGAACTCAAATCGTTAAGTAATTCAAAGCCGATCGCCGTTTTTAAACGGGCAGCCCAAGAGCGGTGCGACACAAGTTCAATATTGAAAATGATTATACTGTTTTAATAGAAAATACGCGGATAACGGCGACTGACATTGAAAAAACGTTATCGGGGTAGAGTTATGGAGAAAGACCGTGTGAACGAATGACTACGATACCAGTATTGTGTGTATAGGTAGGTACACGAGACGTACAGTACAATGGTGGTCAGTCGTCATAATCTAAACATCGGTTCAAACCAGACAAGTGTAGAGCTAAAAATCATCTTGTTGCGGTTAACGAATACAAAATTTCTAATAACAGACAGCAAACATTTACCGCACGGAAATCTGAAGTATATATTTTCTACGACTATGATATAGGCGATTGTAACAAATTATACAATTTTCCGATTCGTCATTTCAAAGTCATAAATTCATGTTTTTTTATTTTTTTTTTTTTTTAATATAGTTATAGATACCAAATAATTAGGTAATTGGATCGTGAGTGCAGCGAATAATGTATTGGTTTCACTATGATATGAGTGAGATTTTTATTTTTTTTTTTTGTGTGTAAACAACTTTTCTACCATTAATCTTACTCAGATTTTCACGTGTAGCAACTTTTCTGAAAGAAAATTTTCTCTAGTTGGTACATCGCGGTGTACTATAGTTGTTCGTTTATTGATTTTAAAATTATTAACAATTGGTGAAACAAATAGCGAAAACGAGAAAGTTTATTGCAATGACGATTTTATTATTTTTATTTTCGATTTTGTTTTTTCTTTTTGTAATTCACGGTCAAAAATAAGCCATAATTCTAGGCTAGCCACCTTTTAAAATTTAAAATTTGTCGAAATGGTTGTTTTTGCGTGTACACCAAGAATGTAAAAAAAAGTCTGACAGACTTTGTTTGGAAGTTATCGGTGAAAACTTCAAAAACTTCTGGTATTCCGTAATGAGTATTTGAAAAAAAAAAAAAAAAAAGAAGATTAATTAGAATTTAATATTTTTAAGCAATTTCGTTCACGATAATATGCAGTTTTTAATGATTAATCGATTGGTGAAATCAAAAATGACCCATCCTATTTATTTCTTTAAGTTTTCGCACGTGAATCTTGACACATTGAATTTTCAAAGTCAATCTTAAATGTGCTTGAAGAATAGTTGAAAATTGATTCTTTAATTTAAAAAAAAAAAAAAAAAAAACAATTCACTTGTAGTTTACAGTGACGATGATGTCAGAATTAGTTACGGACATTATTAACAGTTGTCATAACGATTGTGGAGACCCGGAAATTTTCACCACAGAATACGTCTTTACATACGTATATTATTGTACATTTATGAATTGACTATATTACCTACACATGGTCAATCCGATACAGCGATACTCAATAATCGTCTAAATGTACGACATTGCCTGGTGACGTTACGGTAGTATACGGAAATTCGTCGCGCGTGTACCGGCGGTGCCGCCGGCCGCGCGTCGGCAGTCCGCGGGCAGCTTAAAAGCGCATTACCCGCGCGGGGAGGGGGGCGCGTAGAAAGCTCCACCCCCGACGACGGCGGACGACCGCAGCCCGTGTCGCGCGTAGTTTCCCGCGGTTTTTCCTTTTCGTCGCGCGGCTCCGTGTTCGCCGGTCCGTCCGCAACCGCATTGTTGTTATTGTTGTTACCGCGCGATCACCGGCAGCAGCGGCCGTCGTGCGCCCGGTCCACTCGAACGCCGCAACGAACAACAACGACAATAATAAATATCATTTCGTTTATTTTCCCCGCACATAATACGCACTCGCGTGCCGCGCACAATATTCGCCGTACCCATTGTGCCGTCGCACAGTATAGCGGCCGTCGTCGTCGGAACACTTTCACCGCGCGAGTCCCGTGCCGCCGCTCCGTGTACCGCATACGGACCCGTCGTTCCGGCCGTTGTTGTCGTGTTGTTGTTGTTGTTGCTGTTGTTGTTGGCGCGCGTCACCCGCGGCCCGACGGTTTGTGCGCGACTGGCCGTCGGTTGCGCGCGCGTATTTCCGCGGCTACCGGATACGACGACGGCCGGCGATCGCGCGCGTGCGATAACTGTTCGTTAGACGACAAACGCCGCGAATTCCGGTCGGATAGCGTTTTCGTCCGTTCGTTTTTTTTTTTTTTTTTTTTTTTTTTTTTTTCTTATCGTATTTTTCGCGCGTCCGCGTGCCGATCGAGTGCGCTTTTTGTTGTTTTTTTTTTTTTTTCTATCTAGCGATTTTCCCGTCGTCCTATATGTGAGACGACGCGATGAAGACCGCGAACGGAGAGCTCCCGACGACCAAGACGACCGCTACCACCGTCGACGAGACGACGACGTCCGGAGATATCGGCCGGCTGCTGCAGAGTTCCGCTTGTGCGTTTGTTGTTCGCGGCAGGTAAACAAAATGTAACATATTATTATAACAATAATTTACGTAAAAAAAAAAGCCAATCTACGACAACGTATCAATAATGTCGATGTATTCTGTCGGTCAGTATAAAAACTGCAGTAAACGCGTGCGATTTTTATTTTTTGTATTGGTTGTCGTTTACCATAGTCGGCACGTGCGTCGACGGTAAATTGATATTTTGTTTTTTCGTTTTTACTCTACCCGTTTTACGTATGCGAAACGCGTAATATTATTCAGAACCGGATAAAAGTCCGGTGTTTATAATAAATATGTAATAGCCGATCGGCCGGTCATCGGTCGGTAACACGCGCGGAAATAATACGTATGGGGAGATGGAAAAAAAAAAAAAATGTTGTACCTATAGGTTAGGTTAGGTTAGGTTCGGTACGGGTACGAACGAAATTCCGGAATACGCTCGCGGAGCCGTTAACCGCGATAAAAACAAAATCGCAGAGATCCGATAAGACCACGGCATCTGTCTGCGTTAGATTTTATCGCAGTTATAGCCGTCTATTATTCTGTACGTTTTTTTTTTACCGAGTTTCGATTTTTCGCTGTTTTTAAGATACGGGTCTTAAATGCGATTTCAATATCGGGGCTTTTAATGTACTATTTTAAATTCTGAACGAAGCGAGTAGGTGAAGGTGTAATGATAATATGTGATTTTTTTTGTGTCTGTAAATAACAAATCTACGTTGTTTCAGCTCTTCCGAACAATTTGGAAATTGGCGACTTTAATAACATTCAACCGACCAATTTTCCTTTGTTTTTCGATACCCACTGTGCATTGTACCGATGTGGACAAGACTGTCTAAATATAAAAAAAAAAAACAAAACCACAATTATATATTAATCCTTGCCATTACACATTCTATAGACGGTAATAGGTATACATATTTATTATCTACATACTTAAAATAATACAATTGGAAAGCTAAATAATGATAATAATTATTTTAAATTGAAATTTGTTTTCCCCCTTGTAGATAGTACCTAAATATCATACAGTCAGTACAAAAATACTAATTAGGCAGTCGTCTGAAATCGAATAATTCCGAACCGTGTATTGTAATCGAAACCGAGCGAAAATTGTTCATTTGAGTTTAGTGCATAATGAGCAACACAATAAGGGTAGGACGAAAAATCCTATAGTAATCAATTATAAATATACGCAATTTTGTCATGAAAAATATCATCTTTTTGCGCTTAAATAAATTGCCGTCTTCTTTTTTTGTTCCCCTTCGCCTTCATTCTGGTTATTTGTGTTTGGGTCGGACAACCTTTGTCGTCATTTTCTAGTTGACGCAATCATCCTCTTACACACACACACCGGCTTCTTCGTTTTGTTTTTAATTTTAAAATTTGTTGAGTTATACAAAAGAGCGTATAAAAAATGTCCTAAAATGTTCGTTAAAACGTAAGAAATCCTAAAATATGTATGTGCAAAAATATGCAAATTAAATTTTATATGCAGAATCGTTAGATTAAATGAAACACGTTTCGGTATAAACCAGTTATTTTTTGACCATTTTTTCATAATATATGTATATATATATATTTTGATAAAATGTATCATTTCATAATCTTTTTTAAAAAAATCAGAGTGAAATCATTAGTCACAACGTGGGTATAATGAACTCGAAATTGTTTCTTTTGAAATTTGTTTACGGGCTATAATGGATTTAGCGTAGTGCACATTACAATTATATTTTAAATATTATAACTAGGTATTTGTTAGGTTAGTTCAAAGTATAATACGTCGCTGTGGGTGATTTTGTATAGTTGTAAAATAATATTATTATATTATTATTCATAAGGCCCTATAACCTAACCTACTCCAGATAAAATAGCTGCAGCCTTGACCTATAATATAAAATAGATACGTATCACTGCCAAATATAATTATTTTAATATTATTTGACTAAATAGTATTCAAAATTACCACTTTTGTTTTCGCCAAATATTATTATAATCGAATAGAGAAATTATTATACGACTGCAGAGCAATTCCATTTTGAAAATTATTACAGGTTATACAATATAATGTATTAGGTATTGGAACATCGTAACATAAAATATGTTTAAAACATACTTTACCGATGAATAATTACAATATTAACCATTATTCATATTGTTAACGCAATTGAAAATTTTGGAGTTACCGTTTTAAAATTACTTAAATCTAAATAGCTAAATTAAAAAGCAGTTTTTTTTTTTTTTTTATCACGATCCAGCAATTATTTATGAATTTCACGAAGATTCTGTGAAATACAAAAATAGTATTAAAAAAAAGAAACTCATTAAACTATGGGGGAGGGGGGGAGAATTCAAATTTACTTAAAATTCCTAGAGAACATCACTGGATTATGATCAGAAAAATCACACGGTATTGTAAATTTGAATTGATATTAATTTTTTTAGTAAGAAACAGTAATACCCAAAGGGTAGGTAATTTATTTAGTGTATTTACTCACTGAAAATTCGGGAAAATATTTTTTGTTGGCTATGGAGTGAAGAAAACAACAAGTTTTCGCATACAATTTGTTGTTTTGTATGCGTACTAATTTACCCAATTTACCGGTGTAAATGTCCATCACCACCCTGTAGTGAACGAAATAATTTTTCCTGTCCTGTGATTAAAATATGCATACTAATTTTGAATGAATTACCGTATTATCATATTGTTCGTTTATTCTGGGATACTATATACAAACTCTAGGCGGTCTATTCCATTATATTACAAAGTGCTTATACTGAAACGTAATAAATGGACGCAAATGGATTGCCGAACAGAATTTTAAAAGCTACGGCCCCCGTTGTCGCGGACGTTTCGCTATATAATTTATGTTTTTGCAAGTGGAACGAATAGACTTTTCGAGGAAATCATAAGTTTTAAAAATTTAAATATACGTATAAGAACAATTATAAGATAACCTATTATTAAATAGATTAAATTCGGTGGTCATACATAATATAAATTGTTTATCAGCGAGGCTCGGATTTTGTAGCATTTTGCTAATTATTATTGGGATACTTGTACATAGATAAAAATAGCAGAATGATCAGTGAGTTATACGCATTTGTTTTGTTTGTTTGCGATTGCGAATATACTAACAATTTTATTTTGCATATTTGAAGCTTTTTTGGTGTTTAGTGCTATTTATCAAGTTTTCATGAAATGTTTTGCTATAATATATTGAGTATGATTTATATGGCATTTTTTAATTATTCTGTTCTTTTTTCCAGATAGTTTTGAATAGTTGCATTCGATCGAAGTCATCATTCATGGTTATTTTAGTTTATGTATTAATAAATAAAATAAATAATAAATAAAATGTCTTTATTGTACATAAATTCATAATTTATTGATTCAAAATAACTAAACAATTGTTAATACAAAATAATAAACAAAACAAAATTTTATTCAATTTTTTTAAATTCATTTTTATTTTGTTTTTAGGGTATTTTATAGCGAACATGTCAGTACTTTTTAGTGCTTTATAAATTCTCAAGATAGCTGTTTATCAGTATCATCTCTGTGAGAACCGATAGGATATAGTCTTATTGCAGATGTAATTTATTTTAAATATTTAAACCAACATTAAAATTACTAATTAGATTTAAAAAAAAATATATATATGATTTAGTATAGTGTTCAGAGTTAAAAGTTCCACTAGGTAGGTACTTAATATTGTTTAAATTTCTTTTCGATATATTTTTACACTTTTTACGATTTTCAGAGCGTCGAAGTTAGAATTTTGAAAAATTACTTGTCGTAATGCACCTTTCGTGTCCAATTATCTAAATCTAAAAAGTTGCCCGATAAACTTTTTAAACATTTTTTTAATGTTCCTGAAAGTATTTTCGGTGACAAAAAAAGAATAAAAAATAAAAATAAAACCTTTTAAAACTAATGGTCTTCCTATTCTCTCCATTCGGAATTTACAAAGTAAAAATAATAATACGTGTTTGTTTTATTAAAATATTAATAATATGACGCGCAGTGGTAGATATACTTGGTATAAATTTGTGGTTTGTAAAACTTTGATTGTTTTTACATTATAAAATAATTTTCTATTTAGTATACTTACATGATAATGCATAATAATTAGACAAATTAGTAGAATTTTATGTACAAGATACAGGAGTTGCCGTTATTTCAGATTCTGAGTGAGTGAGGAATATGTATCTATTGGTTTTACTATGATGTGTTATTTTGTTTGTTTTTTGGTGTGTGTAACTTTTACGCCAGAAATTTTGCTCCGATTAAATTTTTTTAACGAACGCACGTTGAATTTTTGATCTGATTATTGCACGGGGATGTCATTTTTTTATTATTTTTTTTTTTGTATAATTTTCTTAATAAATGGAAAAAAATAGATTGAAATTTGTTTGTACATTTTTTCATTAAATTCTGTATCGCAATAATGGAAAAATATGACTAGTAATTATGACTAGTAATATGACTAGTTTTGATCAGAATCGATTTTCGTTAACAATGATTCATAGTTGTGTACAGATATAAATTAAATTACGTTACTTATCTTATTTTACAACTTCTCTATTAAATCAGTGACACGTCCATCAGCAGTACCTATCAGTTTTGTTTACGTGACAAATTGTTGAGCATGTTAATGACTAAAGAAAAAAGTAATACAAATTAAAACAAACAATTCGAAGTTAAAAGTTTAACATTCTTCTGATTTAAATTGGAACATGGTACATATATTTATATTTTCGATTAAATTCGTTTTGTTAATGCGTTGCTAGTAGAAATATTAATATCTTAATACAATTATAAACTAAAAACAAAATTATTAAAATGGTTAATACTCGTAAATAAATTAAGTTACTTTATTAGTATCTTGTTAAAATCATAGAATTTTTTCGTTTTTTTTCTAGTTTTTATTTTTTTTTTTTAGTTTCTAAGATAGTAAAATATTCGAGAATATAACTATAACAAAACGCAAATATACATTTTACAGTTTTTCATCAGTTTCACGCGTTGCTTTATTATCAAAATATATGTTTACTTCTTATTGAAGTAATAACAGCCAACGGCATCGTGAGTTTTGTGTGAAAAGAAACGATGGTTATATAGTTACCATAAAACATCAAAATATAATTTATATCGCGAGATTGTACTTTTTTATATTTGTTTTGTCCGCAACATAAAGAAAAAACAAACAAAACTATTAATAATATTTCTCTTATGCAAATACATTATATTTTTCTCGTTATCATTGTATTCATCCGCGTCTACTTGTGGATAGTAATAGCACGGCTGCACTAAAAGTATATTGAGATATATCTACGTGAAAAAAAGGTAAAATACCTCTACCTATTTGAAAAAAAAAGAGATTCTTTTTATATGTTTGTCCCGCACGTTTTCTATATATTTTATATTGCGTTTGAAGTGGTTTTTTTGCCCTATATAAAAACCGATGTTCTTTTTTCGCGTATATAGAAACTCGTAATATTATATTGTATTAATATAATAATATAAGCGTGGTTGCCGTTTTCCCGTTTATAAAAAACGCGAGAGGTAAATGTAACAATTCGTGACGATATAGGACATATTATAGGTACCTAAAGGAAATTCGGTCGTTTTCGTGATAACGATAACTGTTATATATTTGGTTAGGCCTAAAACGCCGTATACTTGTATCGTTTTCGAGGTATTTGAAAAAAAAAGTTTATAAAAAATAATATAGACATTCGGGATAACTATTAAATTCAATATTGGTTTCGTCGTCTGTTTTTTTCTCTTTTTTTTAGACGTTATTATAGGACGGTTTCTGTGGAAACCTATACGCTATTTTGCAACGATTGCACAAGCAAAGCGATATAGGTATACACGCGCGCAGTGCTGTGCGTTTAAACGGTAAATAAACCGCTCGATGTGAAAGTTCATCGGATTTTCAGTGATATTTTTTGCGCGTATTTAATACAAGCTGTGTATGTGTGTGAATTATCGTCGATAATATTATACAGAGTGACCATTAAAATCAGCGATTATCTATCGATATGGGTACGAAGATTTCGAGTAAATTTGATTCGGGGTTTTTTTTTCTTCGGTTATATTTCGTAATAGAATAGCGTTTGATCTTGTTTACTGCACTTATTGACTTTCGATTATCTCCCGCCGTTGTCTGCATTATTCTAAAGAGAATATCTTAAAAAAATAAACAAACAGAAAACAATGTTGATAGACCGCGGAAGAATATAATGTAGGGAAAATTTGTTTGAAAATCATTATACGAGTATATGCGATATGTATTTATGGTGGAATAATAAGAGTGAAATTCGGTAAATATTTAAGAAATAACAATAACGATTTATGTGTATACATGTTAGTATGTTACGGTCCAAGTGGAAAAATTATCATTGTAATTACTGATCAGGAATTGTATACTATTCCCGAATTTTTCAAGCCACGTGGATAATTACATACACAGACTAGACATTGTGTACAATTACCAATACTGCCAGTGCCAAATGCAAAAGATGCTTAATATGTTTATTATAGCTTTACACTAAATATCATTGTATGCCATTTGTGGACACAAGTTCAGCGGTCAAAACCTTGACCTCCTAGAATGGATACCAGTCTAGCTATAATTTTGAGTGATAACCACGGATTGATATCCGTGAACATACCATGAACACTAACAAATTCTCCCTTGCAAATTGATTTCTACTATAACGATACTGAGGTTTACCTTTGGTTGTGCCTAATTTGTATTCTTTGCATTCTCCGTAAATAAATTTTAATTACACATTAGTTAACATGTTAAAAAAAAATGTAAATTTTTTCGCTTATAATACCTGACATAATTATACCTACGCCTAAAATTGATAGTAAGTTGCTTCGAGCTCTGTATACATCTGGTATTTTTATTTTTATAGATTGTCCAATTTTTCCTTAACACAATTTTGAGATAGATTTAAACTTATCAACTTGAATTTATATATTTTTACAGATTCTATTCTTAGCTATCCGACATAAAATTGTGATAATGCGTCAAGATTATCAGCTTATTAAATTATATTTTCTTCAGTACATCAAAATCGATGTTGTTTATCTATTAATAACCGTTTATACAACGGTCGCACCAGTTATAATAGCATTGTATACAATGACTAGTCTATATGAGAAATAAATATTTATAATATAAACTGCCGAAATATTCCATGCAATGTGTACAATGCCCGGCCAGTGTTTACAATGGACGATTTTTCCACTTGGACCGTATTATACATATATATATTTAAAAATAAAAAACTAAAATCAACTACATCCGTCATCTAGGATGCGAAATCATGCAGAACGAGACCCAGAAACCGAAACCAGCCCACTGGAGTGGACGGAGAAATAAAATCGTGAAAAAGCACGTCAATCTACTATAAATGGCAAATGCCCGGAATAGAAATAGGCCAAAAAAACCGTCCAAGCAAAGCTAAGTAAAAGCAGCAAAAACCGAAATTTAATTTTATTCGGAATTCCCGTATAGTAAATCGTCGGTTAAAGATATCAGTGTATAAAAGAATACACTCACCCTGTATATACCTTACAAATATTATATATTATTATATACTTATGCGCAATCGACAGGAGTCAAAATGCGTGGGACTACCGGTTGCATTTTAGTTTTCCAATCGCATCGCGTTTGTTTGTCGGCCCGTGTGTGTCATTGGGTATACTCGATATTATTTTTTTTATAAAAAATAATAAATGCACATTATGTGATTGCCGTGTCGGTAAACAATTACATTATCACGAGCCCGTTCTACCCGCGGAGGAGCGTATAATTCGATGATACCGGCGTGTTTTTTTTTCTGCGTTGCGTAATTTTCGTTTTCGGTTTTTTTTTTTTTTTTTAATTTACTGATGTGGGCGCCCTCTCAATTATTATTATTATTATTTTTTTTTTTTTTGTCAAAAGGGGACATTTATCGCGTAGATACCTAACCTATATATTATTCCAGGTCATCGCGCGGTAGGTAACTACTTCATATTAAAAATTAGTAATATGACGTGTCCGATATAAATACAATGTTATTCGGTTTACAGCTTACACAGTGTGATATTATTGTGATGCGCATTTATAACGCGTATTATTCTGTTCTATTGCGGCCTGCATCGCATAATAATCGCATATCCGCGATACGGGTTTCGGCTTAATGTACGGGTTTACGTTTTTTTTTTTTTTTAGGTCAATCGCCAATGTCGGACACGCGATAAGAACGCCGCCACCGTTATCACTAATAATATATCGATAATAAGTTGTTTTATTTTTTCAATAAAGAACTACCGTAAACCATATTACAATAAAATAATTAATAGTTATATTATTACACGATACGAGTCATGTCGTTCAGAACGAGAGAGAGAGAGAGAAAACAAATCGTTAGGACACTGAATTTCACATCCATTCGCGCTCGGTCAAGTTTAAAATCCACTCTACGGAGCTTTTAGCTTTTGACTAGTCAAAAGAAAGAACAAATTAATACACATTTATACTCCTTATTTTTATTTTCGTGTAGTTCTCCTGCTCTATATCCCTTTCCTTTCAGCGATTTGTATCTCTGATGCCCGGGATATCGGCTGCCGTTAATATATTTAGAATAGTGAAAAGAAATTATTTTATTATTTATAAAATATAATATAGATTTTAAACACAAAAATAAATAAATTATGACACAAATGTCTGCGTGCTGTACGAAATCTCTTGTGATTATTGCGTTAAAACGTTTATTTTAACATTATGTTATTTCGTCTAATATTATCGGCAAAACATTTCTATCGATTATATTTTAAAAAACTGCCTTGATTTTTACTAATAACCGAGGTACGATAATAATTTATTAACCTTTAGCGACTCGCGCCTGTTCAGAGTATAACCTATTAACAAACGAAGCTTCATTGACAACTTTTTACATTCTTTTTACAAACTTTCACTATGATATGGTTTTTTTTTTGTATCTGTAATCTATTTTTCTACCAAAATCTTATTCCAATGAAAAAATAATTAGAGACTTTTTTTGTTGTATTTTGGCGAATAAGTACACCATTTTTTGATTTTCGTAGTAGTTTTTATAAAAATTGTGAAAAACCGGAAAAAGACGTAAAATAAAACCGACAAGGAAAATAAAGGTTTTATCATTATCAATTTTGTTTTTTGCTATTATTCGGATAAAAATAACCGTAAAGACCTGATATTTTCACAGATTACTTATATTGACATTTTCTAGGCATGGTTAAATTTTCAAAATATTCTGGCATTTTTCAGTTATTAATATGTATTGACATTTTAAAGATTTTTCAAGTTTGATTTGGTAGGTAATAATATATATATATATAAAATTGTTCGACCAAACAGAAATGATTGAATATTTAACACGAGGTTCATTATAAGTTGTTTTAAGTAATCGAATATCAAGTTTAATGCAGTAATATAGTAAATGTTTGTATAAGAATTTCGACGAAAATCGTAAAAATTACATTTCAAAACAAGCATAACCAAACTTCGCTCAAAATCTTATTCACTAGCAATGGTTTATTGTTGATTATAGATATAAATTAAACAACTTCATGTATCCTATACTTTCCTGACTTCCCACTGGTTGTATCAGCTCTTTTCTTTGTTCTTTAACGTTAAAAGCCCTACAGTGTGAATCCCTCTTTTTATTTATTCGTTAATCTCAAACATTATCGGAAATTTGATTCTGACCTAACGAACCCGGTGACTGGTAGACATGTCGATAACTCCACCACCGTCGCTACTCTGATCAAATGCCGTCGGTGTGTATATATAAACTTATATACGTACATCCAGTTTAATAATATTATAAATTTCACTAATCAGCGTACTATTGTTCTTAAATAATATTATATTATTATGCAGTGGCTTGCGGAAAATTGTTCAGATTCTAGATAAACTATATAACTAACTTGATCGACCACTTCCCGTTTAAAGTTTTTAGCTTAAATTCTATGTAATTTAGTAGAAAATGAAACCAAATTATAATCATTAAATCATTATACTTAATATTTATTGTAATCTGTAATATTTTTTTCAGGCTGTCTTCAATAAACGTTAAAACCGATGATGGTTCAAAATAATTTTTAACTTCATTGCAGTTGTATTGAAAAAAAAAAAACCATGTCTTTTACACGGTGTTAATTTTTCTGTAATGCTCATTCATTATCCCGGAGTATATATCATTAAGTTTTATTAAAACTAAAAATAAACGCTTTTTTAAAATTTTACTTTGGTCCCACTTTTAATAATTTTAATTTTGTTATGAAACCTCTGCCAACTTTTTATGTCAATTCCCCTGATTAAATCGTCGGGTATATCTTAAAAAAAGAAATTGTCTAAAAAGTAAACACTTCACGGGATAACGGGTGTTTTACGGAAAATCGATCACCCTGTATAGAGTACACACTAGCTCTAAATTTTCTCCCGGATAGTTCCCTCGAAAAACACCGTTTGTCACGTCACTGATACGTATGCACAAACTGTTATTGTTATTGTATTGCGTAGGTACGTGCTTTTAATTTTCCAATCTGTACGTGATGTCGATTGTCGATATATTAGTTTTGAGAAAACGTTATTACTTTTTAAACGCACGTACACCTAAAATATCATATTATATTTTTCGGAAAACAAATCAACTGTTTATATATAACGTTTTTTTTTTTTTTTTTTTTATTTTACTTTATTTTTATACTTGCATCTCGTCCCGGACGTATATTATCCTTCATTCCGCATGAAAATATCCGCTCGTTTGCATAATGTACGCCCACACGCGACAGTCGTTTTAAGGTTCGTAAATATATTATTTTTGTTATTTTGGGCAATAAAACGCATTTCGCCCGGCGGCGCGGCGTATTTACACTCGTGTATTTATATGATTATAGACTTAATATTATTTATATAACGTCAAAAGTTACACGACTTTATGATGAATTCTTCCCGCTATGAATTCGTACTCGTGTTTGTTTTAATTAATGTTTTTGCGTCACTCGGGATACCTAGTCGTATAGTACAAGTTTTGGCTGTCATATATTATTATTATCTTTTCCTTGCCACGCAATAATTTTTGGAAAGTATATAGGTAGCTCTGTTGATGCGTTTTTCATTATTTGTTCGCCGTGTGTTATTATATATTAATAGAATTTCTACACGGCTGTTTTAGTCCGCAGACAATGTTAATCATATTTTTTTTCTTCTACGGCACGATTGGACGTTTATCATAGAAATTTGTTTACGCGTACATCTGTACAGAAATTAACCGCAATAATGAAATATTAACTCTAATATTTAATAATAATTGTTTTCATTTAAATTATTATTTCACTGCTTTACGTCATTTTAAGTCTTACTAAAACGTGTTTTTTTTCGCCCGGCGGTACTATTTGTTTAAACGATTTTTCTAGATTACTTTCTAGGTCAGTATTATCTAGTCTAGTATTACTCTAGTCCCATTTAAGGTTATTTACTTCAAAATACTTTATTCAAAAAAATTGATTTTTAATTTTTATGAAAACACGCTGTGGAAAATATGTATATAATTGTGCTCGTATACAATAATTATAATCGTTGTACATTTTCTACTAAGCCTCTACTACTATAAGCTCTACCAAATCACTAAATTTACCATTTTAAAGCATACTATAAGTTTTAAGATTCAATTTAATATTTAATTATTAGTATAATAGACGTATAGACTACTTCAACAATTGAGTTTATCAAAATTATTATTACAACATTATATTGATACTTTTTATATTCATGTTTCATATTCTGCAGAATCGACCATATTCTCAGAAAATTACTAGATTTAAAAATATACTGCCAAGTATCCATATCGTGGAAAAAAAATCCAGTTTAGAATTTTAGATTTCTTTTAATATTGCATTATGACTCAAAAAAACAGCTTAAATATGAACTTAAAGTTTTTTTAACTTATTACCCACGTGCAGTGGTAATAAATACGGTTGATTTTAGTTTTTTTTTTTTTTAAGATATACTTATAGGTGAGTTCTCAATATGGAAATAATTAAATATTAGTACTCATTTACTTCTTAGTATGAATAGATTGAACATATTTTCAGTATTATTCAAATTTAAATGCCGTTATTGAGCTAAGGGTAGTTTTCAGTCAATTTAAGAATTGGTCGGTTTAAACCACTCAGAAGGAGTGTCTTTTGGTATTTTAAAATAGTTATTAGTTATAATAACATTAAATCATGTGTTATATAACTTCAGTCAATTTTAAGATTAAGATTAAGAGTATATGTTATTAAATCATTAACAAATGGTTGTTTGAGTGCTAAAATAACTCCACTGGATGTTAAAAGTAATGCGCATTGCTTTAATTTTGTGATATACAATGTTGAATCGAGATTCTAAGATTAAGTTATCTAGTATGTATTTTTGAAACTAATTTGGTATCAATCGATTAACTGGCAAAGTATTAACATCAAAAATAGTTTTTTTTTTATTGTTAATCATTAGTTAAAAACTTTTAGTGTTTTTTGACAAATATAATATTCACAGTTAAAAAATGTTTGTTTATAATTATTATTGTTAGAATTATTAAATTAATTAAATTAATTATTATGTATCGGTTATTAATATATTGTACAAGAGTATATATTATTAAACGTGTATTATATACAGAAAATCAGACATCATACAAAATTTAAAAATCAACATTCTAATCTTTAATATTCGATTTGAAATCCATGTTTAAATTAATTCAATCTCATAAAAAGTTAATATAACAATTTATTGTTTCAGATAAAACTCAAGTAAACTTAAAATCGCATTAAATAAATACTTATTTTAATTTTCGTTTTGGATTCACATCGATTTTATTAAAACATCTAGCATGCTAATGCAGTTAATCTAACTGAATACACCACTGAAGTTGAATATGTACATATAAAACTAAATTGTAATATTCTCAATTTAACTGATAAACTTCTATGTGTACAAAAATGTTGCGGGTGGAAATGAGTGTAATATAATATCGAGAGCTCTATCGATTAGAAATAATTAAAATCACGATTAATAACGTTGGTGATTTTTACTAATTTTTCATTTTATGATAAACGACGAGCTTTTTTTTTTTGGTCGGACAACCGTGGTCTTGCAAAAAATGTCGACAAAACGGTATTTCCGTCCCAAATAAAAAAATCCGTCCGAAGCATTTATAGTTTGATAAATGTCACCGCATTTGACATTCCATACAGGCGAACCTTTGAAAAAATACGCGTCCGATCGACTGCACATCATCAATGCCATGGCAGCATAACATTATTCCTATTTTTTTTTTTTATACTATCGTCGTTTTGACACTCGTCTTCTTCTTCTTCGGTATTCTTGTTTAATAAATTGGGGTACGTCACCGTTACTGAATTATTGATATTAAATTCCTCTCGATGCAGACCCGTCCTGAAAAAAAAAAAAAATGTCTTTTTTATCAACGTAGTCGGTCGTCGTCGTTAATATTATTCTTAACCGACTTTATATACGTTAAATCCCGCGGAAAATCTTTTCGCTTTTCTCTCCCGTCGCGGGATTTCGGGGCGTTCTTTTAATCCGACCGTCGCTTGCGGATCGGCACGTGAACGTTTTCTCCCGTATATTATTATTATATCCAACTGACTATATACACAGAGTGATTTTTTTACCATCTCGAACTGGCGATATTCTCAGGGGAGGGGGGGATTTTAAGCAAATTTGATTATAGTTTTATTTACGTTATAATTGTTGCGGAGTCGTTATTATCGTTAAGCACTGTTTTAAGAAATTAGTAGGAAGAAATGATTTGGAAACATTTCCTCTTACCTATTTGGAACTATACATGTGAACAGGCAACTATTTTAATATAATTCATTATGTAATGTTGCTGTTTGAAAATCCGAAGTTTATACGCGGTAAGGTGTAAAGGATACAAATATGAAACATCCTGTGTCTAAAGACTGCGGAAAATAATCCGAAATAAAGTTCACACACACATAATCGTGTGTATACGTATTAATTAAAACCGCCGGTTCGTGATGAAATAAGAATCACCCTGTATATGTATACGACCTCCTAAGACGGTGCGTGGATATGACGTGACTATATACACGAGAATTGTGTCGAAAATCTACGGGTGGAGGGTGGAAGAGACGGGGGAGGTGCGTACGCGTAGTAATACACATATAAGACGACTCGGACAGAATCATTTAAGACGACAGTTGCAAAAACGAGCTGATTAACGACGCGCAGAATAGCCGGAAATTATATTACTTTGTATGTTGTGTTTGATGATGAGTTTTCTGCCCCCGAAATCGGCGGTGTTACGTCCGAGATTACTGCAGTTTTAGCGGCTTAACCGCGGGCGGTTGTGACTGCACTATATTATAAAAACACTAGAGCAGTTTCGGCTCGCAAAACTTTCCGGCTGCCTTATCATTTTATTTGTAGCCGCGAAGTATCAAAACTAAAATTGTTTTTTTTTTTTTAAACTGTATATATTATACAATAATAATACGCGCGTGGACCCGCGATGATATTTTTATCGCGATTGTAGATAACAGTAATAATGTTTTGATAAATTATACGTAGGTATTTTATTTATAAGCATGGTTCTGGGGACGTACTTATACATATACGTAACCCATTTGCTTATTTTTTTTTTCCGGCATGTCATTAAACTCAGCAGAGTGATTCTTAAATTTACGTTGTACCACAATGAGTTTAAATATGAAATTTGAAAATGGTTTTTTAGCTTATTTCGAAAAAGTTTAGTTAAAAAAAGCCAGTTTTTTTTTCGATTTTTTATTTTGCACATTTTTCTACTTTGCGATTACGTAAGCTACTGATAAAACCCAGATTTCTCCATCTCCCTATGATTTTTACATAATTCCGCCTTTGTTTTCTATTATCCAACTGTTACTTTCTTGTTTGTATACTTTATCAATACTCTTTGTGACGGCCGTCTGTGGGCACGGAGCAATAAAATTCCGCGATCGTAGTTTATAAAAAAAAAATTGAAGTTCACATATATGATATGAAAGGGTTTTTCGCTTATTTTAAAAATACAATGCTTCATACTGGTTTTGGTTTGCTTTTTAAATTACCAAGTGATTATTTCAGGGCTATAATATAGTATTTTAAACATTTGTTTTGTTAATTTCAAATGTTATAAGTCCCGAACTCTGTTTATAAGATATCGCGATTGGGCGCCACAACAAATAGGTAACGTATGAAAATATTGCCAAACGATTGGATTTTTTAATTTATTTTTATTACAATATTTTCGTACTTATATTATACAGGTATAGATTATTGCGAATATAATAATACGGTCGATAGGCACTATATTAACTGATTAATCCACGCGCCTTGTACCTATACATTTATGTATATTATGTTTTAATATTCGTTTGATTATTTGAAAAAAAATTGCTACTTTCACAAATTAAAAAAAAAAAAAATATATATTATTTTTCATCATAAAAAATAATTGCTTAAACTATTCGTTACGTATACGTATATTATGAATTGCAGCTATAAAATCATAATAATACAATTATTAATGTACACCCGTCGGTCGTGTTTAGTGGTAGAAACGCTGGGTACATAAATATTTGTGCGTATTTGAGCCAAAATTTATTATGTTTGCGCATTATATAAATTATTATAACTTGAACGATTTCATATCTACTTATTACAAAATTAATACGAAAATATACTATACTCCACCTCCTTATCCGTTGAATTTTGTTCGTTCATGTTAATAAATACTTTTAGTTAATAAATAACAACGAAATTATTATGTTTTCAAACTATACACACTTTTCTCAGCATTGTATTTAAAATGGTTACAGTGATTTTGATTTTACATAGAAACGTTATTTAGTTTAACTTTTCTAAGTATACAAATAAAACTCCGCTGAAATTAATTGATTTAGTTTTTGTTCGGTGATTTATTAATTTATTTTAGATTATGAGTGTAGCGAAAAAGCGTTTAGAGTTTTACTTAAATGCGTTTGTCTTTTTCTTAATTACACAATGTCGATATATCGGTTTTATTTTTGTTGATTTATGAATTACCTCGACTACAAAAGTAATTATACTGTAATCTTAAACCGTTAAACCCAGCTCCGAGCATAATGGTTTTTTATTATAATAATTTATTGTTACTTTTATTATACAAATTAAATTAACCCTATAAACAGTGCTTGATTCGGGGGGGGGGGACGCGGGGCGACTGAGTACTTCAACTGTTTTTTTAGATATTCAAGCGTATCCCTATTTCTTTTTTAAAATGGACCACATAGGCCGGGTTGTTATTTAAGCTTACTTATTTTTATAAAATTGCTCAACTTAAGGTTTTGTTTTAAAAATATGAATCTTAGGTATATTTATCTTGATATACTATGTATATCTATGGCACCATTTAAGATAATATGGTTGCCCTCCGAACAGTGATAATCTGAACTACAGATCCGATCTATAAATCCAATACAAATTTTCGATTTATTGTTAGTGCTCCAAGCGGATAAATATTCAATCATTAGCAGTAAGTATTTTTATTACTGAGGAACATTGTATTCATACCAAGTTAATCGATTTTATTATTTTAAATCGTAGTGACAATATTAAAAAAATGCTGTAAAAAGGGATTACTAGAATGCTAGTAGTAGACTGAAACAGCTGATTTCTGGATTAAATTCTGTGGTCACAAAATTAATACATTATCACTCATGGACTGGGCAACCATATTATCTTAATTCGTGATCTGTGGTAATCATTGAACTATTATAGTATTATCATTGAACAAAATGCTATTGTCTCATTTGTTACATGTTCAATGAATGTGTTTAATGTGCTTATTATAACAATTTGCCGTGTCCTTTATCAAATGTTGAGTTCTAACATGTATGATGATGCTAGTTAATTTTTTTGTTAGATAGTAATCAGTACTCAGTAGATTTTATTCTTTAATAATTAGTTTGTCGTAATTAACGATTCTACGATGAGTGAAAATAAACAAAAAGACTGCAGGAATTTTAAAATGTCATATTTCATAAAAAATAATAAAACAAACAACGATGTTGATTAATTTTGGTTTTCAAGAAGACAAGTTATGCCTAAATAATTATTATATTATTCTGTTTTATTATAGTACGTGTTTAATGAATTAATGTTATTGCTGCTTAGAGGACCTTAAAAAGGGGTGTGGGGGCAAAACTCCCCGAGGTAATGTGAAGGATATTAAAATACTTGGGATGTTACTTTTTTAAAAATAGCTTTAGAGTATCTAACTACAAGAGTGACAAATTAGTGTATACGAAGTTTCTCCAGCTTTTTATTTATTAGTTTTTAATTTAGAGAATAATATTTCAAATCTGCACTGGTTATACACATCAGTGTATTAAATTTGAACAGTGAAACAAATATTGTAAACGACGTTAATTTATTATTTTACCATAACTGTTAAATTATTCATTTTAAGTTCATTTAAAACAATATTATATTGTGTTTGTACCTATTTTGATTATAATTTATGTAGTGGTAGTAAATCAACAAGATGTATATTTTAAACAATACTCTAATCTCAACCGTGAAATTATTATTGATATTGTACTAATCCGATATATATTTGAATGAATTGGATTGACCTTGTCTCAATTCAGTATCCGAGTATAACATTTTAAAAACTGTATAATCGAATTATTCGGAGGATAAAATAATAATACAAACTTCGGACGATTCCAAAAGCTTATTATATCGATAAAAATGAACCATTTCAATAAATTAAATTAAAAAGGACAGTTTTTCTAAATGGAGTTCCAGAGTTTCTCTCTTGTCTATATTATATAGTGATGAGAGACAGGTTTAATGTGTTTTTCCTTAAAAGGAAATAATATTTTAAATACAAGAATACGTGTGGTTTTTTGTGTGATACTAAAATCGTATAGACCGGACATTTTCACCGAACACTATACTATACTCGCATTTTTACAGTGTAATTTCCAAAATATTCTTGCATTATATAAATTATTAATCTATCTGCGATAGTCAGGGACATGGGCTGAGAGGACCGCAGCCCAGGGGCTCCCAAGGATTGTTTAACGGTAAATAACCGGATTACTTACCAGATTCGATTGTTTTCGTATAGTTTATTTTAAAGTAAAATTAAACACCTGTATGGTAAGTATAAAATAGAAAACGTTATTTTTTAATAAGCAAAAACTGTACTGTCCCGAGTAAGGGTTTATTTGTTCGTGGCGAATCGGGGCACCCAAAATATATTTCTTAACGGGCACTGGACGAACCGAAAAAAAATCGTCAACATTTTGCACAATACGCCGTTATATTTTATTTGGGATTTTTTTCAGTATATCATATTATTTTTACGTACGAATTCGACTCGAGAATATTGTTTTCCTTTCGAGCCATTAATATTAATATCGCAATATATATATTATAATGGTAAATGCACGTGGACGATGACGTATTATTTTGAACGCGCGTTTCATAATGTATCGCATTATTATATACGCGCTGCGTGTAGTATCATCCATCAGTTATATTAACGACGCGGAACGGATTTTTGCCAAATTGCAGGTTTGTCGGCGGCTGAATACGTCAACGTCGACGGGTCATGTTTTGGCCGACCGTGCTGGCGCTGTTGCAGTTGGCCGCGGACGGACGGACGGACGAATTCGTTCTCGGCTACTTGACCGGCTCGAGGAGGCGGCCGGGCGATATCAGTTACCCGAAACCCGGTATCATGATCAGCGGCGCCATATCGTTGGCCGTCGAAGAGATAAACGCCGGACCGTTTGGCGACAAAGGTACGTATGACAAAGACAATATCGACGGTGTTTCGGTTAATGGGCTTCTATTAAATTTCACTTTTTTCAGGAACAGTTTTCAATGATGTTTATCACGGAAAACAATAAAATTACTCGTACACATAATACCACGCACACATAGTATACATGCATTGAATGTGGTACATATGCCCTTTTAAAAAAATCGGTGTTGATTTAATTATACTTTAAAAAGGCGTCTGGTCATATTCTAGTCGACATTACCAACTTAATTTTCTGTGTTTAAATACGCCCTTTTAACAGTTTGTGCTCAAACATTTTTTGATTTTTTTTAAATGTTTTTAGTGATATTTTAGTATTTTATAAAAAAAACCATCGGTAAATTATAATTGTAGATATTCGAACGCGAACATCGAAAAAACTACATTGGTTAACAAAAGTATCTACGTTCATTTTACAGTCATAGGCGCGCCTGTTCCACCAACTTTGGTGGTGCTAAATTTATGGACACATCAAAAACCTATTGGAGCAATGCTTCCACAATCCTCTTTAAACGACTATTAAAATAGTCAACTACACCTTTCATTCACAATTTTGTGTTTACAAATTTATTATAACTATTTTAAGATAATTTTTCATATACATGCATGGTTTGTAGGAAACCTGTATTTCGTTCTGCTATTATAAAATGCAATATGGTTAAAATATTTAGTCGTCACTATAGAAAAGTTGAAGGAGTTTTTTTTTTTGGGGGGGGGTTGCTAATTTTAAACTTTGAGTATTAAAGACCCCTTAACACCCTTTCCCCTAGTGGCGACTATTGTTACCATTTCATCGCCCTATTCCACTCCTCCTTTAAAAAAAAAAAAAAACACCTAAAAGTAATATTTATAGTTTAAACGGTTTTCGGTGAAAATCTATCAATTTAATTATACAATTGATATTGTTTTACGATTTTAAAGGTCTTATTTCACTAAGCAAGTGGCCCGGCCTACCGCTTCATATTATTTCAACGTATAAGTTTTTAGACCGAAAATGAGGTGGTTAGAGGCGATTGAGAACGGTTTGAGGACATCCAGTGTTTGTGAGGAGGGGTGAAGTGGAAGTTTCGGACGAAGGTCAAGGGGACCGATCTCAAATAGTTGAAAGTCGAGAAAGAAGAAGTATAAGAAAATATAGAGAAATAATATTTATTATTTATTTAGTTTTTTAAAATGTTTTATTTCTTACCAATTTGTTTAACGTGATAGTATAGATACGGTTAATTTTAAAAGTGACATTTATATTGTCAACAACTCTAGTCAAAAATATCAGTCACCGTCACCGCAATATTTTATATTGTTTTTTCTTTCTTTTTAACGGGACGTGTAGTGCCATGGTCCGGATCCGATTCGTGGAAAATAACGTCATAACATTTTGTTTTCCTCTCGAGATTTTAATATTTCTAAAAATAATAAAACATTTTTCTTGTTATATTTGTGCTTTATTAATATATACATATTATATATTATTTACGAAAAAAAAGGAAAAATACTGTAAACTGTAAATTATACGCTGACAGAATTATTGATATAGGTATGAAAGTAAATTATCAACACTTTCTGAAAAATTTTTTTTTTCGTTTAATAAAAGTACTCCTATTTTTTCACGCAGTTCCTCGAAAGAAGCAGATTTTTCGCCCGGTAGTACTTTATTTGAACTTTTGATATTTCCAACGGCTTACCACAGTTTTTGTACTTAAAAGCACCAATTTTAAAATATGTACTTATAACCATTCAATTTAGGAGTGGCTTGCGGGTTCGTATGCGTGAAAAATAATCGTGTTGTTTTTGTTATTGTTATTGGCAATTTTCAATAGCCATACAGGTAACCAATGAACTGCACTCATTTGCCGCAATGATTTACCTGTTGTGTTTATACAGTTTAATATTTAAATTTTATTTAAGATGACAAGGCTGGGCAAGTTAATAATTTTTTTCAATTCAGTAAAGTTAAGTTAAATTTATTAAAGATAATTCAAAATTCTCTATCAATTCAACTAAGTTAGAAGTTAGCCAAAAGTTAAAATTAACTTTTTAATTCGAGTTAAGTTAACTAAAAAAAAAAAAAAAATAATAGCAATAAAAAATAACAGGTATTCGTAACAATTCGTATTTTAAAATGTTCATAATAATATTCATTCATACGAGCATCCAAATAAAAATTGAAATCAACACTTAACTTGTGTAAATATAAAATTGATTCTAGTTAATTAAAAGTTAATAATTTTGTGTTCTTCATGTTAACAATTGAGTTAATAGTTCAAAAAAATTTAATTTATTAAGTTAAAAGATTAAATTAACTTAAATGTTTAACTTAACTTTAATAAACGTAATACAATATTATTCGTATAGAACTCGCGTTAAATATCAGTATAAACTCTGTACTATAATATGTACACACTTATATTATAATGTATCCAAATATTAATATTACCACGCGTTTTAAGTCATTGCAGTACTGTTTTATCAATTCGAAAACTCTTGCGGAACTTTCTTTTTGAGCGTAAATAAAGTTTTTGGTAAACTATATACCGTGTATATTAGTTCGGAATAAAAGGCTTTGTTCCGGCTCGTAAAATCGCGGAGAGACTCGAGTTTAACTGTACATAAAATATCGCGTCTATGTTATAATATTATTTCGATAAAAAAAAAAAATTACCCGTTTTGTATTTATATACGACAACTATCGAACGTCAGTATTATTACAATACGAGAAAAATGATAATGTAGAATTTTTTGATTTCAATAGTGGATTTTTTTTTCAATTAATATATAAATTATTACATATTTTATTTATAATAATTATTTTAAATATTTTATTTTGCTCAAGTCGAAAATTCATAAATATTCATAATTAACTCATAATATAAAACGTATACATTTCACTACCTATCCGTTATATTCTGTGTATATATTTATGCGTATAAGTATCTCGATTAGTATTGTCGTTTGAGTACATTTTTTTATTTTTTTAACACGGTTTTAATAATACTTAATACAACGCGAATAATAAGACGTATAATTGTAATACTGTTTCAAATACAAAATTAAAATTATTTCATTGTGCTTGTATATATTTTTTTAAGTATCCATGTGCCGCATACTCCTTTTAACTACCAGTTGTAAATTTTTCTTCTTTTCGTTTGTCGAAATGATTTTTCGGGTGGAAATTTTAACATCATAAATAATATAATAATGGATTTTTTGTTATTTTTTTTTTAATGCAAATTTTAATTAGGTAATTATTTCGTACCAATTAATCGTGAATAAAAATAACGAAAACAAATAATATAGACCAGCGTGCAGCGGTCGGAAGTGGCGATGCCGCTGTAGCGTGCTACCTTTTTGTAGCTATATTACTAGTTGTGTACGGTTTCATTTCGGCGTGTAGCGTACAATAAGTTACTTAAAACGATTTTTTTTGCTAAAATATAGTCATGAATTTAATGAAATATTGTACATTTCGTAGTTACATTATTACACATCGTAGTCTATTGTGGAATCAAATGTGTAACTATTGTTTCTTTTATATGGTGTTGTAAAAATTAATATTTAGGGAACTAAATTTTATAAGATTGACAAAAATAAAAAATTATCCCTTCTTCGAAAAAAAATAACGCACTACTTTTTCGAAAAAAAAGCGAATTTCATCATAATGCCCTACACTTATAAAAAAAGTAGCTATGAAAGTACATCTAAATTACATTGTAAGTGACAGTGATTTCCAGTGCTATAGACTATAGTTTTGTATTTTTAGCAACTGTGGGTTTACGAAGATATTTTCACGGTACAAACCTATAAACGCTCCGAAAACTTTTTTTATTTTATATTATACGATATTTAATAGTATAATTCGTGTAAGTTTCTGGTAACATGTGTTGATTGTTTTTAAAAGGGTCTGTATATTATGAAAATCACGTCCGTCCGGTTTATTTCGTTTCGACTTAAAAATCATTACAGCCGTCGTCACTTTTACGCACTTTATTTATTTTTTTTTTTTTCATAGGCCATTCGTTGAGTTTTCTGGTATCCGAAACGTACGGAGAAGAGTCAACCAGTATTTTGGAGACGGCGGAACTATGGAAGAAAAACATTTCGGCTTTCATCGGTCCTCAAGAAACGTGTTTGCACGAAGCTCGAATGGCCGCCGCTTTCAACTTGCCGATGATTTCCTATGTGAGTCAGTATACAATTATTATTATTTTGTGTTCATAGTGTACCGCGGTGTATAGGTAGTGGATTTTTTTTGTAATAACCTTATATTTCAAAGGGTTATTTTATTTCACACAGTAGGATATTGTACAATAATTGTGACGAAAAATTATTAACACGCTTTGTTTGCTCTATACATTCGCGTCCTGCGGATATTTTCTTCTTTCGGATGCGTAGTGTGCACTTAATTATTTTTAGGTTACACGATAAACAGGAAATTCGTTTGCAACTTTTCTTTACCCTTTAAAATACGTGAAAATCAATCCGGGTAACTATACATTTATTCGCCTCGTTTTACATTTTTTTTTTTTTTTTTTTATACTAACCTATATAAATCGAGCGTTATAGGGAAAAAATTCAATTACTTCAGTTATTTGTTTCGTATTACAATTTTTTTCGCTTTCGTTTTAGATTTTTTATATTATAAGTATATAATATATAGCATTAAGCTTTTGAAATGTCGAAAAATGTTTTTAATCTAAAAGTTTTTGATACTACCATACAATAATATTATGCAAAATAATATATCGTTCAAGTCGAAATTTATACGATACGCTCCTTTATAATATTATCCTTTTTTTTTTTTAATAAATATGCATGTTGTAGAGGCATTTATTCAGAAAAACTATATAAAGAAAATAATAAACTAAATTATTTGGGCAATCATATAATAAAAAAAAGAGCTGATACTGAGGAACGGTGTAGCCACTGTTGTAGGTTAGAAGTTGGGAAGCTAGAATACTTGAAGTTATTTCACTTATATCTGTGAGCAACGATAAATCATTGCTAAAGAAAGACGATTCCTAATACTTCGAAAATAAAAAAAGTTCACGTTTTACAAATCATTATGGATATTTTTTCTAATTTTTGCAGGTTTATTTTGTTTCCTTTCGTAGTGTTTATTAATTAGTTGATTAATTAGTCTCTCAAGATTACAGTCATAAAATCATATTGTTCTTTAAAATTAAAAATATGAATTTTCCGAAACTTTGTATAGCGTAGGAAATGTTTCAAATTCAATTAAAAATATAAGATTTTTAATTATATTATTATTTCGTATTAATTAGTAGGTTAACTTACATAACAAAAAAATATGTAATATCCATATTGGTATAAACATATTTATGTATCTGTCTCGACCTCGAAACCGGAAAAAAAAAACGTAAAATGAAAACTGACAAATTTACGGGGTTACGATTTCATTATTTTACATATTTTACGGCTTATGTTTTCTACACAAAATATTTCTCCAATAGAAAAATAACCAGAGACCATTTTCGTCGAATTTTTAATCTAGTTGGTGAAACCAAGTGAGTAGTTTTTTGATTTTCTTTGTAGTTCTTTTAATAATTGAACGAAATCGAAAAATACGTAGAAATTACGGAAAAATTTACGAAAATAATTCTGAAATTATTGAATGAAAATTAGTGAACCTAGTCTAGTGTTAGGGTATTAATGTATTTTCAAAATGTATCAAGTTTTTATAGAAAACTATGTCTACATAATTGATTCGTTCCCGGGATCATGTTTAAAAAAATATCTCATTTTTAGCCAATATCGTATTATTATGTCTTGATATCTCTGTTAGCATAAAATAATAGTTTAAATGAAAAACATACACAAGCTATGTTAGCCATTAAAAAAAAAAAAAAAAATTTAATCGGTAAGATTTGTGTAGACGAGTAAATTGTAATAATATTATATCGACGGATAATTAAACGGGGAAATAAGATTTTTACCGTTTTGAACATTGCGTTTAAAAAAAAATAATTATCCAAGTATACACACAGAATATATGATTGTATACGATTCGGTGCCAAAATTCCGTGTCTATATAGTTGCCCGGACCAAGTTCATAGCAATTATCGCGATGTCTGCAATTGACGCGAATACACCGTATGCCGCGGCATATCCGTATCAAAGAAATATCGCCCATGGCCACCCGTTTTATAGCCTATTTTGGTATAAACGCATTTTGAGGGGTATTTTCCGGTTATACGTGATGCTGCGTGTAGTATAGGATTAAATTCGCACGTATCCGCATTTGTTAATGAGAGTATTGGAATATCATTCGCCGTTTGTTTTTAATGGGAAATCAATTCGTTTTTATTTCACTCGCGCGGTTTATAGGTAAGTTTGTACGCCAATCGAATATATATAAAAAAAAAAAAAAAATTATAAACGCAGACGTTCAATTACCTATTATTATCATATAGTAAATCCGTAAATATTGTAAACCGCGTAGCTTTCCAATTAGTGGCCGCGGAAATTTTCTGATACTAATGAATAATAATGGATTAATTCAACTATCTATATACATAATGAAATGTATCAATTAAAATAGTTGTTTTAAGTTTCTATATTACACTATCCATCAATAATAATATGCTGTGCAAAGTTAAACCGGGAAAAACGATCCGCAAAGTTTATAAGGGAAAACCGTCGAAAACAAATATTGGCGTTGAGCCGACCTTATTATATTCGCATGAATAAAGTGTGGATGAAAACCGTCTGGTCTGGTAATTAAAACGGTTTTCGTGTAATAGCTTTCGGTTTATCACTCACAACAGTCCGGATAAAGCGCGCAATTCGTTATTAACCCTGTCCGTACGTGCACCCTGTATAAATAATTAGAATTCAAAATAATCACCTCCCGAGGTAAACGTCACTCCATATCCATAGCTGATAGCAGACGATTAAGAAATGCCGTAAGCTTTATTGTATCGCATTTGTGTGCGATTACTATAAATACGAGTATATTGCAGCAGCTCAGTGTTGTGTCCCAGTTTTTATTTTGGTTTAAGTCTGCGAAACAATTCTACTCAGCGTATCGTGCTGCTGAACGATTAAAGCGCAATAAAAACGAATATTGCGAGTAAACAAAAAAAAAAAAAGAAAAAAGAAAATGCACCGCCGTTTACACTTAAATTCGATAGCTGACACGAGATTTGGCTCATTTACTCCGGATTGTAGCTTAATGGAATGTTTACGATTTGTTGGATATAAAAATGCTCACGAGTTTATGACGTGTAAAGATTGTAAATTAAGTTATAGAAAAGAAAAAGAAAATTCTTATTAGATGGGTTTTTTTTCTAAATATAATCGTATAGACCGTAATATCCGATAGAATTACCAGCTTCTAAACTATTAATCCATCGGAGTTTCGTACAAAATTCGTTGTGAACCGGGAGAATACGAGAGTATTATAATTAATGTGACAGACGCGACAAACCGTAACAATAATATTGTCCTGAACTGAAAAGTATTCTGAAACCGTATATAGACTACTATACTTTAACGAGTTGTTTTACTTTTGGTATCGAAAACGTTATTATTTTCTAACGGATTTATGATGAGTATAGGTAATATTTTCAGTGTCGCAAGTTATTATATTATTTATACGCAAAAACAATTCTTAAACATTCGAAACACCGATTGTTCTCGTAAAAATAATTATAAATGTATTCAAACGCGATACATTTTATTTTATTTTATAAAATAAATAAAATTTTATTATATTATATTCATTTTATTTTGATTGCGTTGAACGATAAAACAAAACTAACGTGATTTTTATAATCAAATTGTAGTTGTCTTCGATACAGGATCTTTAAAATTGTATGACACAATCAATTTTATGAAGAAATATAAATTTTTTCAAAAAATTGATTACGAATAACTTATTGTAGAATATTATATTATCTAAACTGTTAAATTGTCCTTATTTTGTTGATTTTTATTAGATTCTTATTCCGTTTTATGTTTTCCTATTAATTCGTGCAATGTTTACAACCTATATATAAACGGGGTCACAGAAACCCCATTCCCGACGAAATAAATTACAGCATCCAATTTTTTCCTAAAGTCACTCGGAGTAAAATAAGTTTGAATCGGTTTTCTCAGTAATCACACAGATTATTATTATTATTATGTCTTGTCCACGGAAATAAACCGTAACTGTACGCGGATATGTTTACATTCGTCGTATTTCGATTCGAATATTTATTTTCAAAACATCGGAATTTATACGGTTTTTAGTTCAAATGGTTTCAGAAAAATGTGTACACCGTATCATATTATTATATTTTTGAAACAGATAAACGATAGTGAGGAATTGAATTTCTGTTTTGTAGCACTGCTTCGCGGTTTGCGTTCCCTAGAAGGTTGAATTCACGCCGTCCGTGATTTCATGGGCACCCGGAGGGAGGAGCAAGACGGGGCATCTGTACTCCCTGAAATTTCAAATACAATTTTTATAATTAGTTAATATAATTTTATTTCAAGTACTTTTTAGCGTTTGATTTTATTATGCCCCTCCCTGATAAATTTTCTGCGAGAGGCCATGCGTTATTTTGTCATTAGTCCAGAAAAACGCGTTGATCAATTTCGATTTTTGTGTTCGAAAACGTTTTTGATTAAATCCGTACTATTCGTTTTTACCGCCGGTTGGTTAGGTTAGGTAATAGATACAAAACACACGATGGAGTAGATAAAGAAAATACTTCTATATACAAACATACTGAAAAAAAAATCTGTGATCAGCATAGCTCCATCATTATTGAGTCGAATTTCCTTTGGTTACAATATATCTTATTCATTTTTATATCATATTGATTTGATATAATATGGATACCTGCAGAATTGTATTACATTTCAGTCTGAAAGGGTGTTTGATACATCCATTATTACTCGTGAAAATATGAAATTTGAGCATATAAAATGTTGGGGAGGGGTTGAAAGGCGAAAACCCAAAAGACACATCCCCGATACTTACAAGGTTACATTCTTCAGACTACATTTGGAGAATCTATAGTGGCGTTCAAAGCCGAAAAAAACCGCCCTTCTCCCGAAACGACAGGACGAAATTCATATTGGAATTCAACTAGAATTTTATCGCGAGTAGACGTTTATAAAAAACTATAATTCCCGAGATTGAGCTCATTCGGTCAATAGGGAGCCGTTAAAAACGTCCGAAAATAGCGGGGGGGGGGGAATCTAATGTACAGCCCGCACGGTTTTTATTTCCAGGGGAAATTGGACAAAAACAGCAGCCCGTTGACCGAATCGCCAAACTGTAATATTGTATTAATAACACAGTAACGTCGAAAAGATTGTGCTGTTGTCGTTGTTGTTGTTAATCTTTGTTAAACAACTGGTAATATACAACTTTCGCGGTGTTTGGCGCGCATGTGTCTAATTGGAACGGTTGGCATCACTTTGATCGTCAAACTTAACGAGCGGTCCGCAACGTGTTTCGCGATGGAAAGTGGTTTTTTTTTTTTTTAAGAACCGAACGAACGCGAAATACGTTATAATAAATGTACGTACGTGTATAATAATAATACAGAGTATACAGTGGCGTATAAAAGTAAAACACACATAATGTGACGTATAGACGCGATGAGAGTTATCATTGCGAGTGCAAGTGCGTCGACTGCGGTGGCGATCGTGGACCGGAGTCTATTTTTAATATTCACGCACGAATATTATATAATAATAATAATAATAATAATAATAATAATAATATGCGGCGAGTTTGAAAACTCCACTCGCCACAGCGCGTATACGGAGAGGATTATTATTATTGTTTTTATTTATACAGGAAGATTATTTTCCATCGTCAATGCGAGTCACGTTTAAAACTGAGGTCGGACATGAGAAGGTCTCAAAACAAACTAGGATATTAATTTTTTTCTCCTACATCCGATTTCTTTAGTTTTTATTTTTTTTTTTTGTCTTCAACACCAACCATCCAAACACATCACAATCCATTAATCACGACCCCGTGCCAGATCTTGCCGATCTATATCTGCGCGAGTATATTTTTCCCATATATTTCCTTACGCGCAGTCTTCGCAAAGAAGGGTTTTTTTCCCCCATTAGTCATAGAAGACTCTTAGTTTTGCGCGACTGAATTTCTTTCGACTATTTGAGGGTCACGGAATGAACTAACCTAACCAGTAACCGTACGAAATCATCCTGAATGCGTTTCTTTTTTTTTCCAAAAATCCTTATAATCTTTTAGCTCTTCAGTTTTCATATCCGATACGAGCGGTTGTAAAATATTTTCGTTTTGAATCCCGCTTTACGTAAACTGGGATTCAAAAAGAGAAATCGCATTGATTGAAATCCAACGAGTATAGTTGATAATTGTTATTACGAGCGACAAAATATACGTAGGTACGGATAAAATATTGAAAATGTCTCAACGTATTTATGAGTACGTGATTTTTAATGATTTTTAAAGAACCGCAATAGTTAAGATAGTAAAAAAAAAAACATTTCATAGTACAAAAAACGACTAATATAATATTTTACTAAGCGATTTTATCGGGAAAGGGTATAGGCACTAAACATATAATAATGATACGCTTAAATTTCGATACGTTATCCAATAAGAACCACAGATTGCACGTTAAGGAGCCGCAGGTTGCCGACCCCTGTTCCAGTATAACGCGAGAATAAATCCGGAATTTCCGTTCAGACGTCTATATTATCATGTAGTATATAGGTGTAGGTATTGTTCGAGATATAGAATCACCCTGTATATACACATCTTTTTTTTTTTTTTGCGTTTGTTAATGATCCAAACACCGCCTACGGGGCTAATATACGAACGGACGATATAATAACGACGGCGACGACGGCGACGACGACGATGATAATAGTATTAAAAAATACGTCATCGTGTGCAGGTCTTCGTTGATGCCGCGACGTGACTCGACACGAAACGTGCGTGGCACCGGCGATCGGATAAGATATTATTGTTGTTGTGCGCGTTCTCGAGTTTTTTCGGTTCCGCGGGCTCGTTAATACCTCGCGTTTGTAATTTTTTTTTTTTTTGGCAAGTTCCGTACACCGTACCCCGTCCTCGTCGTCGGCGCTTTTTGGCAACACGCGGAGTGGAAAAAACATACTTCCTTCATCATTACCCGTCCGTTTGGGACGCGACCGCCCCCCCCCTCCGGTCGTCGAACCGAGACACCGTCGTATAGCCGTCATGACGAATGTTCCCGATAGAAAAGTCGAAAATATTTCTCGCGCCGACGTAGGTCGTTTGATTTACCGCGCATTTATACGCTACACGCGCGTTTTATATTATAATAATTATAATAACACACGACTCGCAACAATATAATATAATAGGTATTGTCGTTGTGTATCTATAAATAATATGCGACGACAATACGATATTGTTATTGAGCAATTTTATACAGCGCCGTTAGGTTGGCAACATAAGGCCGTCACCTACGCAATGTGTTTCCGTTGACGCAGGTTAGGTTTTCGATTTCGTTACACTCGATAACGTCACTTTCGAAACGAAAAAGACGTCCTAGGATAATGCGGACGGGTGCGGCCACTGTTATTAGTAATTTAATGTGTACTTGTAAGCAACGACGAACCTTTGCTAATGAAGAAACGATTCTGAATGGAGTTAAGTCGATAGTGATGCTTTGTTAACGATATATGACATATTATATTGGCACATTGTGTCACATTATGGTAAAATAATAAAATAGATATTATATATTTACTTTAATAATATTTGTTTGACGTACCGATTTTCCCGTTTTTCTTACGTTTTTCACGGTTTTCCCACGTTTTCCTAGTTCTTCACATTTGCTGGCAAAACACTTGGGAAAATCGAAAATTGACGACCTCTTTAAAGTACCTACCTAGTCAAATTTCATTTTAGAAAAATTTTTATCATTATAAATCGGAGTAAAATTGCTGGTAGAAAAGTTGTGCATAGAAAAAAAAAAGAAAATTAATAAACTTCTTTGTAAAACCATATGCTTAACCATTCGCTCCACTCAGAATCTAAAATAAAACCTTGCTCGTAACTTAAAACTATACACCGAGCAGTTGCACTTTTTAGTAATTCTGCGTCGTTCGTCGACACAAATATCTTCCGCTATAATATTACGCGAGCTTGTAAATGATAGTTCATAATAATAATCAGTAGTATTGAAACGAAAAACTAAAAAGAAATCCGAAATGGGAGACCATCGAAATAAAATAAATAGTCGTGATCTATCTAACGCTAAGAACGAGTCTAACACATTGAAAACACGAGAGATGGGGTTTTTCTTTTTTTTTTAATCTGGCGTTCTTCGGATTCGAAAACCAAAAACACTTTATTCTTATTGTTATATTATAGTGTTTACGTTTACACGTTTCTATAACAATAACGTGTTACGGATCCTGCAAACCCGTATAGTAATTATACGCGTTTTAACAACGACCCAGTTTTGTAAATAACTCGTGAAAAAAAAAATAGAAAACTAATCAGCGCCAGACTTTCGATGTTTTTTTTTTTTATACGATGTCATTGAATCTTTGTCGCCAATACACAAGAACTTACGAGAAAACAAATACGCGCGCCTCCGAAACAACAATGGCCTTGTCGGTTTTTATTGATAATGCCGACTCGAGAGAGAGAGAAAAAGTACACCTGCCGCATTTATTATATACACATCAGTGATAAATAATCAAAATAGTCCGCGCGCAAACAATTGGGTTTCGTGCTATGTGGCGCGCGCGTATTATCCGAGCAATAATAATTTATGTCACGCCGCCGGGCTCTCGTACACTCTTATTTCGCCACGTGATATTCGTCGATCTCCGCGGCAATATCCATACGCGGGCACTACTCGTATTATAATATACCCGCGTTAATAGAAAAAAAAATAAATAAAAAAAAAATAAAAAAACAATACGATCCGAGAGGTCGCGCGTCGGGACGCCGCGGCAAAGACTATTGCAATTTCGCATCGATATATTATTATCAGTTGCAATATTGTATGTCTACTTACCTGCAGTGTACACTTCTGCAATCCGCGCATACACTCGGTCGATTCGTATTGAATATTGTAATATTATAGGTGTGTGATGCTATCACTATCGGATTCGACCGAAACGGGCAAATATTTTGCTCTCGACAGGCCTCTATAATGGCGTGGGCGTGTCCGGGAATTCGCAATGCGAATCGACAGTACGGTAAAAAATGACAATCACGATCCGCAGACAACGATAGAACTTAAACTCCGGATCAGATTTTTATTCGACGAGTCGAACTTTTCTCCTTGTAATTTGGTTTAAATAGATCCGTCTCGTCTGTCTCGCGCGCGTAATATTATAGCGGCAATAATTCCGCGATTTTTCGCGATTGCAACTCTCTGATGGTTGAGTTTACGCCAAAAGGACCTGTTTGTACATTTTATAAAAAAAAAAAAAGTATCACTGTATATTATGCCTTGACTGAATGATTTTAGATTCTGAGCGGAGAGAGGAATGTATTGGTTTTACAATGATGTTTATTTTTAATTTCTTTCTGCGAACGACAGATATTTTGCTCCGATTTTCACGTGTAGCATTTTTTCTAAAGGTAAGTTGTACTGGAGTGGTACTTTAGTGGGATAATTTGTTTTGATTTACCTACACGTTTTCCTGATAAATGGGAAAAACCAGAAAAAAAGGGAAAATTTACGTAATGTCTAATTATTTTAAAATCGTAAATATTATGGCCGATTAAAACAACTGTATAATCAAACTCCGCTCAAATTCGTTTTTCAATTTTTGTGTACAGGCATACATTAAATTTCCCCTCACCTACAATATTCAACCTACAATACTCACCAATATTTTAAAACTATTTCCACTGTACCAAAATTAAAATACATTTTGACAGTTTGAGTGGGTAAAAAATTAAATCCTAGATTTATTATCTACTAGAGGTTCAGAAGCCACGGATTTCGGACGGGCGATAGACACCAGACGGCGTCATCGAGTAACGCAACGGCCGTTCAGTTCACGAATTGACGTCCGCCAGACCAAAATCTGACTGGTTATCTCATTTTCGACCGTTGAGATTTGATTCTTTTTTACTTCGTAGTGAGTCGCGTATACTTGCGGTTGTATGACATAGTATTATAATCATATACATACAATTCTATCAGAAAACCAATGGCTTTACGTATTCGCAAAGATACAATTATAGAATATAATTATATAGAATTATAGATAATGATATAATTATGCATTACGAATATATTACACGGAGCAGAAACATTGACATTAAGAAAAACGGAGAAAATAAACTGATTACTATAAAAGAGAAAAATTTAAAGGAAAGACGTTTGGCCCTTCAGTAAATGACGAGGAAACCACCGAATGGAAAATAAGGAGAATCCGAATAGAGGAATTCTTTCAGAAACTAAATGAATTAGGTATAATCTAGAGTAGAAGATTATAGCCCGGCATAGTTGGAACCCATTATTGCATTTGGTAATGGCAGAGAACCTTTGGCAAAATACCTCTTGGATGCTCCCGTTTCAGATGGGAAGACGCGGTAAAGTGAGACGTATAAATAGAAGTCCATAATAGAAAGCAAGAGCAACTGACAAGGATAATTGAATGATAGTAGGTCGGCTACTTAACCTAGCGGTCGTTAACACTCGAGAAGAAGAAGAAGAAGAATACAGTATTATATTTGTGTCGAGGGTCAGGGTCGCGCGCAGTTCTCCGATTAAACCGGATACGTGTCGTCTGGACCGTGCCTGGGGGAGTGCGAGATGTGCCCACTCACCGGGAACTACGACTACAGGGGTGCCAATGAAATTTTCAAAGTTCCGTAGTTGAATATTTTTGCAATATACGTCAGAATGGTTTAGTTTCAGACAGGTTTAGTTTTTTTTACTCATCGGTAACATTTTTTGGTTGCCAATTTTGCTAGACACCGCACCGCGTGTCGTCGCCGCGATATCGATTTAATTAATTTTTGGGATATACATTCGTTTTGTTGATCTCTTGCAATCGCAAGACGGACGATCGAACCGAGAAAACGTCCAATCATTTTCGTTTTCGCACAGCGTATTGGCCGCGGGTTCGAAACGGTCGTGAGCCGATATTTATCGCCGATCAGCCGTTACAACCTCGTATATTATAGAGTCGCTTGTCCGCACGATTTCTCGTCACGTGTGCGCGAACAAACGTTGTCGTTTAACGTCCCGATGCAAAATTTACCGTTTTGAAAAATAAAAAAAAAAACATATACGAGTGTATATGTGTGTTTGTGAGTATATATGACAAATAATTGCTGGAACTTTGCCGTCTACGACGCGGTAATACTGCACAAATAATAACATACACACGAGTAAATACTATTATACGTACGAATATGGAATCCACAGGTCGTTCGGTTTAATACGAACCGCCGTAATATCGTTGCGTAGTATAAGTATAGGGATATAACGTGTAGTAATCGTGTTCCTATATACAAACGAGTATTGCCGCGGACGGGAACACGTAATTTTGTATTATGTTTAATCGATTACGTCTGAGACTCCGTTAGGAGCGCTGCATATTATATCGGATCTCTGGGGTCGTCCAGTATGATATTATCGTAATTTTTCTATAATATTATTCTATTCGAACTCGTTTGTAGACGCGCATAATCCAGTGTCCAGACTAAATCATCAGGGGGGGGGGTAAGCCAAATTTTAGGGGGACATTAGAAAAAAAAAAAAAAACAATATTAACTATACATATACGCAACTTATACTTGTTAGGGGTGCAACGATTTAGGTCCAGGAGGACAATGTTCCTCCTAGCCTCTCGTGGCTACAGGCCTGTGAGTAGCGGACGGTGAATAATATTATCCGCTCGTTGCGGTATTTAATCTATAATATGGAAATCATTCGTAAACGTGTTAACGCTTTTCGATAATATTATTATGAATTATATATATATATATTTTTTATTGAAATAAATCTACAACTTATACATTTTTTTTTTTTTGTACAATGAGCAGGTTTGATAAGTGTAAATAAAAATAGTTAACACGAACAATAAGATTAGGGAAGAAACCCACTGGTAACACCCTATATATTACTGTATAAATTATATATTACTATTATTGTTTTGAATAACGAACTTTCCGCCGACACGCGCATTCTTCCACACGTGTGTTGTACGGAACATAATAATTTACCAGCCGCATTGCCCGGGCTCAATCCAATTCATAAACAAAAATCAATAAAATCAATTTAATTTGACGCGTCTCCCCATTTCCGCCTTTATCCCTACACCACAGTTAATAGTTGTTGCGCCCGCGGTAATTTATCTTTTAAAAAGGGTACTTCCTTGTATGCGACAACCAAATTAAATAATATTTTAATAATACGTTTTTTCGTCCATGTCGCCGAGGTAACACATAAATCAGCGAAAAAAAAAAAAATTAAAAGATCAATTTACGTTCCGAAAATACCAAAAACCCTGCATCGGCCAAATATATAGTCCGGGGGTTGAATTTCGAGATAAAATGTAGACAGCAAACTTCGCTTCTTATTTTTGAACGTCAAGTGTGCAAAGTAACATCGAGATCGAAATAAAACTAGACGTGTATAGTGGACAGACAGACGGACGGATGTTCAGTTTTATATCGTAAGATTATTTTGTACTATTTATCTACGAATCAAAAAAAAAAAAAACTCACAAATCTAAAATATTACTCTATACGTCTATACCGTATGGCGTTTTGTTACATACTTACCAAGTATAGATCGTATATACTTCGCGATGTTAATTATTGCTGTGGTGTTTAGCGAATAAGTTTGTTACTGCACGTGACGGTTACATTTTTTGACGGTGGTTTTTCTTTTGTATTTATGTGCACCTGAAGCGAGAGCATAAAAGCTATATAATGTATTTTCTTTTTTGGCAACTGCGTTTTTAGTAAAAGATTTACTTTATAGTGGTTTTTCACCGCACTGCAGGAGTGAAATGTACCGGAAAACCTATACTCGAAAATTCGCAGCACTATATACTATATACAGCCGAAAATACATTTTTCTTTATATATCGAAATAAAATGGCTTTTGGGTTTTTTTTTTTTTTTTTTTATGCTATGTGGGTAGGCAGTTATATACAATGTATATACTTATACAGCGGGGCGTTGAAATAAATAAATAAAAAAAAAAAAAAAAAAAAAAAAAAAAAAACCGTTGGCAGGTAGGTATATAGTATATTTCTCGAACGAATAATGCAAAACAACGTCAATAAATATAAAACAACGGTTTTGGTGCGGTTTTTTTTTTTTTTAATTTTTTTTAATCTGTAACCGCGCGCGCGGCTTGTTGGCGATATAACGTACAGATATCGTTATATGTATTTATACACGTACACGCGTGTATATAGTTATACGTACGTGTATCGGAATTAATGGAAGCAGGTAGTCAAATGGGTTTCATAATGTATATTCAACTGTCATTCCGCAAATTAAACCGTTGGGCTAACGAGATTCAGAAAATATGTGTCGCCCCGGGGAACGGTTTACACGGCCAATAAATAATCATTAGCCCCGACATTATTATACTGTGTAGAAATCGGCAATGTTACTGAATAATATGTATATACGTTTGTGAAAAAAAAAAAAACCAGAAATATAGTTAGACGGACGTGATACGCTTCTGTGATGGGTTTCGTGTGCAGTGCTCGCGCGCGTAAAACACCACAATGATTCGTTGATATTTTTTTGTTTCTTTTTGATCCTCTGATCGACATTGTATTTTATAGGTTTCCAAAGCAAATAGATAAGCGAACAGAAAAAATACTAAGGTTCGCGTTAGCTTTTTAAAGCGAACGATAGTAATTTCCAGAATTTTATATTGTTATTTTTATACATTTTTCGAGACGAGCAACGAAATATCGCGTGATGTACGGTGTCAAACATTTGTTATAGATAACGTATATTGCAGTACAGTACTTAAGAGAGGTAGTTTTTAGAAATGTTCAGTTCGCTGCCCCGGAAAATGCGAAAAACCGGCGAAAAAAAAATAGCGAGACGAATTTTTAAGCAAGCGATAAAATTATATTTCCGAACTTTATGTTCAATACCATTTTTCGAACGTAACGTTGATTTCAATATACGTATATGTACAAAAATTAACAAAATTCGATATTTTGACAAAAACAGATTTTCCCACATTTTTATCTCACATCCCTTGATCCCTAGTCATGACGCCCCATTCTCAGTTTTGCGAGATTTGAACGGCGGTGGTTGAGATGTTGATGGTTTAGAACCACCAGAAGTCGGGAATACTTTGGGATTGATAAATTCTGATATTGAGGCTTGAGATGAGACTGAGACAGGAGGATTCTATTTCTAAGCCTAACCAGTTTAAAATTTTTCGGAGTGTGCATTACTTGAACATACTTAACATACATATTTTAGAAGCTTTTTCCGTCAAATTTAAACAGCTGCAAGCCGCCGTCCACCCATATTGATCAAGGTAATATTATAATAATATATACTTAGCACTGCGAACTTGAACGTTTAATAACTTTCGAAATTTTTTCCAAACAATTCCGACGACGGCTAACAAGTGTTCGCCGAGTTTGTTATAGATTTGTGCCAGCTTCGCGTAACTGACTGGATAAACGGACTTTTATTATTATTATTATTATTATTTTTTTATCGATGTTCCATAACCGTGTGGCAGTTATTATTTTATTAATAACGGCAATAAATCGGTACGAGGGGAGAGTGGATATGTTAAACTATAAAATTATAAACCCGGTCGATAAGTCACGGTAATGTTTGTCGCGCGCGACAATTTCATCGGACAGTTAAAATGAAAATCAAACGGAGTAATTACGGTTGCCTATAATATATTAATGTAATATACAATTATTATTGTATACGATGACGACATAAAAAGATCACGACTTACGAGACGGAAACCAGTTTCGACGAAGTGACTACGAAGAAGTTTATAACGTAGTGAGTGTTATTCTTAGTGCGCGGTGGCCGCCACTTACACGTTTATTATGTATCATTATCGTAGAAGGTACGGGAGAGTAAAGGGGAATTAATACGTTAGGTATATTTTATATCTTCATATATATATATATACACACACACACACACACACACACACATATGGTTGCCCGTAGATTATTTTTATTCCAGTCGCATTATAATATGCATAAAGCGACAAACAATACCGACGAAATTTCATTCTTCTCTAATGCTGTAGTGGAGCAGAAAAAAAAAAGGAGAGAAAAGAAAGTGGCGAAAAAAAAAAGAGCAAATGAATGAATCAGGCGTTTGTAAATTGTGTGTGTGTGCACAACACTATACGTATACCATTTTGCAATTTATCTTTTTTCTTTTTTTTTTTTTTCGTACTCGGTTTTAAAACCGTCCTTTCCATTTTGTTTATATATATTTACGAAAAACAAATTGCTCTTCTCCATTTTGTAAAACTAGATAAATTTAAAAATGAACTAATGTGACTTGAATCCTCGTCTGACGCGCGATAGCTTTTATTATTACTTTTTTTTCTTCTTTTTTTTTTTCTTTACGCCGTGAAAACAGTATAATTTGTTTTCAATCTTTTATAAACCCGTCGCAAAGACCGAACATATTTATATCCAAGTAAATTATTATTATTATTATTATTATTAGGCAGGCTCCTACGTAATTTATTCGTCACGATTACTTGTAGTAAAACCGTGACGCGTAAACAATTATTCGGGGTGGGGGGAGGTTTTTTTTTTAAATTTAATCTATTCTTAGGCCGGATCAGTAAATAAAGCGCGTAGGTAATAAAAACGAAGAACATAAAACGCGTATATATAAATATCGATTATCTCCGCGGAGGTTTATTTCGTAAGCTTTTTAGCGATAGGGCGCGCGTGACCCGCAGTTTGAAAAATGCATTGCGATAGTCACACGGGAAATTATTACCCGCGCGCGGGTATAAATTTTCAGTCGGAAATTAAAATGTATAACTCCTTTCGCTGCCGTCTCGAAAAAAAAAAAAAAAAACTGACCGTTCGGTATATATTAATCGTTTCGTTTCCTCAGGTTCGTTATTTTGGTATTTTTCGTTTTAAAAAAAAAATTCTCCGGACTTGCCGGCAATACGTTAACGTTTCGTCCGGGCCGTCCAATTTACGCGGTATTTGGCGGCGGCACGGAAACGTACATTATAATAATTCGAAAACTCCATAAACGTAAAAACCGATCCCGGTCTAAAAGTACCGCGAGCACAACGCCAGCCCACCGGGGGGAGGGGGGGGTGAAATACTTCCAAGTATATTGTAGGCAATTAAGGTCGTTTCGTTTACTCGCCGCTATTTCCTGATCGTTTCGAACATACACCACGGCATCCCATTTAAATTACCGAGAAATAGACACCGATATTTTGACAATACTTTTACCCATAGGTATTACGATTAACTGGTTTTTTCTCGATTTGTTACAGTACTGCATGGATTCGGACACTTCGGACAAGACGCTGTTCCCGACGTTCGCCCGCACCAGGCCGCCGGACACGCAGATATCGAAATCGGTGGCCGCGGTCCTAGTGGCCTTTAACTGGACACAGGTGAGAAACAAGTCGTAATCTTTACCTTATTTCAATGGCGTCTCTGAAAAAAACAATATATATATTATTGTAACGCAAAATCCGTCGTCGGTAAAAATCATAGACACGTTATATTATAACTAGACTAAGAATGATGGCTGTTTTACATGTACTGTCGGCTTAATTTCCAAGTGTCCAAACTCCAAAGTGGAAACCTTTCAAATAGTTAAGTTAAAAACGTGATCGTTGTTAAAGTCCTCCTACCTAACTCCAAAATGGTAATACTTTATACGGAGATCCGATGAAGACTTTTTCGTCTACGCGACAATTTCGTTGTATTTTTTTTAGCGCTTTCTTGGCGCAATACATTTTGTTTCATGGAGTTAGCACGCTCAACTAACCCAGTGGTTCTTAAACTTGTATGTCAGGTAGTAAGACCACGTGCCGATTTTTCCTATTTTTTGTAGACTCCTAATGTTGAATTTTTAAAAATTCATCAAATTCAAATTTTTTTTGCTAATTTTACAAGCTGAGAAACTGAGAAAATTGGCGCTATCAAATATATTGCTTAGGTAGGTTAATTTTGAAAAGAAAAGCTGACTTTGTTTTTATTAAAGTTAAATTTTCATTTTGTAACTGCAAGTTAACCTCATTAAATTTAGCAAACGAATTGATCAATTAAAATTGATGTTTAATGTTAATTTTCTTAATTTGGATAAAATGCTTCAAATTGTCTTTTAAAATAGGATCTTGAGCATCTAAAAACTTAAAATGATTACTGACGTAGTTTATACGATATATTTACATATAGTTTATTTATTAAGCTCCCCTATGTCACAGTTTTTATTTTATTATTTAGTAATTTGGTTGACGTGGTCTCGGGCAATATCCTGTCTGTGCAAATTTCAACCAAACTACTGCGTGGGTATGATACACTGTTATATTTTTGTCGAGGTTTGAAAAAACGGAATTTTTCTTAAAATCGATTTATGTTTCATTTTTTTTCATTTATAACCTAACATAATCCGCAGTAAAAAGCCACGAACCTCATTGAACGATAATTATTTAACTGTGCTAAACTGTAGAACATAACGAATGAGGTTAGGTCGGGTTAGGTTGGTTGCGGAATCCACCATAATAATAGTTTCAAAAGTTATCTGTTCCGCTACAACGGTCGCTGCACAATACGAAACAATAGTTATGCATTTCTGTTGAGAGAATTTTCACGTTGTCCCGGGTCAGAGGAATTATTTTCCAGACAGCGTGTACGCAACGTTGTAATATGTTTTATCGGAAATAGCCCGAACGTTGTTGTTTTATAACGTAAAATAATATCCGCGGGCGACTTGTCTAAACTATTACTGTGCAATAAATCGTGTCATTCATTCTCGGTTGGCGCATGGTCAGATTTTTTACATATACGTAAATAACAAAATTAATTAAGTCGTTGTTATAACATTCGAATCGCGCACATCGCGTGTAGATACCTATGTACAATAGTATTGTAAATCTTCGGTTTTTTCCCCCGCGACCGCGGTGAACTTTGGCTGTTCTTGCAGTATATGCACCAGGCGCTTTATAGTGTAACGCTCTATAAAATATTATAGAAATCTGTTGGTCCACATTATCGTAATATTTATGGTAATACAAGCCGATCCGTCGGTTTTATTCCGATTTCGTTTCCGGTGTACGTAAACTTTTTCGCAGAGAATCACCGTCCGCCTATATTAGTACGAATGTTAGCATAATATGCGTGCGCCCGATCGGGTTTTCCGTAACGTCGTCGTGACGGACGGCGTATGTCTATAAATCGAAAACAAAAACAAATACGTACGATGCAAAATTGTGTACGTTTTCAGATTCTGAGCTGCTTTTTATTTCTATTTTTTTCCCCCGTCTCTTAGGGAATATTCGACCGTACAACTCGTTCGGACCGTCAACATCGGCGGTGGTTTCCGATGGCAAATGTTAGATTTACAGTCGGTATACTTTAACTACTAAGTCATTTTTCGAAATCCTTCGCGCTTTGAGGAGTTTATAAATAAACGTCGGAAAAACGAGAATATAACGTAACGCCGCGCCGCTCGTTTTTATCAATGCATATAGATTTTGATTTTTGATATTTTTTTTTATACTTTGGTAAAAAAATAATAATCGCAGATACCTGAAATTATCGAATAGTTGTATTCGAAATTCAAGGTAATATCGTTTACATAGTTTAGAAACAGTAATAGATTTTTGTCGTATTATTTAGACGAATTTTCCAAACAGTATTGAGATTTATCAAGATGAATTTATTTAGATCCTCTTCCTAGACAACATTTAATTTATCTTTTACCTTATCCAAATGAAAATTTCGATATTCATAGATGAAAAATATTTAATGTTTAGTAATTTCCTAAATAAACTGAAAAAAAAAAATGTTTTATCCAGTGTTGAAAGTATTTAATAATTGCAAAAGTTATTATCTATAGCTGAATTACTACAGTGAATCACACTCTTTGCATTTACAGAATAACTTTTACCATTTAAATGTTTACGTATCCATTTCAATGTTATCACTTATCAACATTAGACAGTTAAAGAAAAACATATTTGTTTATCTATTACGATTATATTAACTATAGTATAGTATACTATACGCGAACTATCTGTGCACATGATTTTGGAGCAATTATTTCTCAAAATTATCAGTTATAGATCGATTTTACTTTTCCAAATGTTATTCACAATAACTATAGGTATAGAATTATTGTTACAGTACCCGAGATCTGTGCGTGATCGGTTCGTTTTTTCGAGGCTAAGTGTAGCAATGTAAAACCGAAATTACGAAACACATCTTGGGACAATAGCGTTTTGTCGGACTGTATATATTATATTATAATAATTGTATTTCGTTGTATTGTACGACGTATGGAAAAAGTAATTATTTCAATTCAAAGGCACAGTAAAATATGTGTCGTTTAAATTATACACCTACATAAAAAGCTATTGTATCGCCGTCTATTATTGTGTAGAAAACAATTATTTTTAAATAATTACACGATATTATTTGTCTAATTTTGGCGTTTTTTTCCCTTTTGGCGGAGGGAAATGAAATTTGATCGCATTGTTTTATAGAGCTAGCAGCGAATGTTGGCACTCGGATGGTTGTTTCGAAGAAATAATTGGTAAAAAAAAAAAAAAAAAAAAAAAACAAACAACGGCTATTACAATTTAAAATTTACACTGTGGTATAAATTCGAAGCGGCGTTTTCCGTTCAAGCAAACGTACGTATTATTTTGCGCGCGAGCGCCGCAGGAGTTAGAGTTTCGCGCTCGAAAAGCACATTTATCGATATCGCTGATCTCCCTAAAAATAATCCTATTTCAAAAAATGCCGACCCGGCAGAAAAATAATATTTCCGGTCACCGTTTAAGGGAAACGCATCACTGCAGTCATTTTTATATTGTGCGGCACGCTCAATTCACATAATAATAAGATAATACGTATAAGATTAGTATATGCATAAATACCGTAATAATATTATTGGGGTTGATTTACTGAGACGAATGGTATCGAATAATTATAAGGTTTATTTTTGTTTTTACTTTTTACGATATAAATAGTAAAGCCGAACATTTTGTAAACACATTTAGGAACGGCGGAATCGAATATTGAAACAATATTATGTAGATATTGAGAAAAAACCATAGAGAACAAGAGGTGGACAAAAAATACGCGTAATACATAATGCAATAGCACTTACACGTTAGTTTTAAGTGCAATAATATTAAGATATTTTTACTGTTATAAGCTTGTATTATATACGTAGGCACTACGAGTTTTCAATTACGAAAAAACTGGTTCCGACTAACTATTGCGGCTGTAATTTAGACTCATATTTCAATATTTCGGAACCAGTTTGAAATTATTATTTTAAATTGTTGATTATTCAATTAGCATATTATTCAAACTCCATACAATATTATGTTTCTGTAAAGTGAACTTATACAAAATATAGTATTAAAAACTATGACATTTGTGGTTTATTACGAAACACCTACATTGACTACCACGCTAGTTTCAGAACAGTTAAAAAAAAAAATGTGATTTCTAATTGTGAGAAAATAATATTCCGTTATCTCTTATACGATCAATGTCCGAACGATGTAATCATGAGATCGATGTAGTTTATATATATATACTGTGAAAATATTATTGGTTAAATTAACATCTTTTCTCATCGTTTATTACTTATTGTCACGATTTTGGAAAAAAAATAAAAAATATTATTTCCAGGTATCCCTCAGATTGGTTCCAAATAATAACAAAAAAATTGTTTTCATTTTTTCCTTTCCCTTTTCGTCTCTCTATTTTGCAAAAACTATTATCATACGAGTATTGGAATGGAATACTCGATATAACAGTGACCAGCTACAATCGAAATTATTATTTTAGACTTTATAGTGAATGAAGTTTTTGTATGCGATTTTGCAAAATAAAGAGGATGAAGGGAGAAAGAAAAATTCTGAACAATTTAACAATTTTCTTTTCATTATTTAAAACTGCTCCTGAATGGGTACCTGAATTTATTTCCTAAAAGCAAGATAATGATCATTCTAATGTATACTGGGTGTTCTAGAAACAAATGGCCAACTATACAGGGTGGGACGTACTCTATCATATCTGGTTTTCGAAATTGATTTTATAGAATTTGTTGGGTTTATCGGATTTTATTTATACAATATCCATACTAAATGAACACGGACCGTACCAGAGAATTTCTTGAGAAATTCTTTTATAAATACAGGGATCGCTTGATTTTTTTTTCCAAAAATGATCTTTATCCCCGGTATTTTAGACATATCCGATGTAATTATATTATTTTCGAGAGAAGGGACAAAACGTTTGATATGTTTTTTCTAGGATTTGCGTTCGACTATTACTTAATTAAAAAAATAACAATTTTATTCATTTATCGTATACAGGTGACGTTTTTTTACTCAAACGCGGACGACACTCATTTCGGTAAAATCGCGGCTACCATTACCGAAGTGTTTGCCAAATCGGGTATAGAAATCACCGCGAAAAGAACGTGGGATATTCATTATTTGCACGGCTATACGGACAATCCTTTCGTTAAACTCGTCGCCGACACTTATCAAGACACGAGAAGTAAGTTTTAATTTTAATTTTTTTTTCCAATTTGCTGTATGAGAACAGGTCGTTTTAATTAACGTGTGCGAGTTTAACTACATTGGCCGAATACGATTACATCACGAAGACTTAATTAATGTATATTTTCTGCCATTACAATTTCTCATGTCAATGTTGATATAAACCAAGTCGTCAATTTCAAATTTATTTTTTTATATTTTTTAGATCAGTGTAATTATCATCTTTTATTTGTAATGTAATATATTATAATGCAACAGAATAGGTATATAATGTTTTCTGTTTAACATTAAGACTTTATAAAAGAATGCTAAGAAAAAAAATAATTTAACTAAGTGGAATTTTAAAAAATTCATTGTTACATAGTATTCGAAGTTTGCTCTGAGAAAACTATAACGTCTTATTATGACCTAAGAAAAAAAAATAATATGAACAAAATTCGCAACAAATTCACAGCTCAAATATATTATTGTTATTATACTTATTTACATTCGACCGTCTTTGTATGTCGCGACTTTGACAAAAATTGACTTTTAAGTCATTCGATTAAAACGGCCTCTTTAGTGCATTAAGAAAGTTTACAAATAACGTAACGTAATCGGGTATACGGCGAGTAATTATTAACATTCTATACAAGTTTTATTAGGCGGGGGTTGTATTTTGTCGTAACGCAGTGAACGGAACCAAAAAAAAAAAAGAAAAAAGAAACCATTTCTATAGTTTTCTTTCAGACAGTATTGTTCAATCGTTTATAATATAAAAATCTAACACCGCGAAACGCGTATCTATTAGAACTTATGGTTTTGAAAAATGTTTTTTAATGATTGAAAAAGTTTTTTTACGCGGGCTATTTTTTTATCCGAGGTAATTTAAACTTTTAAATAGTTTTATTTGTAATGGCCATTGTGTAACTCGGGAACACCAGATAGGTACGCGTGCCCTTAAATGACACGAGTACAATAATACATCTCGATGGAGATTACACGATGACGGTATGGGCTATTCCTAAACTCGCGCTCAGTTGGATTCGTACAATTTACTTGTAGATACTGCTTTTATGCACTTACAAACAAGGATGTAGGTGTATAACTTCTATAATAAATTATCATTGGTATCGTACTTTTAGTGCAACGAAGGATTTATTTATAGGTTTACTAAGATGTGTTTTTTAATTGGAAAACATTATTTTGGTCAGTGAAAATGCTTTTTTTGACGCATGTGTTATCTCCGTTTTACTGCCGTCGCAAGACATAGCAAATGCTCGTTCAGCAGGAACAATTCAATGTGAATTAAGTGATTATTAAACCTATAGATAAGAATGTTAGCTTTGCAACGCTTTTAAAGAACGATACAAATATGTGAAATACTACTATTTAAAAATTATTATAATGTTTTTCAAAAATTAAAATATTGAAAAAAATGTCAACATTTACTGATATTGTACTTATATTTAAGTTTGAAAGTAGATATATTCACACTAACCGCATAAAGTTGTCCCTGCTGAACAAAAATTTGCTACTTCGTCTTATCGGCACATTTAAATAAATTTAAAAAAAAAATTGATGAAAAATTACTATACGTAGGCACTTGAGTTTTTTGTCTGGTCTATCTTGTTCAACCAGCTAACTGGTACAGAACCGATTTTTGATTTACAATGATTTTTCGTTGCTTTACAATACACAATTTTAATTTTACCTCATGACCTCTATACCTTCTATAACTTTCCAATTTCCCACCCACAACAGTGATATACCCATGGTGCAAAATGTTATGGCAGTTTTTGTTTATATTATGGAATTAAAAATAAAATAAAACGGAACATTCTAAGTTCTATATACACAACGTAGTTGAATTATATTTTACTGAAGATTAAACATATTTTTTGTATTTAACAAACATAAGATAATTTATTGTATTTTTTTTTTCTTTGGATTTTCGTGATTACGCGTATATACACCTATACTTCATTAATGTAGCGGTTTTATCATTTAATTAAAAGCTTTGCGTTTTGCGTCCTCCCATCCCAAACTCGTAATTCGCTATTATCATTGTTCGATCGTTTGAGTATATAATTTAATATAACTTAAAACCTTTTATTTGTTCCTTTTAAAATAAAATACTGTACTATTACAATAAAATATAATTTTAATTCTATAATCTCGAATATTATTTTTGCATTTATTTTTAATGAATCACGATTATTTTTTATTTTCTAATAATATTATTATTTATTTATTTCCGAGGAAAATGTTCGGGGATGTAAAAGGTACTGAGACCAATCGGTGGAGGATAAGAAATAATGAGGAAATATATAGAATCATTATTGTATCAGAAACCGGATATCGTATAGATGCCATCAGAAGTAAGAAACTACAATGTTAGGCAGGGCACGTCTTTAGAAGGAAATACCCATTACTGCATACAAAGAAAGGAATCCGACAGGGAAAAGACCCATTGAGAGATCGATAACGAGGTGAGAAAAAAGAAAGTCAAGAAAGATCCGAGAGAATTAGAATAAGTATTTGGAAATCGCGAGGATGAGATAAAGGTGTCTGCAATGGTAATTATAATATTGAAGTTTGCATTGGAGAATCTCATAAAACTTAATAAAAATAATCATACAAAGCTTGTAGTAATTAAAAGTTGAAACATTGAATATCAATATAAATTTAATGGTAATGTTCATTTTATAATCATGCTTTTATTAACGTATTTACTTATTTAACTTGGTTATAAATAATTAAATATAAAATTCTAAAATACCACAGTTAAAGAGGGGGGAAATTTACCTATCGCCCTTTCCATAAATCCGTCACCGAGAGGCTGCACGTCTGGATGAATGTTGACGAGATGACAATGCTAGAGATTTTTTTATTGCTTACCAAAAAAGTAGAATAATAATTAAATATTTGCACGTAAAAGGCACAAAAATAACCACTCGTATAATGTATGCATCACATATTATATGGTGTTTATAATTTGATTTTCGTTTTTGTTTTCTAAGAGACGAGGAGATCCCAGCTGCTGGTTCACTTTTGTAATAATGCGTTTATTTTTGTCTCGCAGTGACCTGCATTTTATTTTTTTTTTTTAGGCACAATAAAAATACTCTTAAAAGTTTCTTCCAGCAGTGACTTTATAGATATGCCGATATAAATGTAAATAGATGGCACATTAAGGAGGCCGTTTTTAGAATTTCTCTGTAGAGTCCAATACTACTTATCCGCAAAAAAATCTGCAACGTGAGGAAATAATAACGATAACGTCTTAGTTCTTAGATCACGACTTTTTTTTTAACGCGACGATTTATAAATTACTGTATTAAATGTTAAGAACAGATAATAAATTACTGACTTATTCCCTCGGTTATCCAAATCTGCAGTAGCCTGAATATACCTAATATAAAAATATACCTAAGTATAATGTATCCTCCTTTTAGACTCTTATATAGTGCACAAAATATGTTTACCTATTTAGTGAAAAGTTCACTTCGAACTTACCGAAATCGATTAAAATATTTATGTAGGTATTGCATAATAATTGCACCGTTGAATAGTATACTTATTGATTCGTTGTTGAAATTCAATTAAACGTTTCTAACCAAATTTATTCGCTATTATCACACAAAAAGTGACCAAGTATACAAAACACGTTTAAATGCCGTATACTTCATCCCTGTATATGCACTTGGTTTTGCATGACGGCGACCATGTAACGATATGTTTTTTTTTAAATTCAGATTTTTAATTTAGTTTTACTTAGAAAGTATATTATGGTTTTCCTATGGAAATAAATTGTTTGACACAAATTCCTCGGCAACGTTGAAAACAAACATCCAATTTAAATGACCTAATAATAAAAGATCATTTATATGTATTATTTACATTATTTACATCGACATGCCAATTATTATGCGTGGGTTTTATTTACTCCGTCGAATTACATTCTTAATACAATAGCTTACAGTTGCATTATAATATATTATGCTGCAGTATATTACTGCGTAGAAAGTAGAGTATCGACAACCCTAATCCTTATTATCATATTTATTTCGAAACATTCTTCAGTTAAGTATGTATTTATTTTCTGTTTCGTTTCCGTGCCGATTGTTGTGTCCGTTTTTATTCGATTTCTGCGATTCGACAATGCCGATTTGTCCGACGCGAGTATTTTTAATTCATAATAATGTTCACTCGTTCTGTATGCTAGATATTCTATACATTTTTATTATTGTTTTTTTTTTTTTTTTGTATATTGCCCGTACCGAATAAAAACCAAATGTTTAAAGATGTTTTTCCGCAATGAGTACTCATGTTTATTGATTATACGTATTTAAAAATCATAAAAAATATACATCATTTTCGAAGATATAATACCGATTTATATAAAGTTAAAACGGAGATTTCCAAAATGTATCTATAAACTTATTGTTTAAGGCGCACGTGACATTAGCATAATAGGCATGTTTGTCACTGACGCAGAAAGGGTTAAAAAAAAAAATAAATATTTTATTAAACTATAGTTTTAATTTGAAAAGTTAACGGTTGTCACTTATTATACTTATAGTTAGATAATGTTTTAACTGGAATTCACCGTAGTATAGCGGTAGTGAAATACAAAATAGTATAAAAGCGCATAAATATTCTCGATCTGAAAACTGCTGTATAAGTTATATTATCGAACGTTTACAAAATATCCTGCGCAAAATAACAAAATTACGATAATCATTTCCGTTCTCTGTTTATAAATTGCAATTTTTTTAATTTAAACTTTCTATTACCATCGTTACTTACACATTTCCACATTTTACGGATTTAATAATTTTGAAAAGTCTCGAGTGTATTACGCGTATACATTAATATGACTTGATTTGCATACAAGATGGCGTTTATATAATATTGCTGCATTGACACTAAACGAGTAAAATACCTTTATAGAATAATATAATGTTGTTCAATTCGAATAGCAATACTCGAGCCAATCATTACGCGTCCATATTAAAAAATATCGATCAAATATTATTCATTGGTACGTTATATACGTTCCATTCAAACGAGAAAAAACTATTATTATTGCGTATTGGCCAAGATAAATTAAAAATATAATACATTTAGATACGAAGTCTAGATGTTTAAAAACAATAATAACAGAATTTATCGGTTACATAATAATCATAAAAAAAATAATGTTCTACCTACATGTCACGTAGGTTCTTTTATTATGTTTTCTCGTCTATAAATAAGTTAAAACAAAACAAACACTAAATTATTTTTTGAAAGCTTAATGAATAATAGTGCGTGAAATTTTATGTTGTGTGGAAATTAATATTTTATTTAAATAGTTTATTTAACTCGGTTTTTTTTTAAAGTATCACACGATAATAATTTTAAATTATATTTGTTTTATACTACCACGGTTAATTCATTAACTGTATATGCTGAATTAATTATTGGTAATTTTTATTACATTATCAGTTGCAGAAACAATTATTGTATTTTATTAATTATATTGATATTAGATTAGATTGTCGTATACTAATTATTTTTACTATTCGGAAATAATTTTTTTTTTTTTTTTAAATTCTGTGTAAAACCTCTAAGTGTGGCAAAGAAACTATTGTTGTTTTACTTTTACTTCGATGTATATTTTCCTCTTGCCGGAAAAAAACTTTTTCGGTTAGTGAATTATTTCACTTAATACCTTAAAAGGTGTGAATATTATGGCTAACAGTACTTTATTTAATAAACATTTTGAAATTCCCAATTTCTTTCAATTTTTCTAAACAATTGAACAACTAAAATCAGATGACGCTGGTTTTAGTTTTGTTATAAATATCATAAATAAATAATAAATAAAAAAATATCATAAATATCATTATTGAAAAAAAAGTAAAGTCAAGTAATACCGACTGCCGATTTAATCACTTTTCGGATTAGTTTTTTCAGTTTAATACTATCTCGTCTAAAACTAAAATGCTATGTTTTAATCGTCCGTATAGTGTTGTGATTTATTCATGTCATAATAAATTCGCTTTTTTTTTTGTAAACAAATATCCGTAATTGAATTAATTTTGTAGGCACATATTTTTATTCATAAAAAAAACCTGATGAATTATGTTTAACTATATTTTTTTGTCGTAAATTAATGCCATGTTATTTTGGTCTTTCATTTTTCAAAAAAAATGTTCAAATTGTTTGTGATGACATTACATCGCTATATTAACCTAAAACAACGGTTATAAATATGTAATGTTAAAATTAATACGTGTTAAATATTTAAACAAATGAAAAAATAGTGATAAAAAATGTCTCATTTAACTAACCAAATTGTTCACGAAATGAGTAAAAATAAATTTAAAAAAAATATAAATTTCGAAAATTGCATGATTAATAATATTTAATATGATAAATTATTTTACAATCGAAACGTATAGTTGATTTATGATGGTTTATATTATTTATATTATTAAAACATGAATTATGGACTCGACAACAAAGAAACTGTAGCGTAAAAACACTATATTGATTATTTATATTAAATTATATAGGTACCAGTGGCGTATTTACGGCGGCGTAGGCGTACCCCTAGAATCTACTTGCGGAGCGAGAAAAAAAAAAAAATTTAAAACCGGATAAATGTTTCTGCTACTTTGTTGATGAGTTAGTTATAAACTAACAAATTATACAATGTATTATAATCCTTGTGCTATTAGGTTTCCAAGCTGCGGCTGAATATCAACCGCGATAAATGATAGCTATGATGAACAAGAATTAACTGCACAGAAAAACCGATTTTTGACGGATTACGGTTAGTTATGGTTAGACGGTTGGAAATTACATACATATTTAATAGCGAATGCTCTCCGAAAAATACCTTTAGATATGTGCTTAACGGTTGTATATCCTTCTTTCCCCGCCCGGAAGAATTTGAAAATACGCCATTGATAGGTACTATCGTTATTATCCGCACTGGCTTACTGACTTATAATCTAATATTTTTTTCATTTGTTCCGGTTCAATAACACAAACGTTTTTACGAAAGAGGTCCGATAAATACAGAAATCATATTATTTTAATGTTATCTTTTGTTCTCACCCACGTGTGAACCGGTTTTCGTCAACATTAGAGGTAGTTTTTGGTAGCGAATTTTGTCTAGTTTGTGCATTAGCGGTGAGGGGGTGATCATTTTTTGATATCCCTCGTATTTGTCCTGTTATAATAACGAGGGGAAAAAACGAAAATGTGAATAGTTTACGTTTTTCAGGCTAATCTACCGTCTGTATGGGTTTGTATTGAAATTTGACCGCCGCGGTGGACGGTGCACCGTCCCGTTTTCCAATCAAACTAAATCGATTTTATTGTAATCCGGTGAAACATAATCGTAGGTACCTGTAACTTTCATCGAATACTTATGTTAGCACTTTACAGATGTGGTATCATTTTTGAAACATTTTGGACTTTTTTTGGATTATTCGTATAGTAATTTGACATTTTTGAGCTATTTTTTTTGGCTTCGTATAAATGTTTGAGAATTTTTATGTAAGGTCCGCGCTTATAAATTGTTCTTACTGATTGCACATTTGGTTTCACTTATTATATTTTATTAGCAAAAACGTATAACGATATTAGTTTTAGCTAAATTTAGTTTTGTATACATATCGTTTTATATTAATTTATAACTCATGAAAACCTGAACACGATTAATCAAAAAAAAAAAAAAAAAATATATTAATATTAAACTGTCAAACATTTCGAAATCCTCGAGTATTAAACATATTTTGATTTATTTGTAGTCCGCGTTGAAAAACTTTATTTCCGTATTGCAGTAGTATAGACACATACATTTACAAAAAATATGAATGTCAATATTATAATATATTTTATTGTACAATATGTTCAACATATTTCTTGAATATTTGTCAGTATCAAAGATTTATAGCTATAATTTTCAAAGGCGTTTGTCGTTTTTTGTCTTTGTCACGGGCAATATTTAAAAAAAAATAACTGATACTGGGAATGGGAGCGGCCACTGTTGTAGGTGAGAAGTTGGGAAGCTAGGATGCATAAGGTTATTTCATTTATATCCCTAAGCAACGATAAACCATTGCTGACGAAAGCCGATTCCGAGCGCAATTTGATAGTATATAATTTGAAATGTCGTATTTTTTTTTTTTGCAATTTTCGTTAAAATTTGATTTTAAAACGCTCATAAAAATAAAAAAAAAATTCGTCTGATGATTTTTGGAAATTTTACCACGTCTAGTTAAGTTCAATATAAGTATTATTACCAAGGTTTAAGTTTCTAAAAGGTATCTTGTGATTTTTCGATTAATTTTTATAAAATTATGAAATCGTAAAATTGTACGTTTTTCTATGTTTTTTCCTACTCGCGTGCTTTTATTTCAAAATCGGTGTCAAAAATCAAAAAAATGTCTCGTTTAAAGTACAATCTAGACAACTTGAGCTTACAGAAAAATCGCCGACCCCGTCGGCGTTACAATTCCCTTATCGGTGAACTACAGTATGTAAGGTTCAAAAAAATCGTAGTTTTAATTTTATGTTAATATTTCTAACGAATCCGGAAAGACTTTGAAATGTCGTCAACTACAAATTACTCAATTATCATAGGTGATTTACAATATAATATCTTTAAAACCCATTTCAAAGGCCCGTTTGGTTTGTTTTGCGTCAGCACATTTTTCGGATACATTACCCGATATTTATATAAAAAGACCGAAGCGGCATTTAACGCCAACGGCCGTTCTACAGTGTTCTATAAAAAATATAATGTTTTGCGTAACGCTACACCCGCGTCCATTATTGTGCATTTCTGAGATCTTATATACGGCGTTTGAACTATATGTTATCGTGCGCTTGTTGTTCCACGTAGAACTTTTATCTGCAACACGCTAAAACATTATCGTTTTTCGGGACACCGTTTTGTTTCGACGACGGTCGGTAAAAATATGTATTGTCTTTATCATATTATTATTATCACAGTATATATGTATGCGTTTCATAACAATAATGTATTATAGCGAGTGAACGCTGACAACCGCGTCCATAGATATTATTATCGTTATTATTATTCCGCATTTTATCAGTGGCCGTTCGCAGTCACTGCACACGCGTTTGTTATCGGTGAATTACCGTATAAATATTCGGCGAAATGTACGACGCTTTTTGAAAAAAAAAAAAAAAAACTACAAACACAAATACGAAAAACCCCAGTTTTGTTTACATTTTACCAATAGACGTTGTTTTATTTTATTGTTTTTTAATGCCGCGGTCATTTCGACCCATCGTAACCGCGGAATGTTCGTATTTTCAGCATTATCAGCTAACGACACACGCCGCACAATATAGTTAACCGTATTGACAACAATGAAAGTTCACTCGAGAGATATACGTACAGTCGACTCTCGATAATTCGAAGTTGGCGGAACTTATGAAACATTTCGAATTACCGAGAGTTCGAATTGCTGAGTGGTTCGAAATTTCGAGAGGGCAAGAAAACAATTTGAATTACTGAGTTATGAAAAAAAAAATAAAACAATTGCATTGTTACTAAACTTTTCATCGAATTTGGCAGTATATTATAATTATTTATTGTTTTTTTTTTTTTTTTAAATTTATTATGTATATTAAACGTATCAATAATAATAATAATTCGAAAGTTATCCGAAATGATAACCTAAATGTGTATATAAATGGTAAATTATTAACGATAAGATATCACGAGAAACACGTTTAGTGAATATACTTCGAACTGCCGAGCGTTAAACGGATGCAACTTCTATAATAGTTGTCGCGTGTCGGCGGCTACTATTCCCTACGATTTTACTTACCAAATGTTTCGAATTACCGAGAGCCGTCCGTGTTATACAATTGTGATTCGCATTTATTCGACACGATTTTAACTCAACACTCTGACACATTGTTATAATAGTTACGCGCAATGTCGAAAACGCGAATGTCACAATGGCATTGCGGCTCTCCGACAAATACCGGCCCGCAATGATGACTGTTTATTGTTTCTTCGTTTCGAATCTGATTAAATTAACGTAACGCCGTCTGGTCGTGTGTGGTTTTCAAAACACGCCTAAATTTGCATAATAAATACAAACACCAGCTATGGCATAACACCAAGAACGCGCTTGTGAATACATTTCATTGAACGCAATAAAATGACGATTGCAGCCCGCTAAATGGCTACTATACGCGGATTGTGTGTATACTCGTATATGAAATAGGCGTATGTTTTTTTTTTTTTTTTTTCTCATTTCCAACGCCGAACGAATAATTCGGTTTGTTAAGCTAATGAAATATCTAGTTTGACTCGTTTTTCGTATCTACGAGAAGACGAATCCGAGAATTTTCTCCGATAAAACGGAATGTTACCTAAACGCGCGCGAATTAAATCGAAATACTTCGGTCTCGAATCGGTTTGTGTAGCACCAAAACTGCAGCCCACCACAACCGTAAACCGCACGTTCGTTTGAAATTTAATTTAAATTGGGTTTTAACGAATAAAAATTAGTCGATAATCGTAATTTTGTTTTCGTGATTATAAAACAATACTATTTTTCGGTTAAAGTTTATCGACAAATATTTTTAGTAACCGAACTTAACTTCGCAGAACTTGTGCTCTACTAGATAATGACGGTAACGCGAACCAAAAGTATTTTAGACGCCGGAATAAAAATACCGCGAAAAGGTATAATTTAAAAGTGGTAAAAATACAAGAATATTCGAATAGGTGCTCAACAAGACCGCTTGTTATTAAAATGGCATGTAGAAAAAGTGGCGTGGCGAATAGGTCATTTCGTTACGGTCACCCGTAGTAAACAATGCGGGCGGCGGGCGAGTAGGTAGGTAATCGGCATAGACCTATTAATAACATCGCCAGTAATATTATCATGGGGCATAAGTTTTTAATGCGGTTATTTCAATTTGAATAACAATATGATATGTTTAATAAAAATGTTTAAACTTGTTATACTTATATTGATATTTAATTACTTAGTGAAACGATATAGTCAATTTTACTATAATTTTTATTAAACACATTTTTAATGCATTTTAGTTAGCGGAGGTACAAGTTTCAAAGGGTGTGCGGGTAAGTAGCTAAAATGTATGTTCGCTCCTAGTAAATAAAATGCTGTTGCCACGTCACTGTATATAGAAATACAATATCGTCGGAATGGAAAATCGTTGAAACGCGCATTACAGAAAAAAAAAACCAGCCTATAGAAAATATATACGAATTACGTAGGCCGGATAAGATACACAGTACACATTCCGTTCGTATATATTATAATGACATGCGGCAATCAAAAAGGCATTATAATGTTTACAATAATAAAAATAATAATACGCTCACTCGGTATATACATATGAATATTTTTCGCGGAGTCAAATATACGAGAGTAGGCCTTTTTTCCCGGGACGACGCCGTTTGCCGCGATCTCCTCGAGGTTTTGCGTCGGAAATCCGCTCGCGCACCACTCGTATTATTATAATTTACCGACCGATTTATTCCGGCGGCGGGCCGTTTCTTGTCGCTGCGTCGTTTTCGCGCCGACTCTTACGCTCGCACGTATTTTCCCGTGTTTATACGCTCGTTCCGATTTCCGTTCACCCGATTGCCCCGCGAACCGGAAGCGGAAACGCTGTTAAAACAAAAGCCGACGCGTTACACCCGGCCGCGTACACTAGTCACCGCCGCGGGCGAACCCCCGTTTTCGGAAAACGCGGCATCGGCTATACCCGCCGAGACCCGCTACACAATGTACACACATAATACGCAGGTTATTACACCTCTCTCATGTTCAGAATTTAAAATACGCCCGTAAGCACACACGATACAATATACGATTGCGATACGACGATCGGCGTTAAGACGTTTATTTTATTCTTCTCGGTTCGAGTTTTGTGGCCAAAGCCCGTAGTAATGTCAAAAAAAAAAAAAAAAACACGGGCGCTATAATTCTGTGTACGTCATCGTCCGTGTAAACACGTGAAAACGTGCAATTCCGAACGTCAAAGCCGGGCTCGATTTAATTTGGACGTATCTCTGAAAATCGAATTCGACGTGACACGTTTACGCGTTTAGAATACAGAGTACCCTCTGGAAACAAAACACGCGCGTCGTGTTATAGTTTTGTAAGGTATCGCGATGCACACATGCACGAGTCGAATCGAATTTTAATCGAAAAATAAAATCGTTATACGAAACACGAAATGTTCAATATATTTGTTCGTCGGCCCGTTCGTTGGTCTGAATTTTACTCCGGGGATTTCTGTATGAGTATATAGTCATATTGATTTGGAGTCCGGATTTATGTGCACCTAAAATTCACAAAATGAGCGCTTATAAACGTCAAAAAAGCCCCCCCCAAAAAAAAAAAAAAATACTTAAAAATATTTGAAGAGTATGAAAGAAAGCGAAAATAGTAGACGGGAGACTTCTAACCCCTCTAACATTTTTGCTATTTTAAATGCTTTTTTTTTGTGGATTTTAAGGGCATATAAATCCGGTCTCTAGACTCATTAGTATATATTTGGACTACAAAAAACCGACAATTTTTTCGTCCTTCTTTGGAAAACGGCGTTTTGGTTGTAAGTTATGGAAATTACTTGCAATTTTCAATTTCTTATCTTTAACAAAACGATATTATAACACATGTCGTCGTGAGTTATGTACGGAAAACCGAGCGAAATCTATCGATATTATTACATAAAATTAAAAATTAAACAAATTTCATAGCATAACGTTTAAAAATCTTACAAAATGCGGATACTGAACAGTAAAATAATATTAAACTCTAAAATAGTACGAAAATAAATATAAATCACCCGCTATAGAATACCATCTCGTTTCCCAACTCGTTAAAAAAAAAAAAACATTAGAATTTTTAATGCATTTCGAATGCGACTATGCCAACGATGTTAAAGTATTATTATTAATATTTTTTTTTTTTACACGTTACAATTCGTATTCGTTTTAATTTCTGATATTAAATGTGTAACAAAAAAGTGTATGCACTAAAAGATGATATCCTCGCAGTTAGCCAATTTTCGCGGACTTCAGTTTTTTTTTATTTTACGTTATTACGTTATTTTCGACGAAAAACAGTTTCGGGCATAGAACAAGCATAATTATAAATAATCTTCTCGAAATAATTAGATAGACTCATCGCGGTCTTATTACCACTATATAAGAAAATTTGTTTGGGGGGTTTTTTTTTTTTTATAAAACAAAACATTTTTTTTATCGTAATTTTAATAAACTATTAGTGAAACATTTGTATTTTTATCAGTCGAGGAATAACAGCCGTCGGAGTTTTATAGGGAAACAAACATACAGAGTATTATGAAATCTGAACGTTATTTATTTAGAAATGAAGCTTGTTAATAGTTTCTCGGTTTACTTAAAACGAGAAAAGGATCCGGTAAGTCATCCGAAACTGGACAGAATTTCGTAAGTGATTTGTACCTGACTTACCCGGTTATTTTTCCTGATAACGTGTCAGTTTTCCCGACTTGTCCACGTTATTTCGGCTTCACGCGAAATGTTATTTTATTATTCGCTTCATTTTTTAGACTTTAGCGATTCGACTTAATTTGAACTTTCGAATTTGTAAACAAATACATTTATAACGTTTCAGAATTAAAAACCAATTTTTCTCTGATCGAAAAAAAAAGCGAATTACCGTCCGGTTCAATTCGCATACCTACCTCTTTATCCTTCAAAAATAATTGAAACAAAATTAATTCGCTTAATTCAATTGTATTTGATAGTATTGTAATATTATATTTGTTCATAAAAACTATTACTGACTCTGTACAAAAAAAAAAAAAAAACGTAATATAATATACGAGTGTATATTTCATACATCGAGTTATGCTAACAAAATTACGACTTACAGGAATGTTCAAATTGGCCGTTGTTCGTAAGCCATCATTACGATATGGGTGCGGGGTGTGTGTGTGTTTTTTGTTTGCGATTTCGAAAGCGTAAATAATTTTTGTTTATTGACTTTTTGTATTAGAGGATATTCGGGGAGAGCTTTAAAAATATTAAGTAGTTATTATCGCGAACAAGTTGAACGTGTAATTTTTTAATTAATGAAAGTGTCTGCGCCAGACGTGCGGTGCCGCTGTTAAACTTATAGTTTGTCGGTCTTCGGAGAGCGGACGATAACTTCGTTTCAGAACACAGAGTTTATATTATACGAGCATTATATTATTATTATATTAAAGTCTCTAAATAATAAAAAGTAAACTGCAGACTGGTGTCCAATGCAAACGTTGCGATATGTATAACTAGACAAATACAAATTAATAACAGTACATTTTATGATAAATACTATTCTAAAATAATCGTTTTATTTTCTATTCTATTTTTTTTTTTTATTAGTTTAACTAAAATATCGAGAGGGCGTGCACTGTCCCCGTTCCTACAAACGCACGCCATTGCGAATTTGTTTTCAACAGGGGCAACCTTGTGTCGTTAGTTAGCACAGCGAATCGACCTATTATCAAATTTAATGATAAGAACCTTATCTTGTGCGTCGATGTTTTGTCGATATTTGAATAATTCTTAAGAATGACACGAGTATATTATACGTGAAACACCACTGTTTATAAGTCGATTTAAAATTAAAATATCGAACGTATAACACAGATAATTATGTTCTTGCTTTATGTTTGACGACAAGTCAATTTGCTCTAATATTGATACTGACGCGACGGTACAAAGTTATCCCTGCTGAACGTTAATTTTTTATGTCGTACGTTTGTCAGAGACGGAGACAATACACGCGGATCCACACGATGTCTTTAACAAACTCAGCTCGTCGTAATAATATTCTATTGTCAATAAGTGATTTTATTTCCGGTAGCGTATCAATTTTTACGAGCTAAATTTTTATTCGGTGTTGTATATTATGACTAGAGTGGATGTAATATATACCTATGATTTTGCTTATATTTATCGGCTGGTCAAAAAAACATTTAGTTTATAACAAAATGCGTTTGATGACCTAATGATTCTGCGTACACAACATTTTATTTTGCATACTTTGGCGTTTTTCGGTGACTTTATGGCATATTTTAAGGATTTTTGTTTCGTTACATTTTTTTGAGATATTTTCATCATGATTATTGTTGTTATTATTATATTTAGACCATATTTTTTTAATGGTATATTTTGGTAGTTTTGGTATTTTTAGTGAATTATATATCTGCATTCTGCACACATATTTAAAGGTTTTCAGGACGTACGAATATCGCTCCTAATTATTGCTGTTATTTCTGCACGTAGTTCAAACGTTTTTCACGCCAGTGTTTGAATTTATTGTCGTACACCACACGAGACCTAGAATATACCTATTATCGAATTCGAATTTTAAATATTTTTATGATTCCGCCGTAAACAATATCGAATAATACGAAAAAGTTTTTGTTAAATAAATAAAAAAAAAAAAAAAAACAAAAGTTACATAAAACCGAAATAATTCGATTGAAACTCGAGAGTTTTCCGTCTCTGTATAATAATAAATGAATCGAACGATAAATTAAACGCGTTTTTGTTCAACGCCCGAAATGACCACCGCTACAAATATAAGCAAAACGCTCGTATAAAATCGCGTGAATTACAAAAGATAATCAAAACTGCGCAGTTCTACTGTTATATTTTCTGTGTTTTTGTCGAAACGCTCTCGCAAACGTCGTGGTCGTCGTCTGACAAACCGTTATTAGAGAAAAATCAATGTCGATTTCTTATTTTGTAAGCTTAGATTACTCTGTTTTTTTTTTCATCAGTTGAAGACCAGTGTTCTAATTTGGGCGGGAGGGAGGAGATAAGAGAGAACGCAGGAAAACTCCGTGTATCTTAACATATTTTTCAGACAATTTAGCGTACCTTTACTATTTATTTTAAGTGGGGCACGTAGACCGGTACATATTTTTACATTTTTAGCCAAATAATTTATAATGTAAATTCCTATATCATGCTTAACTAAATTTTTACGACTAACGATAAACCTTAAATTTTCGAGCTGGACCAAAACCATTTTAATCACACGAAACTAAATTAAAACCTACACAAATTAAAAGTTCAAAATGTTTATAAAAAACTGAAAAACGCCCAGAATGTTTTGCTATACATAAATGTTCGGTGAAATGTGCAGTCTACGATTATTTTTCACTAAATGACAGAAACCGTTATCGATTTAATATTATTATTTTCCTGACGTTTTTCTCGGTCTTTTCCGAATATTGAGAAATCAAGAGAAAAAAATGCCTGAAAAAATTACCTCCTCATTGCATCGACAACCGTAAACCGTAAAAAAAAACATATTCCATAGTAAATCAATCATTAGAGTATCTACTCTAAAATAAATATATATATGTATACTTAAAATGTTAGCCAGCAGTATAGCGTTGATAAGTTTTTTGAAGTTAAACGTTTTTATTTTTCGTAAATATTATTAATCATTGAATTATGCTTGAAAATTGGTATAGTAAGGAGGTGGCGAAAGTGAAAGTCCCCTACGGGTACAATAATTGCAATGAACGTTAATTTTATTTAAGTCTTTTATTTTTCCATTTCGAGCATCGGTTAAAGGACTCTATTCACTGAAACGACGCTTTTTTGATTTACCGCCGAATTGTACGCGGTTATTTGTCGAATACGATAAAATACGCATAAAAACCCTAAACCCTTGCGATTCGGGCAATCGCATCGGAAATAAAACTCCGCAATCAGACTCGCACATTAATGCGGTGAGTTTAGTCTCCGATAAAAATAATAATAGTTCACCGATAAATTACGAATCAATTTTTTTTTTGACATTTTTTAAAACAATAAAAACATGAATTATTGTCTCACGACAGAGGTTCCTGGCCTATTTCGACTCACGGCACACTTAATTATTTTCTAAAAGTCCGGAGGCACCCTATGGCCTATACTCTATACTGAATACGCAATAGTTATATATCGTCTACTTAAGTTTATATTTTGTAACTTCGGTTTTGTTTAGCTAAGTGCCTTAGTACAAACAAAAGTAGTACGCATATACACATATTACACTTTATAAAACAAATTATTACATTGAACATTAACTATATATTTTATATTTAATTGTTATTATATAATAATATTATTTGATTATCAAAATTAATAAAAAATTAGGTAACTTATGGGACTAATGTTACTAACTTGACACTTGGGCTTGTTTTTTTTTATGTTTACAAGAGTAGAAAATCCTTGTTCACATACATATGACGTCGAAAAATTCAGTGATATTTTCATACAGCAACGGAACCAGTATGGAAATTAAAATAAGATTGAACATCGCAGTATTACTATGTACAAATTATACGTATTATATAATTAATATATTAAATTATACACAATAGGTGTTATACTATAAAGTATAGTACTATGATCTGTTTTATTACTCACAGTGCTGTATTTTTCATGAAGTCGTTTTTAAAAAAAAATATGTATATATATTTCAAATAATTTCGCGGCACCCTAAATTTAAGTTCGTGGAATTCAAGTTGAGAACGCCTGTCTTACGGGCACCTACTACCAGGACATCGCGAAGTGGACATTTGTTTTTAGACTTTCAGATTGAGAAAGAGGACCACGAACGGATACGCGTTAATTTCAACGGATTTTTTTTTTCTAATGAAAATTAATCGCTTTTAAAAAATTGTTTTCTGCTATGGATATTATACATATCAAAAGTAATTGTCGTCGTTATACGTACGTGTTTGTTTATAAAAACATTTTTATTGTTTTTTGAAAAATTTGAATATAGCCATTTTATAGAGTTTATTCTTCTAAAAACATTGACGTGTAAACTTTTGATTTTTATTACATTTGTGATGTTTAATAATTTTCTAAAATTCAGAGGAAAAAAATGTACAGTTAATTATTAGCTATGATGAAAATAAGAATAAAAAATTATTAGCGAATGAGATTACATTCTGCTGCATTATAAGTACTTTTTTCTGAACTATAAAAAAATATTGAAAATGACAAATTTAATAAAAATTAATAGTTAATACGTCAAAATGTTTAAAAGAATAAACTCCATAAAATGGCTATTTTCAAATTTTTCAAAAATAATAAAATAAAAGTTATTCTTTTAAATTTTTCAAAACTTCTATTAATATATAAAAAAAAAAAAATTAGAATTTGATTATCTTTATTATCTTCGAAGATATTGGTAATGGATCCATCTTCGTGGGATACTCTGTATTGAAATTTTCGAATTTTCTTTTATGTCGTATTATTTACTTACGAAACATCGAAATACGATGCTCCAATCAGAAGTTTTCTAAAAACAAAAAAATCGATTTTATTTTTTTGTCATTATTTATTGTGGAGGGAAATATTTTATTGTTAAAGTATCCATGTAATACGGTTATATATATTCACAATATATTATATTATATTCAACCGATGATATTGTATTCGGAACGTCAAATTATAAGTGATGAAAATATACGAGTATAATATTCTACTTTTGTATAGTTTCTTATTGTTGATAAATTTTATGCTTTCCGAGAATATTTGGTTAGGTAATAAATTGGATTTTTTTAAAAAAAAACGACTAAACCGAATTTATGACCCGGTAAAATTCGTATTATTATTATTATTAAACGAATACATTTCATACTTGCCGAGTCTGTCTTTCGAGTTTGTAAAATATTAACACGAGAAAATTACATTATTGCACTGGTAAATATTATATTGTCGTTAATCGAATGTTTGTCAGTTATCAGCTATATTCAATTAAAACGCAATGTATTCGTATGCGAAAAATATCATGGATGATGAGGCAAGACGAGAGCCGCGGGGAAGAGGAAAAAAATGTGTGGCCCGAGGTGGAGAAAACGGAAAATTCGTGATGAACTGGGAGTTTCGGGCGAGAACAAATATAACATGCGTCCGACGAATCCACTTCGACGACGGTTAGGTCAGGTTTGGTCAGGCCAGGTTTGTTTGTCGGCGATAACGTGCAACGTAATTATTATTCGGATATGGTTGGAGTATAGACATTTTTCTTTATGCTGTCAACCGTTTTTTTTTTCATTATTCGGTGTACGTAGAACGGTTTTGACAAAACTGTTTTTAGGCGAATTGATTCGCTTTATTTTTAAGATTATTATTATTATTATTATTATTTTTTCTTTTTCGTATAATACCACGACAAATGAAATATAACGCGGACGGGACGGTATCATAAATTCGTTTAAAAATCCGAGCTTAACGTCAAAAGATCCGCCCGCACCAGAAACTATATAATACGAAACGTTTGTGCAGTGTATAATATAGCGATGTGATTAACTACTGTCGAGTGTACTCGAGTTGACTGTGGGACATATTTTCGTGTATAAGAAAGTACGAAAATATTGTTTAACGTTATTATTTAGTTGATTGGAGGCGTTTTATAAATCGCGTGATTATTTCGAGAATGTAATTGAAAAATCCACAGGAGTTCGGCGAAAATAATATGATTTGCACTATACCTACAGTGTGCAGCAGTGGGGCGAACGTGTGCGATTTATTATGAAAATAATTAAAACGGACGCGGTATTCAAGGTGTTTTAAACGAAAATAACTCCGCGTATCAAACGTAACCACCAATCGGTAAGTATTCCAGCGCTATCGGTATTTCGGTGCACCTAACGGATTGTTATAATTCGTTTGAAAACGGGATTCATTCGGTTCCAGAAACGTCATAAATGATATATTGTTGTATAAGATAAGCATAGCGGATATTATATTTTTAATTTATTTTTTCTCATTTACAATACCGTATTTTAATAAACGACTGAATTTTTTTTTTTTTTATTTTACAACGCAGGTATTTAAACGGACGTGTTTTGAAAATATTTTAAGCCAAACGTTCTAGAGAAGTTCAGACGATAACGATTCGAGTTGATATTTTTTTAATTGGCTGTATAATATTTTCTTTATTTGTATAGTTGTACCAAGATAAACGGGTTGTTTTTCAATTATAATTGTTTAGCTCAAAAATTCGATATAAGGTTCCTCATAAGTTGCTTATGAGTTGTTTTTCGAAAAAAATTCAAGATTTTAGTTTATCTGTCTGTTGACGACTTTTCTTTCGGGAATATTGCTCCGATTAGCATATTTTATGAAAGAAAATTCTATCTTGTTGAAGAAGTTATGTTTTTGCTTTTTCTCGCAGTATTTATTCTCAATCATTGGGAAAACCGAGAAAAGCGTATAAGAAAACCGGTCGAATTTACGACAGTAACTATTTCTTTTTTTTTTATATACCGGAAATCTGCTTCGAATTTCAAGCATTAGAAGAATTACAAGAATTAGTATCGTTTCCGAAAGGAAATTTTGTAATTAGTGCAATCCGGTTTTTGATTTTTTTACAGGGTTATTGTTTAGATATTGAAGAAAATCGTAAAAATCATCAACATTATCACAAAATATTTTTTGAATTAATGCGAATTAAATTACATTTTACCGAATACAATTAATAAAATATTATGTATACTAACACGGCTAATAAAATATTTTATTCGTTTAATTACTATAAATCGATATTGCAGTTTTTAATGTTTTTTTATTTTATCGTTTCCGAATATCCCGGTTTAAGAATATATAATAATAATATTATGTAATCGTATGCAAAGTATTATAGTTTTGTCATTTTGAAAATGCTCGTATAATAACAATGCACGGCAGTATCGTATTTTGTAAATACTAATTCCAACTTTTTAAATAAATTTTTGAGTCAGTACGAATTGATCTAGTAAAATAACGAAAATACAAATTAATCTAATGGCTAACAATAACGGCGTGGGACATGAAAAAAACTAAGCACTCAACTCGAAAAAAAAAAAAAACATTTTTAACAAAAAGCATTAAAAGCAATTTTTTGGAAAGTGTTTTGCGAATTTCGAAAAATGTTTCTAATAAATCATCATCAGGCGGATGATTCACATCTTTCGAGTTAGGTCAGAAAATCGGAGCGGAATTTTTACTAATCGAAAAGTGAAAAAACAAATGCACGTCTTTTAACACCCCTTCCGGTACACTGATTAAAATACTGGTTTTAAAAAGAAATTCGACTATACTTTCGGAAGAATCTTGTATAAAATACGCGTTCGGTCTTGCGTTCCACTTAGCGTTAATATGATTCAAACAAAACAAAAAATAAATTTAACGAAAACTACCGGAGTCACTATTTTTCGTCCTATGCGCCATATAGCACTACTATTCAGTACATACCGATCACAGAGATAATAGCTGTTGTGCACTATGATAATAATAATAATAATAATAATATGATGCTTTTTTTTTTTTTTTTTTTGTCGACAGTATACGTCGTGTTGGGAAATTACTACGATCACACCGGTCTCATCGTGGCGATGGACGAAATGGATTTATTCAAAAACGGTAAGTAATTTTTCTACCCTTTATCGGGGTGTTCTCGTCGTTATTTTCGATTTTATGACCGTATTTCGCAAACGTTTCGGTTTTTAATTTCCGTTCGGGATACATTAGGTAGTTATTATTTTTTTCGTTTTCCGTTCGGCCGGCCGTCCGAATCGGCTTTGTAGCGATTGTTTCTACAACTGCAATCATGCAGTAGCCTATAAGAGTATGTATAGATATAGGACTAACCGGGGTAACTATTATCTGCAGAGCCTTTGAGAGCATTCGATATGTCCGTTGGCCCGTAAACATCGCATAGTATACGCACTGTAAATACGTCAAAATTTCCCGGCATGTCGGCCCTTTCGCCCGTATGGCGCGCGGCATCAGACTGCAGATACATTCTCGGGTTTCGTCTAAAATATCGAGACCGTCAAACGAAAATTCCGTAAATGCGTAACGTTATAATCTATTGATTACCGAAAATTATTATTATTTTTTTTTTTTTGGCCAAAGTCAAGCCGTATTAAATACAATACACTTTTAATAATTTAGTGATCGACCTATTTTATATATACGCGTATATGTACACAGTCGACGTTATATGTTTTTGTAATTGGTTGTTACCGGATATTTTCTTATAATTACAACTCTCCCTCCATCTTTTATCAAAGGTCTAATAATCATAATAATTTTTCACGACAAGAGACAACATACTCATACACGGGTACATTATACAGGCGCGTACATAGAGTGTTTTAAAATGCGATTTGAACGACTCGTACAGATTTATTCAATAGTGCACACACAGTGATAATTGTTTTTATGAAGTGCTTGGGGATTGTGTTTCAAGTTGACCTAAATTTTTCCGCGGTGCTGTTATTAATTGTATTTTTATTATTTACATTTTTTACTCAGGACTAATTAAATTAAAAGCGACATTTAAAGTTCTAAAATGCGTTGGTCGCATGCGGTTTGAAACTTTTGTACATTCTCTATTTGAAAATTAATCATATTAAAATGTTGCCTTTTTGGTCAAAAAAGATACAGTAGGGTACAGTAATGTTGGGTAAGTAAGGTGTAGTTTCGTATAAAAATGTCATATATCTTTACGATTTACATTACAGAAACAAATTTTTGTTTTCACTTTTAATTCATGTTAATTCTGCAATTAGTGCACAATAGTCACTAATTCTTGCGAAAAATCAAAAAAAAAAAATCGTATAAAAACATATTTATAACCTAGGCTGCCCTTTTTTTTGTTTTCAAAATGAAGTACAACACGCCAAAACTTGAGCATGAATTCATTACTTAATTTTTTTAGAATATTTTTTTTAAATATTTAAATCTTTCATCTTCTACAAAATATTTAATAATTCTATAAAAGTAAACTATTTACAACTGTAAAGTATAAAGTACAAAAGTGATAAAATACAATACCACTTACTTTGAAAAATAGTAGAGTTAGAAACCTTGCTTGTAACTCAAAGGCACTTTATACGTTTGGATTCTGAGTGTAGCGAAGAAACAAATGGTTTTACAATAATGTTTATTTTTTTTTTATCTGTGAACAAATTTTCCAGCAGAAATATTTTTCCGATATACAAGTGTAGCACTTTTTCTAAAAGAAAAATTGATTGATAAGATACTTTAATGTGGTCATTTTTTTATTTTCCCAGAAGTTTTCCCAATAAATGGGAAAAACCGCAAAAACATAGGAAAATCGGGAGCCCGGGAAAATCGGTACAACATTAAACAAATATTATTAAAGAAAATATATAAAGCCTATTTAATTATTTTACTATAAAATAACATAAATATATATGACAAATTAACCCTATCAACTGAACTCCGTTCAGAATCGATTTTTCGTTAAAAATGGTTTATTTGTTGCTTACAAATATATATTAAATTCCTACTTATATCCTTTATTGCAATTTCATATCTACAGCTTTGGCTGCACCTTTCCCATTATCCTAGGATAGATTTTTTAAATTGCTTTAATTCTTTAAATTTTGTTATTTGTGATTAAACTCCAATCTATAATCTTCAGTCTAAACGCTACGATTTATATTCTAATTAACGTAGTCTATTGCTATGCAATGCATTAGTAAGACGGAGACATCCACTTAACCAAACGTTTTAGATGTATCCACTTCTCATATTATATTTATAATTTAATCTTTGAAACAATTACTTTGTGTCATAATGCATTAAAACAAATTTTCCTATATGCTTAAAAGGTTTGGGTTCTTTAAAATGTATACGTAAAAATATTGTTGCCACGGCAACAAACAGCATTTGGATTTATTAATTAATAATAAAAAATGTAACACTAGTTATTTTAAATATTTCAATTTCTAGAAAAAACTTAATATTATATTACGATTTTTATAAGAAATACAAATTAATATAATTCGAATCATACAATGGTTTAATTCCGTGCTCTGCTAAAGCAGATTTACTCCATACGCACTCTGACGTTATTTGGAATGTTTTCAATTTCAAGTACAAATGTATCATGATAAAATGATCACGAATAATTTGGCTTTTTTATTACCGTTAAAATATCCATGGCAGATTTCGTTGAAACAAGATCTAGATTCTTGTGCATAGTTATCTCTCTATAAATTAAACATTTTTTAGTTTAAATCCTAACATTGAGTAAAGTTAAAAATATAATTATATTTACTCCATCAACAGTTTGGGGAGTCATTCCATTAAAATTTCACCGTGGTTGAAAAATTCTAGAATTGGTGTACTTCTTGAATAATTGTACAACCTATGATTTATTGGAAATATAATGGATTTTTAGGTTCAAATAAAATTTAACCAATCCTTTAGGTTCAATGTTGTTATCACATTTTTTAAAAATGGATTTTAATGGTTTTTTTTGGAAAAACTTTTTGTTCTTCGTGCAGCAAGATAAATTAATTTATTATTTCCAACAAAATGTATACGTTCGTCAAACATTTTTAGACTTTTTGATGAGCCAATTGTATTAAAATGACTCATGATACCAGCAACTATAAATTGTTCAACTATTTGTTAACTATAAGACGTAATTTTTATAAACTTTGGTCCTTCGTAGAAAACTGATGTGTATCTAATAACACAAACAATTATTTAAAATGTTTATTTTCAAATTTTTTTATGCCTGTAATAGGTAGTGTATAAAAAATAAAATAAGTAAATAAATAATATATCTCATATTCATGCCAACGAAATAATTACGACCAATTTATTATATAAGACCAACTAATATATTAATAATAATAATAATAATAAATAGTATTATTATTATTATTTATTGTAAGTATAGAACTCAACGAAACGATAAAAATGATCATAAAATACAACAAATATTATAGAATCGAATATTGAAAAATACCATGAACTGTATACCTACCCGTTTTTGTTTAAGAAAAACTTTCTTTAAATCGTGAATACATTGATGTATCTTTTCTTAAATAAGGTAAATTGTATACATAATGGTTTTATTTAAATACGTATTTTACAATAAAAATTAAATCATCGTATTTAAAATATTTGATTAAATAAAATAAGAGTTATACTTTTATAGTGGGTACTTTGTACATTGCAATGGGAACGTGCCTTACATTATTTTAGGGATGGGGTTTAAAAAGTTTTTAAAAGTACTATTTCTCAATTATTTTGAAATCTTTTTAGAAAACCAAAAAAAAAAAAAAAAAGGACCTCTCTATTGCACCTACTTTCTTTTTCTTTTTGTAAACAACTTTTTAAAAATAATACTTATTTCGATGTATCAAGTGTAACTGTGCAGCATCTTTTCTGAATTGAATTGTAATTAGTAGTTGATGCATTAGAGAGGTTGTTGTTTATGGTTAAATGAAAAAGTAAGTTTAACTATGTATAATTTTGCTAATGATTTGATCAGAATAGTTTTTTTTTTTATTAAATTTCTGAATTATAACAAACTGAAAGATATTTAGTGCGACTGCGACATATTACCCCTAGAAAATAACATCGAGATCTTATACAAGGAGTTATACGAGGATAGGCTGAAAAATAATGCGCAAGTTTGTGTTGAACACTATCAACCGAACTTCGTTCAGAATCGTTTTTTCGTTGGAAATTATTTATCATTGCTTACAGATATACATTTAATTTCCCCTCTAATATTTTCCCAACTTCGTTCCAATAACAGTGAATGCACCCGTCCCTATTACCCTAGGACATCTTTTCTAAACACGCTGATTCTGATTTTCGTTAGTTGGTATTTTATGATTTTTACATTGGTAAATTCAATTTTTGATTTCACACGTACGCCGTGCAGTATAATAGTAAGTTTATTACATTAGAATATTTTTCTTAACAATTAAATAGGACATAAAAAAAAAAAAAAAAACATTATTAAATATGTTTATGATAATAACCTATTACTGTAGTTAGTTGTGATTAGTTCAATATTAAACTTTCGATAAATATAATAATAATATAAATCAATGTTTTGGGACGGAGAAAATTTTATTTTGAAACATTATGTTATTTCACGATTTACCTTTTGAAATGTTTAAAATATAAATAATTTAACGAATTTACAGAGAGATAGTGCGCGCAAATCAAACGGACCAATATAAATATTTAAATTTGCGTAGCGAGGCAACTGAAGGTTTCACGGACGTTTAAGGTTGGGTAAATAAAACTGTATTCAGTTAGTTTTTAATACACCTCGACGAAATAATATGGTAATTGGTAAATCGCGTTGTACTTATATTTAAGTACTATACTTGAACTTGATAATATCTTTTCTGGTCGATAGCCTAAGTAGATATATTGCAGTCGGGGTAATTTAGTTTTGGCAGAGTTATTATATTTTACGTACGTAAAACCGAAAGTTTTGGACAATATCCATGTTACGTATATATATATATATACACAATTCAATTTAAATATTAATAACAGTATATGTCTGTTATGAATTATAACGTCATAAAGTTATACACTGTTATTAATGATTATATTATGCAGCGAACGTGATTTCTAGAGACGAAAAAAGAAATTTAATCAATTCGTTGCAAACCACACCGTTAAAAACGGTTATAGTTTATTGTTTTACGCGTTATTACAATAAATACAATAAATTTTTATTTATACACGCGCGTACGACGTGTAAAATGCAGTTACTTATTGTCTTCTTTTTATTTATTTTCGGTTCTAAAAAGTCAGTTGTAAAGTCATTTTTATTGCATTTGTATTGTAAAACTGCATACGGATCGCGATTCTGTTTAGCTTTAAGCACAATAACCACTCAATATACTTATTATATTATATTAGTTCGCATCGCTCGTCCATAGAAATCGCTCTTGTCAAGTCGCGCCGTCCATAAAGCAGTCGGTTTTTATTTCGCAATCCAAACTAAACTGGAAAATAAAAATCTTTATATTGTTTTTTAAAATTCTGAGCGATACCGAAGATGCTACGCGACGAGGGTTTTTTTTTTCAGAAAAAACTTTTTTAGCTAGTATAAATTTTTCATTTTTTTTTTTTTTTTTTTTTATAAATCTAAAGATACGGTATTTTCACCGGCGATACTTTAATGGAAACGATTATTTTAGATTCTCAATTGTTTTTTTTAAAAAGTAAAAAAAACGACGACAAATACACCTATGGTTTTGTTTTATTTATGTTGAATTCTCGGTTACCTTATTGGGTCTTTGCTATGTATAAAGGAGGAGGGAACACAAAACTACAATACTATAATAACCTTACTAATTTACTGAGTGTCTCTCAGAATCCGTTTTTGATTACAAAGATGTATATCGTCTCATTTTGTAAAAAAATAAACTACCTATTATATTCTATACCTTTTTAACTTTCCACCTACAATAGTGGCGTGCTTGAGGCGCGAAGAACGTACGGTTTTTAAATTTGTTTTTTACGAATTTTAAACAAACGACCGGTCGGTGCCTCGGAGGCGATGGCTTTCTAGCCGCGAGACTGATTAATGATTAAATGCAAAAAAATAATATTCTTAGACTTAAGGGCAGCAGTTCACGGTGTATAATTATTGTTTTAAAACTAATTGCTTGGTGTCAACACGCAAGTGTACGAAAACGTTGTTAAGGAATTTTCGAGTTGAGATACATGCCCCGTTACTAACGGGACACATCATCAGCGTTCGGCGCAGAATTTAATTTAAAACAATAAATAATTGTTTTTCTCTTTCTCGAATAACATTTTCGTTCTTCGTTTTGCTAACAGGTGAATATTTCGTGGTGGGCGTGGACGTGGAACAGTACGACGCGGGAGACCCCGCGAAATATTTGACCGGAATGTTGTCCAACAAGCCGGATCCCGTTTTGGAAAAAGCTTTCCGGTCGTTTTTCAGCGTGGTGCCCACGTCGCCCAGAGGATTCAAGAATTTCTCGGTCAAAGTCAACGAGTACATGGAGAAACCGCCGTTTCTGTTTCCCAATCCCTTGGTGCAGTTAGGCGGCGTCAAACAGGTATGTGTAGGTGTACATAGCGTGTCCGCGCATAATCCTGTTTTTCAAAAAATATTTATCACAGACGAACAGGCTGTAAAATAGTTTAAGATTATGTAGAAAACATTTAATACATATTCATAATGCCCGTTATTACAATATGCAAAATTGTAACATTTATATGTATTAACATAAAAATGCGTATTCCACATCCGGCGGTGGCTTTTTCTCGATTTATTTTCCGCTGAGATTTGTAGCGTGTTTTTTTTTTTTTTGTTCGGAAATATGTTTCGCTAGTTAAACTCTCGTGCCTCGAAGTGTTAGCCGATTTCGAACATTTTTTTTGGAAAGAGAAAGACGTTTCACGCGGATTTGATTTGGAATTCTAAAATAATATTGTTAACCGCTATAATTAGAAGTGAGATACGACCGATTTTTGACTTTTGTTGAGTTCATTTTTTTTGTAGTTTTTTATTATATTATCATGTAAAGCATGGTTTGAGTAACAGAAACAAAAAACAGGTATATCACGCAGGTACTATACCCTTTATATAAAAAGTAAAACAGAGTGAGTTATTTGTTTAAAACCGTTAAGACGAGTTTTTGTAATTGTTAACAGCCTGTTATTAACAAAAAAATCACGAGCAGGACGTTGACAGTTAGTCTGCAGAAGTCGCAGAAAACAATATTTGTAAAATTAAGTGGATTTTATTATTATAATATGCTAGATAACAAATTAGGTATAATTTCGCTCTCATTAATCTGTCGATTGAATATTCTAGATACTATTTCGAATTATTTTCTGGTAAATACATTCTTTTTTAATCTACCGTGACAGCTATTGAACTGTAATAATAATATACAGTTGAAAAGTCGCACTGTATTCTATTTATTATATGCTGGGAAAAAGAATTGTCAACGTCGCGCGTCGTTCGAACACCGCAGGATGATTTAACGATATTTCGTACTGCGATCCGTTTTTCTCCCGTTTTTCATTGTCTGTTCCATCGCGGTCTCATTTTTCGTCCGTCACAATCATTTGTTTTCACGAGGTCATATACGGCTCATATATTTTTTTTTTTATTCTTTTGTCATAACTCCTCTTATCGTTTATGATAAACTTGTCGATTTTTTCCCGTCCATAAATTTCCGTCGCCCGCTCTATTACATACTTATAGTATATATTATATGACGGCGATACATTATTATCGAAAACGGAATTTCAGATTCCTCGAGTAAAGTGAAAAACCAGTATTTTGTTTTCCATTATTTGCTATAAATGTTCACAGTTTTTTTTTGAAATTTAAAAGCGAAATCAGTGGCGTAATTTCGAGGGGGGAAGCGTGGGAGTGTAATCCCACATTTATTAATCAAACATTTATTTAATAAATAAACTTGAATACAAACTATAGTGATACCTCTAAATACCGGACACCCGCGGTCGCTGAAATTTTGTGTCCGTTATTCAGAGGTGTCCGTTATTTAGAGGGACAAATTGTATTTTTATTTAATTAATTAATTAATAAGTACATCTTAAAATTACAACATTTCATCGACGCGATAATATGTAAACGACTGGACGGATGCATAAGATATACTTCATATACATTATAATAAGTTATAGTAATAAAATATAACTTAATAGTGTAGAATTTAAATTATAGGTGTTCCAAAATTATTCTTAATTTACGATAAAAATGATTAATATAAATTCTAAAAAGTGTTCGTTATTTAGAGTGTCTTGTTTTTATTAGAGGTTTTCCTATACACAAATAGTGAAAATGTCCACGTTCCCGAAAAAAGCGTCCGCTGTTCGGAGGTGTCCGTTAAGGGAGGTTTCATTGTATAATGTTGTACTAGGATTATCGTGTTGTGTTTCGATAGCATATATGGACACCCGCGGGTAATTTATCAGATAAGTCGTGTGCATAATAAAATCAAACACCAAACAGTACTCGAAATAAAATTATATGTGAAAGTTTGAAGTCTAGGGGGGAGCAGATGCCCCGTCTTGCCCCTCATTCCGGGCGCCCACGACAGCATATAACAATGCGATTTGACAAAATCGCTAATATTGTTCATTTTGCGGCGGTTTTAATGAAATGTTTAGTGGTTAGTTTTATCAAGGGAGTGAACTGTGAATCGTGAAAATGTTCGCACCAAGTGCCGCTTGTTACGGCATAATGATAATTTAATACATTTTTCGTTTTAACGTTTGTCAGGTGCAACATTAATTATTTTTTCATGTACTATATTATTATTGATATACGTACAGTTTTAAATAAAAATATTTCGAAAAATTTCGTTTTGATCATTGTTTATGTATATATGTAAAAAAAAAAAAAAAAAATATAAATTCGACGGTCGGAAAACATTTGTACCACATTGCGAAAACTCGTCGACTGGCCGTAGCTCGAAGTTTTTTTGAAAATTTGCATAGACTATTATTATTATAATTTATAATGTATGTCGGGTGTGGTCTGTACACGGAAAATGTTGTAATAAAATTTCTAAAAACTTCCAAACGCCGCAGCCAGTCGACGAGTTTTCGCGTTGAAAAAATATTTTTCCGCCATCGTCAAAACGATATTATTATTATATTATAGTGTTAATTTTTTTTTTTCGACCGACACAACGTGACCGACGATGTGATTTTAATTTCAAAAGTTATTTATTATATTGCCCTTTGTAAACAAAAAAAAAAAAAAAAAAAGAACAAATAAAAACCTCGTGTATTTATACAACTATTGCTAAAAGTGTTACAGGCTGATAGTATAACACCAAACGTAATTTTAGCCAGACAAACACTTTGCGGATACTTTGTTCGGGTTTTGTATGTGGAATTCGTATAAGTGTGGCCGTACGAACCATCGGCGTAATTACTTACATAAATTGTTAATCTTCTCTCTTGTAAACTATGTAGTCCGAATTCAAATAAGGCACATCGAATCGTATATTTGTATATTTTAATTGTATGAATTTTGAATTTTTTTTCGACCGGTTTTTGTTTGTATTGTTGAAATATAAGTAGATACTACCTATATAAAGAACATTTTTTCGACTTTTTAGGAGGCCCGTATGACTTCTATGCGGTTCTTCCCCATACACGGTGATAAAAACCGAAACGAATGAAATTAAAACTGGTTTGATTGTATAGTCGATTCGTTTTTTTTTTTTTTCATTCGTTGAACTAATTATTATAACTGCGTGACAAGCATCGGTAAAATCGGATTGATTAATCGTACGTGTACATAGATTTAAATGATTGATTAATAGTCAGCATCTATGATGTTATATTTGTAATTAATATCGATTACGCGGAGAGTATCGATTAACCGATTACTAATAAATTGATCGACAAATCAGTCGTGATCGATTATACGTTTCGCCGGTTAGCGAGTTACAGATAGTTGCACGGGCCCGCGCCCCGTAAAAATTAAACTGTCTTCGACGGGATGCGTGATTAAATACCCTATGCGAGTTCGGCCCAAATCGAAGCGTAACCGAGTTGCTTTTAAGAGTTTCGCAAAACAACCTACCATTGTTGGTCCAGAGTGTAAACGTACTATCCAGTCGACGAAAAGGCATTGCGGCCGTTAGATTTGAAGCCTAGGGAAAATGGAAACATGTAACTTAGCTGCCGGTCCAAATCTGATAATGCTCTGTGGAAACTGTATATTGATCTTAGTGTCAATCTAAAACTTATGCATACCGCTTGGGCCGAAACCAGATAGGACCTGTATGTATGCCGACAGGATAAACGCACCGCGGGCGACAAAGCCTCTACTTTATAGTCCCTGCGCCGTGTCCGAATAATACGATATCATTGGTGGGTTTGGGGACATTTACTATTTTAAATATAGGTGGTCATGGTGACCTGGTAGGTTAATAGTACGGTGTTTATGAATTATTTTAGGTACAACAGTTGTGAAATAAATAATTCCATTTTAGATTCTGAGCGGAGAGCGGAATGTATTGGTTTTACAATGATGTTTCTTTTTCCGTGAACAACTTTTCCATCAGAAATTTCGCTTAGATTTTCAAGTGTAGCAGCTTTTCTGAAAGGAAATCTTCGCGGTGTTGTACTTCAGCGGTTTATTTTCTGTTAAAATTCCGAAATGAGCTCACGAATTACCACTACATTAAAATAACGATAACACGGTATTTCAACACGCTATTTTATATCGGCTAATCAGAAATTATTCTTCAACTGTGCAATCCAAACCATTCAATGAGAGCAGCAGACACGGTACTGGGATTACAGAGGCTTTGTAAACACGCTTCTGGATGGGCCGATTTCGATAGACCGAGACACTTTTCAGGACGGTAATACTAATCTCGATGTAAAAGTAGCTGAACCCATTTGTGTGTACATAATCCATACGGGATAAAACGTACGAAGGTATGGTAGAAAACGTTTGCTTATGAGCTAATCATATGTATCACATCAGGAACATTCGTTGAATTTAATTCGTTTTCAGAGAAATTAATGCAATTACCTACTTTTATTTGTATGGAACAGTAAACGCGAACTCGTTCATTGTTCGCCGGGATGCGAATGAAAATGACAGAATTGCAAAAAAAAAAAAAAATACAACGTAATATACGTGGGACATGTGAAGTATTTACATTTTATTACGAAATTTTGGTAAAAAACGTTTTTTACTTTAGCGCACTCGGAAGGTTGCATTGCGCATTTTTCATGAACGTGAATGCGGAACGCGTTCGTTGTTATAAAAACCAAGGTGACAGCTGACCTCGCTGAACCCTTTTTGCATTTTCACGATTCTGCGGCCGCCGTCGCGAAAGAACAAAACCGTTGTCGGTACGGTGTGTTCACGCGATATCGCGCGGCGCGGTCCGAACGCCGACACAGTCCGTCGTATCCCCGGGGATGTTTTACCTGTGCCGCGACAAAGAAACGTCGGATTTTTATTCCGACGATTGCGAATCGGTTTTTTTTTGGCGAACGTGCGCCACGCGAATGTGTCCGCGAATCAAAATGCGCCGCGGTCTCGCCCGCAATGTCAGTACGATTATCATTTGTTATCGCGTCGCGTAATGTAAAACACGCCGTTTGGTCGCGTTTGCCCGCCGGTCACCGTGAACGTATTTACGCGAACACACACACACACATACACACACACACACACATACACACACACACACACATACACACACACACTCACATACTTACACACACTCACACACATACACGGCGGCCCACTCGATTTCGCGTATGTCCCGCGGCGAGCGTTTCGCGCGTTAGGCGCGCCGGCGTCACGATACTTATTAAGTGGCGTCCGCATGCCCGAGCGTAATTGTGAAGTCCGGGCCGAGCGCATTGAGACCATTCACTTTAAATCACGTTCGCGCTGGATTTTCTTTATTTTTACAAGCATCCGTATTGATAACGGAACAATATACGAAAGCGAACAGCAGTTCGATGTAAGAAATCCATGTCGAAAGAAAAAGAACTACAAAACGTAACGGCGATGAAACGGATACGTGTGAGACTTGGCGGTCAAAAACGTCAGCGAATTCTTTTACCTGCGATGACTCGGAAGCGATACCGAGGTTCTTCGTCTCGAATAAGTTTTTTTAAGTATAAATTATTCTAAAAAAAAAAAAAAAAACCCCAAAACAAGTCATGATGAGGTCGACGCTAACATACTGGTGTTAAGCGCTGGCAAAGGGAAAACCCCAGGAGCTCGGAGGAGAAAATTAAAACTGAATTTATTAAGGAACTAAGAATTGTTTATGACCATAAATGAATAAATGACTCCGTGAAAGGAGACGAGCATGCGACGGGAAATTACTTGCGGAACTTGCGCGTTATGGAAGAAGTATTGATGGAACGGCAGTGTACATGAACGGAGAGAACTGAGAAGTATGATACACAGTTCAGAATCGTGGCGAGGGGGAGGGGGATAATGATGGCTTCAAAAACTATTACCGAGGCATTAAATTCCAATAGGAGGGGAAAAAGTACAAGTTTATAGTGACGAAGGAAAGCGTATCTCAAGTATCAGAGTTTTCAGAGTTTATTAAACGGCCGTTATCGTTCACACTCGCGGAAGTCGCGACGTGCTGCTATGGCTTTTTTCTTCTCGCATGCGGCTCGTTATATTTAAATTCATACGCCGTGGCCGTTAAAAAATGCTTACCTATGCTTTCGTTCGTTTTAAATCCGTCTTCTCGTTTATAGCGACTTTGTGTTTAGATAAAGAATTTATATGTTTTTATACAAACTCGTATAGTATTATTATGTTTAGACCGAAACCGACGACGCGCAGAGGCGTGGGCGATCATAAACAATACTTATTATTATTTATCGGCCGATCGGACTGCGCGTGTATATAGATTATATTATACGATTATAACATATAGAGGAGTAGATCAAAAATATAAAATACAAAAAAAAAAAAAAAATACAAAAAATTAAGAAAAAACTACTCGTATCGTTTTATTTTATTACACCATCGTCGTCGCTGTGGCAGTGCGCTTCTTTATGTATTATATTGTATACTTACGAGCGAATATACCGCACGTAGATAGCGTGATTTACGACGGGGAGAAAAATATCCGATATCTCCGCACTATCACCTTCCCTCGCCATTATTATTATACCGATATTCCCGAGCGCGAAAAAAATAAAAAACGATTTTCCCGGATATTGGACAGCGCGTTTATCGACGACGATAATGTCGCGTCGTGCGTTCACAAGCCGGTGCGGTTCATGTTATAATATTATCGAATCGAAGAAAACTCCTAACGCACCCCGTACGATTTTCCGATGGTACAGATACGATACCGTTGAAACGATACGCGTTTCGGGGGCGTATTTTCGAGGAGAAACGACTCTTGCCACACCCACTACATTCACTCCCCTGCAGTCTCTTGAAAATTTAAAAAATTTATTCTCATCTTAGCTACGCGACGGCGGCGGAGACGCGGAAATCAATTTATTTATCAAAAAAAAAAATGATAAGTGATAAATTATACGGTCCCGGAAAATACGGTATACGAATATCTACGATGCTCGAAACAAAAGCGGCGCGTATAATATATTGTTGTCAATGCGAACGGCACGATAACGGATAGTTTTTACGAACCGTCAAAGGGGCCAAACTTACTGTTGTCGAAAATTCGATTTCATAAAAAAAAAAAAATGTGCCCATAATATAATATAGGTACTTGTCAATCGATCAAAGCGATTATATTGTACTGTTATTTGGCCGTAAGTGGAAAAAGTAAAACGCACAGCATAATAATACACCGGCGGCTTCGAAACGGTCGAGACAGTAATACATTCTTACATTCTGGCCGACGAACGAAAACAAAACAAAACCGTCATGGATTTCGGACGGCTACGGGCGAAACGCACCGCAAAAGTCAAAAGTCGAACACGTTATAGTTTGAAATGTTGGGCCGGTAAACCCGTTGGACGCGAGTCTTGCACAGCAGAACGGCAAAGTCGACTATCATCACGAAGAGACGCAAAACCAGAGCGGAGCGAAATTTCCGTTTTCTGTCAACCGTAGGTACCGTAAAAATATTCGAAAATAAAACGTGCGAATAAAATCATGGCTCCCGTCGGATCAAACGGTGCGGATTTCGTTTTAAACTTTACGCTTACTCGCCAAGGGTACCAGTCGCCTCGTTTCTCGACTGTGATCGGACCGTAGTTAAAAAAAAAAAAAAAAAAAAAAAAACAAAAATGTCATACATAATGTATACGTATTGTATTTTTGCGTGAAATCGGAGGGTTCGAAAAAGGAAATCGTCTTGTACCCACGTCGAACCCCGTGGGCACATCGGTTTGTGCGTGGCGTGTGAAAACCTAGTAAACGTATGGGTACAGACACTATCTAGCAACCGTCCCGTTCTCTTATCGTAAACCATCTCGGCTATTTTACCGCGCGTTTAATTAAAACTGATAATTTACGTGACGTTTGAACCGCGTTTGCGTATTATACGGTTTTCTATTTTTCGATCACGTGTTTGTTTACCGTGTCTGTAAAACGTTTGTGCATCGCTATCGTTTTGTCTGTACACGTGCATTATAACAGAATATGTATTGTAATTTTCAATTATCTACACAAGAGAGCTTTTTCTAGTGGCCGGACGGGTTTCCTTTCGCTGCGGATAACGATAGCAATATTGGTAACGATAATAACACAGTTATACGTTTAACACGATAAATTGTCTATGTTTCCAATTGTACGGATATCGATAGCCGCGGCCGCGATACGCAGGGCCATTCAAATGTTATGTTACGGTTTTCAGAGTGTTACGAGAATTTCGCTGGGTATCCCTATACATGTACTCTCGTATAAAACTGTAACGTATATAGTTCGGAAGACCCTGCATCGTACACAACGAAAATATAGCATTTTATCGTAAAATACTATTATAACGAAATTTCATTTTATAGATTTCTGTCGAGGCGGCGTATCTTTACGACGCGGTTCATTTGTATGCGAGATGCGTGTTGGAAATGTTGGACCGCGGCGACGATCCGAAAAACGGCACGGCCATGATAGCCAAATTCAAAGGTTCGCATTACAAAAGCGCATTGGGGTAAGTACGAAACGCGTTAAAAAGTACCTAAAAAAATAAAATATGTATATATATATATATATTATTTTTAGTTGTATACATCTAGTTTTATATAACGTAAAAGTTAAGCGATCGTAGGAGGGTGTGGTGGGAGGGGGGAGGGTTAGGGGTAGGTTAAAAATTCGACTAGACTGCAAGATGTTTCTATAAAAAAAAAGAACGGCAATAGAAATACGTGTTTTTAAAAGTTTCGACCGTGAACGGAAACAATTTTGCGATCGTGATGATCGCGTATATTATATCGTATTTTTTTTTTCTTATTTATTCTTCGCGCGAATGACTGCGGCATCGCGTATCTTTGCGCGAAAAAAAAAAAAAAAACGCACGCACGTAACGAATAATAAAATACGATAAATTTCAATTATATATACGTACCGCGATGGAAAAAAAGTCGCAACGGACGACGATCGAGTAGCGTGAAAATGTTATTACCCGTTACATATATGTGTATAAAATATGTATTTTTCTCTTTTCGAGGACACCGCGTGACCCGAAAAAATACGCCGTTGTTGTGTGCATAGCGGCAGCGGTACAAATGCGCGATTTAGAAAATATTTAACGGCCTACGCCGGCGGTTCTCAGCAGGAGCGATAACGCCCTCCAATTTCGCAAATAAATTTGTTTTTCTTTTTTTGGGGGGGGGGGCTGCCTCCCGAGCTTACTATGAACTAGACGTTGAAATTATTGGAAATTCGGGTTTTTTCTTTGTCTATGACTTAGCGAATTTAAAGCGACAGTTTGACATACAATAGGTGGCTTTTTTATTCGGGCTGATTATCAATTTCCTGACGTTTACCATACTAGCTTATGGTTCGTAATATTATCATTACCCCGATATAGGTCAGTAAAATTAATTTTCGCCCGATAAGTGATTACAAACCCCCCTTTTTTTCCGGATTAATTAATTAACCGCGTCCGAAACTTTTGGGTAAACACGTGTAATATTACATAGCTGGTAATAATATACGCGGAAATTACCGGTATAGTACTCTCGTGTGTAGTTAGAAATGACGCACGCCCAGTTTGTACGAGGGGTCGCGTATAGGCAGTATTTTTTTTTTTGAGAAAAACAAAAATGGTCATATTTCTATAGATTTGAAAACGTTCGAATTCACTTTCAAACAAACGTATAGCACGTATTTAATCCCGCGCGTCATGCGCACAGGTAATATTGTTTAATCGAGTGCGAAATACGTTCAAAAACATAATAATAATATTGTTATGTTCATTCGAATCGCCTCCCAAATGACCTTTTTTCACTCAAATTGGTTCCCGTTAGGTATTATTTAATGCATCGTTGGAACACGTACTATTGATTGTTCTATCGATTTCCGTAATGTTCAAAAAAAGACGTTCATAGTATTTCCGTAATTCCCAGACAGATAAATTTGTAAAATGCAATACATTTCGTCGATCACTGATTATTAGCTGAAAATTAGAAATCGTATTCAATATCACCAGTTCAACATAGTCAGTTATGTTTGTGCAACCGTAATGCGTACATAATATGGACTAAATACACGGTGTCCCACGAAGTTATACCCATAATAATATCCCCTGAGATAATATAGATAGTCAAATTATGTTTTTTTTTTTTTTTTTATTACTTGCCAAGATAAGGACTACACGTTATATTTATATTCAAATTAGTTTTTTATATTTAGGTAAAAAAAAGTAAAAAATTAACTTTTTATTTTATTATTTTCGAAAAATTTGAACATTCAATTTTATAGAGTTTATTTTTTTGAAAATTTTGACGCACCAACTTTTTATTTTCGTTGAATTCGTGATTTTTAATAATTTTTTTAATTTTCAGAAAAAGTACCGATATAATTATGTAGCAGGCTGTTTTTGCATTCGATAATTGAGTATTATTACTATGGTTTATTGACTGCATGCTTTTTTCCTCCGAACTGTTAAAAATTATTGAAAACCACGAATTTAAATAATAGAAATTCAATGCGTTAAAATAGGGGCGTTATTTCAGTATTTTTTGGGAGTGTGCGAGGTGTCAAGCAGCTTGGATATTACAAATATTTCAGCAGGCCACAACAAAATATACATATTAGGTACCTATGTATGTCATGCTTTTAATTGTTTCAATAGATTATGAATCGCTATAAACATATAAACACCCAGTAAAAAACTATTTAAAGTCTAAAAAATTATATATAATTGATATTTTGCCTGTGAAAACCAACGATTAAGGCATACAAATATGAAACTTTGAAGATGGAATGTGCTATACAAAAAAAATAATAAAAGCAAACACTTTAGTGTATATTGTTATTCGTAATTTTTGCACAAGTAAACGCTCCAAAAAAAAAAAAAACAAATTAATTATATTTATATAAGATGATATAGGTATTGATGATTTTTAAGTTCAGCAAATACATCTACATTTTTCTCTAAATCGATATTATTTACTTTTTTTTCCACATTTAGCACCATAAGATAGCAGCAAATAATCGTCGCCCATGAAAGTGTGTAAATATGATTTTGCATTTTCAAGCAATGAAAAAACCTTTCGTTTGACGCCATTGTAATTGACAAAGTTCAATGTTTCCTCAATAGCAACCCTTAACCGTTTAACCGCAAAGTCGTCCAACTTTTTACCGTGCATAAGTTCCTTATCTCTGTCTCTGTATTCTCTAGGTATAAAGTATGTCCGGGAGATTATAAACTACACGATAGATTCATTGATAGCGCGATATTTGTTTATTGACGGTAAAATACCAATATTGTTAATGTAAAAATATAATTTAATTTTAATTTAATTAAAAAACGGTGCATTATTTCATCAGGCCAATCGGGACCATTTTAAAAGTGAAGGGTGCAACCGCACACCTCGTTCTCCCCCCCTCCCAAATGACGCTCCTGCGATAAAATTATAAAAAAAAAAATAAACTCTATTCTATACATTTTAGATACGTAATATTTAGCGCAAGCGAATTTACTGGTCTTAATCTCGTATATACTTAACGAATATTTTTTTTAAGTATAAAGCGCCGTGTACAATTTCCAGTTTACGTGTAGGTGGACATTGATGTAATGAATGCACGTCTCACATAGATATTCGGTTAATAACGGTACTAGTCCGATTGTGATTGTATTATAGTTCATAAATATTACGCGGAGGCCCTCGGGTGACTTAGTGGTCGGCAATTTATTATTTTTCTCTAATAAAATACACCATTTGTACTCACTTTTCAGTTCTGTTTCGTTTTATTATTATTATTATTTTTTTTTAATTGCATTTAGTAAATCGAGGTATCTGCAACGGTTTTTTTATTGTACAATTGTTCGTGATATAATGTTATAAATTGTAAAACGATAATATCTCTCGACGAAGGATAATGATTTATTTCCAACTTGATTTCTATTTGTTTCGCTCCGGTCGTCAATCGTCGTAACAATAATAAACGAAATATAATTGTTTAAAAAAAATGAGATTTCTTATTTTTTCGAGGTTCACTAGGTACCTACTGCTGCACTCGTCGCGTCGACTTCAATTTCAAATAAGTCTTTTAGGAATTTTTTCCACCCGTTTCTCTCTTTGGAAAACAAACGAATTGTATTTTTAAAAGATCGTTTTTATTCATAGTTATGATAACAACAAAAAAATAAAAAAAATATTAAAAAACAAAATACTGTAATATAAATTAAGTTGCATGATAAATCATCATAATATGTACAAAGTATCACGTGTTAGTATTAATGCTGGACATTCGGATAATTGGGATTTATATCATATCATAATGTACACATTTATTTCGTATTAGTTTTTTTAAATGTATGCCGTTAAATGAAAAATTAATAATTTTTATAATACGTTTTTTTATTAACCCAAATTTTAACAAGAGGATATTTTGACGGCTTTCTGAATATTGTCAAATTTTGTAAAATTATTACCTTAATTACTAATTACTTCCCTAATAGTAAAAAAGTTTCACTTAATATACTGCTCTATTTAAGGGGAAAGGGTTCGAATATTGTGTTGTACAAAACTGTAGGAATTGCGTTTTTGAAAACGTATTATTCTTCTTTAGGTTATTCACTGGAATACGTATTGGAATTGGTTTTTATATTTAAATTATCTTTATTACAAGAGATAAAAGACAATACGTAATAATACCTATTAAGTAAATTTATTATTGAGCATCTTTCAAAAATACAATCAAATCTCTTTACGATTTCCAGTAAAATAATTATATTTTTATTTCCTTCATACCCTAGTATAAAGAACCTAAAGAATCATTTTCAAAAATGAAATCCGTCGAACACACAGTTTCAGTAGTTTTTATCGGGCCTTTACGTCTTTAGGGATTTAGACATAATAATAAATAGATTGCGCTTTTTTCGTTCCCATTCGTATATGACGTTCGTGAAAAATATTGAGTGTGAATGATAGCGACAGTCGTGGAAAATCATTTAGACGGAATTATTTCTATATTCTCGTGACGCCGTGCAATTGTTTATGTATATCCGTAGGGCCATAGATATATTAATGGGCTGATAGTTATACGAACACGATTGTAGATAGATAAGTAATGCAAATTTCATGGTGTGATTAAAAAAATCGAATCATTTTTCCATGATTATTCCCAACCAGCACTATTTGTCTCATTCAAAATCGGTTCACCGTTTTCTCCCTTAAGTGCTGTCTTTATAATTATTATTATTACTATGATTTAAATCGACCGAAGTATACACCATCACCGATCCCTTTATTATAGATTTACTAATATTTCTCGCTACATTAATTATTTGAGTATTTCTACAAGCGAAGTGACGATAATGTTACAGATACGAAGTTTACATGGACGAAAATGGCGACGCTGAAGGAAACTACACGCTGGTGTCGCGGCAGAAGCTGCCCAGCAATTTCAAGGGTTCTTACGGTTTGTTACCGGCCGGCAGATTCGCCAAACCACGAAATTTGACCAAAAATCCGGTAAATCGCTTTTTTTGTCATTTTTTGCGCGCATCTTAATATAATTCAACGATAAATTATAATTATTGTTGTACGCAGGAGTTGACCATGGTGACGAACATCCGATGGATAGGCGGGAAACCGCCGGTGGCCGAACCCGATTGCGGATACCGCGGCCAAAAATGCATCAGTAATAAGATAACACCTAATTATTGTTAGATTGATGAATACACGTGACCATCTAATGTATTATAATTATTTTAGGCCTTTATTTTCGACTCGTTCATCACTTTTGATTTTTGATTGAAATTAAATTGGTATGATTGTTACCGAACATGTCGATACACTAGACTATAGTTCATTTCTGCCCCGAAACTTCTGTAAACGTTCTTGACGAGTTATCAAGTAAAACGCGGTTTTAGATTTTTTTCAAAATTTTTTTCTCTGAAAATTATAACGGAGGTTTTATCACGATTGTTTAGATTACGATAATTTTCTAAGTACAACATAAACTCAATTATTATTATTTTTTCATCTTCTAACGAGTTTCGCTTTCCATAACACTATCCTTTCCAAAGAAACTTGCCGCCGTCTTTACCTCTGTTTAACCATATACCTCGTATATATACCTATATAGCTCCAATTCGTTTTTGGTTTCATCTGTCTTCCTCGATAACCGTTTTGGTCGACGAGTTATTCTTTTTTTCTCCGCGATCGTTCTGATTTACACCATAGTTTTCGTATTTTTTTTTTTTTCTACAATGTCCTTATATAATCTCTATACCCGGAGTTTTTGACTCGCGTGAACATAGAAGTCAAAGTGAATCCTAAGGAAACTACCGATATCGATTTCGAAAGAATACCCATACTCGGATATTGTTATTCCAAAATATAATAACGAAACGCGATATTATACTTTTTATTAGGGTTAAGATGTGACTTTTCGTGCTTTTTTTTTTTTTATTCATTTATTGTCCTATTGAATGGATTTTTGAACAGAAATAATTAATTTTACGATTTCTGTATTATAAATATCTAACTTATATTTACCATATACTTGATTATTTTGGTTTTCAGTTTTCATTTTTGAACACATATTTAACCATGATAATTCAACAATAATATTTATAATAAATCGGTTCTCCGATTTATTCGATAATTTGTTATTTCCATTATTGGTTTCACGCATATTATTCGTTACACGATTATTATTATTTTTTTTTAACACCGTACTATAATACGCGTTTTGCAGCGCACACGGCGGAAATACTGTCGATCGTGGCGGGCACGCTGCTGTTGGTGCTGGCCGTCGTTTCGCTGGTGTTCTACCGGAACTGGAAGTACGAACAAGAGCTGGACAGCCTGCTGTGGAAAGTCGACTACAAGGACATCGAGATCAACGACACGGAAAACAGCAGCACCTCGTCCAAGATATCCAGAGTGAGCACCGGGGACTGCGCTGACGATAATAACTGTCGTCGGGACGATACGTTACCGGAAACCGCCGCCGCCGGTGTTGTCGTCGAGGACCCGGTGTCGTGTTCCCCGGGGGGGTCGGTCGACTCGCTGCTTCCGCGGTGAAAAAAAAAATATAAAAAATAAAAATACCCGCCGCGAACCATCGCGAATCCGCCTGTAAAACAATACCGCGCGGGTCGCAACACATTACCGTCGCAATGTCCGTACAACACAATATGATAACATACAGAGGAGTCCGGTCCGGAAATAGGTATTGCGAGTAACCGTATGGCCGCAGAGACGCGATTCGTTTTGAGTTCCGAAATCCCACGATATTACAGTACAATAATAGACGCCTACGTAACCATATGCGTGTATAATTCCCGAAGTCTCCGAGTGTAGGACTTATTTTCGCCTTCGAAACCATGACGAGTCCCGAATATTTTAACGTAATCGTGCATCGAAAAAAATTTAGTTTCGTTTTATTTTATTAATATATAAGCATCTAGTTTTTTTTTTTTTTTTTTTTTTATTTATTTTTACTATTTTAATCCGTAAAACGATATCAATTATCCTATACGATTTAAAAAAAAAAAAATATATATTATTATGTCTTTCTATAGATATATACAGTCATTTAGCGAGCGCCGCGGCACGAACATTCAACATTGTATACAAATATTACGTTTTTATTTTCGGTTGTGTGTACACTATAATATTATTATTTATTTAATTTTGAATAAATATACGTTTTTTTTTTTTTTGTCCGTAAATATTTTCTAGTCTGGTTGATAAAAAATAAATACTGTAATGTTTCAAATCAATAAATATTATTTCGCGTCGTAAATAAAATCGCATCAATACTAAAAATAAAAAATAAAAAAAAATCGCTATTGACTATGTCGTTTGTCATAAAATCATTTTTTTTTTTAAACGTCTAATTGCGTGAAAGTATTTCCGAAAGAATTATTTTCGTTTCGATTTATTTAAGGTTTTTTTTTTTTTTCATAAGTGCTGTTGCATCTTAGATTCTGAGCACGGCAAGAAATTGTTTATTGGCTTTAAGAAATGATGTTTTTTTTTTCTGAATGTCTGTCAAGTGTAGCGTTTTGTCGGTGCAATTATATGAGGTCTTTTTTGTTTTTTAGTTCCCTCGCAATTTGCATACCGATGAGAGAAAATGAGCGAATTTACGCAATAACGGTTAAATTTTCACTAACAAATGTATTTTCGGTCTTTTATCGATTTGTTGTTATTTTCAAAAACAATCTGACAAATATTGAGCTATATTTATAAATATTTGTAACGTTCGGATGGTTAAGGTTTTTATTTGATTTTATGTGAATACGTTTTTTTTGATGTGTTAATAATAACTCAAATGTTTTTTTACGGTAAAATGCAATTATTGAAAATTTGTGTTTTCAATTTTTTTTTTTTTTTTTTAAATCGTCTTAAGGGTCAAATTCGTATAAAATTTGTCAAAAATTCGGTATTTACTATTTTCAAACTTTATGCTATCAATAATTTTTCAGCCCAGATAAAATGATCGGAATTGTGACACAAGGTCCGTTATAAATTATAATAAGTTTTTTTTTATTTTTTACAAAAGATATACGGGCTTGAAGAAATGGAAAAAAAAATCAGAACGGAATATAGTCAATATTTTATTATTTTTTTTTATAAGCGTATAATAAAGGTTCAAATTCGTGTGAAAATCGTTAATATCCTCGGCATTTCGAAACATCGTCGACTCCGCCGAGAATCGTTTTTCGTTAACAATCTACAAAATATTTCAGTGTATTTGAAATGTGGTTTTCGGAGAACCGAGATACATATTTTCAGGTAAATTTAAGTTTTTAACCTTTTCGGTATTCCACGCGTACGCAATATAACTTACTTTTTTTAAACGGTAACACCGTTTTTTTCTTACAGATTCGGTTAAATTATTATTTTTAAAGAATTTGTATGTAAAAAGCTTTTTCTAAATACGAAATGGTCAAATTTATTGTATATTGAAACTTAATATTTCTGAATAATCGGTTTTTGACTAAATATTAATTATATGTTCAAGTCATATTCGAAAATCGAAATGATATCTCCGATATTAAGAAATACCTATTTGTAGACAGATAAGACATAAATAAAGATAAACACTTTTTATTTTTATAATTTAATCTCATTCATCTAACCTGAGTGAGTCCCCCCAAAAGGGGGGAAAGACGTGGCATCTACCCCCCTAGACTTCAAAATTTCATCTATATTGTTAATAATTAATTAATATAATTTTGTTTCAAGTATTTTTTAGTGTTTGATATTATTATGCCCCTCCCTGATGAATTCCCTGCGGGCACCCATGCTGAGTGGCTGGTCATCGGCGACTTTCGTCAATATTTAAAATAATAAATCCGGTTTGCATAAATGTATTTTCTAAATAAATGTTGATAAATTATTTTCACTGACTAGTAATAATTGTTTTAATAATTTTAAACTAGTCTTGTGACAATTTTTATTGTGTCACATCAGGTTTTTAAATAAAAAAATCGAACTTCTTTTGATTTTTGGCTAATGTAACCGCCGTGCTCGACAATCAACTCGGGTGTACGTAAATCGGTGTCCAGATAGATTTCGCCCACCTCACAATTATCCCCTCAGACCTTTTATAGATTAAATGAAAACTGTCAATCTCCTAGCAATCAAAATCAATAACGGCAGCCTAGACCGAATAATTTGTATGAAGACACTAAACTTCAGGTAGCTAATGACTTGCATACGTGCTTATCCACGTTCATCAATAAGACACGTATCTCGAAAAATTGGTTTGTCAGTTGGTATAGTATAGAAATTGGTAAATTGAAAACAAATAAGTGTTTATTTGTGTCTTATCTGTCTGACAAACAGGTATTTCACAATATCGGAGATATTTCGATTTTCGGTTATAAGCTAAACCCAGTTAAAATTTAATCAAAAACAGATCCGTAAATATTAAATTTCAATATACTATAACTTTTCAATTGGAAAAAAACTTTTTGTACGAAAATTTAAAAAAAAAAAAAATAATAAAAATAATAATAATTTGTCCCGAATCTGTAGAAAAAAAAAAATGGCGTTGCCGTTGAAAAAAAAGTAAGTATTTTACACAGGGTTAACAATTTGAAATTTGCCTGGAAATGTGGTATTTCGGTACTCCCAATCATTACTCGAAAATCGGCTGAAATATTTTGTGGTACCTCTTAGCGTAGGAACACTGTAGTCTGTAGGACGTGTGTACTTAAATATTTTTATTTTTTTTTTTTCAAGTAAAATCGACCGCGCGACGTTAAAATTAGCTATATACGATTGTAAAGCGTTTCGTATTCTAGTACATTAACACTATTATTGTTACTATTATTGTACATTCGTCGATGAACACAGAAATAGAAGCAAACGTTATAATAAAAGTTTATACACCGTACGTCGAGGGGGGAATGAGGGGGGGGGAGGAGGTTGATTACATGTGCATCTCACGGCGCTTATTCGCATTTTGGACCGTATCCATAAAGTTTACGGGCACCGAACGGAATTCCCTTCGGGCCGTTACATTACGGCTTCGGCGGCGAAAGTTTACGACGACGCCGAGGAAAACGGTGTCGAGTTGACGGTGTGCCGTCACCACGGCGTACGCAATATTATACGGATCGTTGTTGTTATTAATTCGGACGAATTTTTTTTTCATTATTATTATTATTTTTTATATTAATTTACCACGCGTTTCCCCCGAGTCGGAATTGAATCGAATTTATTCCCGATGAACTCTCGGTTTCCCATCATCGGTAAACGTTACAAATTAACGTCGTAATTCTCTCGTATCAAAAATATGAATTTCAAATGTGACGCCTATATTGGATTTTTTATCAAATATAAAACATTTTTATGAGTTGGAGTTTTTATTTTTAGATAAAATAAAAATATATATATGCATCTATAAAATAGACGAACTATGGGGGCTCTAGTATTTTTTTTTTTTATTGTACATAAGACATCAACCACTTAGGTTATTATCTAGAGAAACATTAAAACAAGATTGTGTTATTACATGTCACATAAAAGAGAAAAAGGAGACAAATAAAATAAAAATGAAAATACGATTTTGTTATAGATTTTTTTATATCCAAATCTATTTGTGAAACGAATTTTAATATGTTTGGGGTATTGCGTTGGTTTCTGATGATGATGAATTGCTTAGGAGATGAATATTAGGGGCTCGAGTAAGAGTAATTATTACCGTAAAAAAAAAAAAAAAAATACTTAATAATTTTGAACGGAACAAAATGTAATACTTTTGTCAGATCTTCGTGAGACACCCGGTATATTGATTAGAGTTAAAGAACACCCGGTCAACTATTCGTGTGCAAATTATGACGACAACAGTGATAATAAGTCCGCTTCACTTACTGTTCAGGGCTGTGCTAAGCAGCGGGGAATAAAATGGGCAACTGCCCTAAAGTGTCGGAGATTTAACGCATGTACGAGGTGTAAAATTTTAATCGGATACCTATCAAGTTTAGGCACTAAACATGACGAGCGCTCTACGACGCTGATGATATCACGGGTATTAATGAATGACAATTAGAGATGGGCACCATCAAGTGGAAACTGTCGGACCACTTGACAGTTCAAACTATCTATTTATTAGACTATTTGTAAAAACTATCGACTATACTAGCTATCGAAAAAATCTACTAGAACATTCGAAAGTGTAATTTTTAACTATTGAACAGTAATATCAACTATTGTGTTATCCCTTATTGTTATTTCGTAATTTGTTATTCTCGTTTTCTACAACAGTAATGTTATTAGTGTGTTTTAATTTCATTATACCAATTATTTGTATTTATTATTTTTTTTTTTATTAGCAAATACCAATGTCTATTCCAAAGAAAAATGCTTCTCTTGTTTTGTAACTTTTTTGAAAGGACCCCTGACCCAGCCAAATTCTATGTATTTTATCGAAAACACACACTCGGTTGTTATGAAATAAGTCGGTGCCAATACTATTGAAGAAAACTATCGACTATCTATTTTATTGATAACGTCATCTATTCCATTGATAATTCACTCGGATGTTTGTTAAACTTTCGATTGACAATGGATAATCAAAACTCGTCGGTCCCGCCCGTCACTATGATAATAATAATATCATTAATTGGTATCACAAAATTTTAGTGAAAAGATTCTTATCTCAACAAATACGGCGGAAAATGGTTGCATTAATATTAAATGCAAGTTAGAAATCGATAGTATATTATACAGAGGCGTAAGTATAGATTATTTATTGGCGGGAGGAGGAGGGTGCTGATTACCGATTTTTTTTTAATAAGAGTGAATTGAGAGTTGAACAGATTATTGAGCATCAGTTATAATTTCGATGTAAACGGCGGTTTAGTTTCTTAAACCCCTTTCTCTTTACATACGCCCCTGATATTATACTATATTATATCATATTATCTGTGTATTTATCATATTTTAATATAGCGTTGCTCATTTTGTCGACAAAAATGTTCGTATAAATTTTAGAGTATAATTGAATAATAAAATGTTTTTTTTTTATTTCTGGAGAGTCTCGAAATGAAAATTTTATCACCTAATATCATCTAAAAATGGACCGCTATTTGTATTAAATATCCACGAAATGTTTGTTTTGAACACAATAATATTTTCAAATCAATAACATTAAAAACACGATATAATTTTTTCTTTTTTTTTTGATGAAAACGATAAATATTCAAAAACAAATAATATCGTATACGATCTATACTCGTCCCTCCGACTTTTCATCCGCGTAAACTAAAAATATAAATAACCGAAATGTCTAACGCAATCTATATTTCGCGTGACGCAGTAGTTACCTGAAATAAACGGTATTATTTTACCAGGCATTTTCCGGGTTTTACGTAAAACGACTAAAGGGCGTGATCTAGTGTACTTTAAACGCACTATTGTCTGACAGATAAATACCATCTCTACGCGGTCGACTCGAAAGTTATACCGCATCGAATAAACCGTTAGATGGCAGCACAATATCCTACGCATTTAATATTACCTATCTATGTATTTAATACATAGATAAATACATATTAATAATGAACACGTTATTTTTAAAACGTTCTTATCGATATTTTAACCGCGTATTTTTATTTTATTTTCCTTAAGGCTTTGCATCCACTGATCAGGACTAGTCAAGTGTCGTTGAGCTCTAACCCGGACGCGGATTTCCGTTATTCATCAATATTCACCACGGTCGGCATTTACAAAGGTCGCGTGTTCGCCATCAAAAACGTGAAAAAGAAATCCATCGACATCACCAGAGCGATGAAAAAAGAACTCAAAGTGGTAAGTCACGCGTTTTATTTTTGAGATATTTTAGTATACTTAAGTAATACATTATATCCGGGGAGATTTAAGAGAACAGCTTTAGCTTTCTTAAGTCACCGCCGTCCAAATCTCTCCCCAACCTCATTCCAATAACGATATCACCCGATGCCCCAGCTGTGGATGTATCCCAGTTTTGAGAGTGAGGGGGAAATTTCATTCTACAGTGGCTATGGGGTATTATTACTTAAGTATCTGAAAATCGCCGCTTCCCCCACGGTGGCTTCCACTACCGCATCGCTCACATTATTTGTTGTATGCGAGTCGAACAGAATTGTTTGACGTTGATTCCGAGAATTTCTCGACGACGAGAAAGTAAACAGCAATCAGATTTTTCTGTTTAAAAAGGGGGCGGAGAAATGGGTTCCGCCCTATATAGCTGATATCGAAAAATTCTCCATAAAACTTTAATTCACAAACCGTTTACTATACATAAGCCATAAATAATTGTAGTTTTCCAGTGTTATTTACTTTTCAGTTCGTTTTATAAGCATTGTTTTTAAGAAAATATTATCATTTTTTTCATTATATATTCGGGAAAAATAACATTTGAGCAAAGGTACTCGGGAATTGTGGTTTTGGGGAATATTCTATTCGAAAAAAACAATATTAAGGAAAAAAGCTGTTCGGGAGAAATACCGGGATTTTCTTTCAATATTATCTCAATGTTTCGGTTATATTTGCAGATGCGAGATTTAAGACACGAAAACCTAAACGGATTTATTGGCGCTTGCACGGATCCACCGAACATATGTATCGTGACCGAATATTGTAATCGAGGTAGCTTAAAGGTACTGTGAATCAATGTATTTTTATTAGGTAGTAGTCTAGGTTTAAAATATGTGTAGTTCAACCGATTTGCTGACAAATAACAATTTTTTATTATATTTTTTTTTTTTAGTATTTTTTCGAACGAATTTTTTTAGAAAAAAATTGCTTTTTAGACAATAATAATAATAGGGAATTCGCTGTGTAAAATGCCATTCGAATTCGAGCATGGTAAAACCAATGAAAATCTCGTTTTATTAAGTCATATTATCGTCATGCTAACTATTATCCCTAGTTCGTTGTTGTTAATTTCCCCCCTAGTAACTTACCCTAAATTTTTGTTGATAAAGTGTTTACCGAGATACTTAGGATCGAAATTTGCATCCTTATTGCCGTACGTGTAAGATAAAAATGCATTTTCGAAATTCCGAATAACAATACTTTTTAGCACTCGCAAAGCAATCTTATTATTTTACACCCCTGCACGCGACCGTTTCATAGACGTCTGCATTTTATTCACGATAGTACTTCCGCTATTTCGAAAGCTTTTAAACCGGTGATTTTATTCAAACAACGTAATTTATTCAATACGATTTTTCCGCATTTAGTTTTAAGTCAGCTGACGTTAAAAAAAAAAAAAAAATTTATATTTGAATCAATTTTTATTTTTTATTTTTTTTTTTTTGAAAACAAACTCCGTGATTCGATTATTGTGATACAATAATTATAATGCACGAATAGATTACGTACGGAAAATAAAACAAAATTTGACCGTGGCTTATTTCACATCGAAAAACGATTTCGTTATTCTAATAAGTATACTCGCGATTCTCGATTGTTAACGTGTCAAAAACACACAGGCAGACAAACATAAAGAAAAATGTAATTTCCGATGAGAGGGCTGGTAGATAACGTATTTTTTTCTCAACAGAGTATTCGGAAAAATAAAAAATAAACGCGTTTTTCAATTACAGGACATTTTGGAAAACGAAGACGTGAAATTGGATAACATGTTTGTCGCGTCGCTGGTAGCCGACATAATTCGGGTAACTATTTATTCGTTACCGTCGTATAAAAAGTGATTAGAGCGGTGAGGAGGGAACGAGAGGAGACGGGGTTCCCTTCTTATTCGATAGGTAAAATAATCCGCGTCTTTTAGCTTAAGTCTTTCGGCAAGTCCGGGAAGGCGCTTCGGTTATTGCCACGGAGTTCATTCTAACGGAATCTTAAAAACTCGAATTATTTCTACTAAAAACGAATTCTTTAATGTACATATATTTTGGATTAAATAGCATACATAATCGAGTTCTGTTTTATTTCATTTTTAACGAGCATTTATATATTCAAATATATTCATACATTCATTATACGCGTATATCCGGGAGGCGGCATGGGAGGGTTCAGTTTATTTTCAAACTCTATTAGCATAATATTTTGACGAACAAACGTGCGTGGTGGAATAACACGCCGGAAGATTTGTCTCCGTAATGGGCTTTCGGAGAGTTTGGTCGATTTCGGGCGATTCCCGGGGGAACTCGATGTTCAGTAAATATATTATTGTTCTCTTTGGACGTTTTTTCTATAATCGCGCGCATTGCAGGGCATGTTGTATTTGCACGACTCGCCTTTGAAGTATCACGGGAATCTGAAAGCGTCCAACTGTTTGGTGGACTCCAGATGGGTGTTGAAGCTCACCGATTTCGGTCTCCAAGAGTTCAAAAAAGAATCGGAAGAATTCCCGCATCATTTCTTGCAGCACGACTTCCGGCTTCAAAAGGACGACGATGTCGATTGCAAGTGCGAAGGTGCGTACGCCGATAATCGACAAATTTACTTTACACGCGTGCGCAGCCGTATAACACATACCGGCGAATCTATTATATTGTGATCGGACTGATTTTTTATTTATATTTTTTTTTTCCCCGCTGTATCGATACGGTGAATAATATACACTCGTGTACGCGTCTATTATACGCATTCAAATCGTAAAACTATTGATGTATACCTTCCGCCAGCGCATATAAATTACTGTCGTCGGTAAATAATACATAACCTCTTTACAGGACTTTTATACATCTCGCCGGAGCTGTTGCGCTGCTACAATTCTTCCATTCAAACGTCGTTCGGGACTCAGAAGGGGGACGTGTATTCGTTCTCCATTATCCTGTACGAACTGCACAGCCGTAAAGGTCCTTTCGGCGAAAACCACGGGTTAGGCGTGTCGGACATTTTGAGAAAAATTATTTATCATCCGCAAGACGGTTCGAATCCTTTTAGGTAAAAAAAAAAAAAAAAAAAAAAATAAATAAATACATACACATTATTCATATAGGTACATACATTATATTGTGTATTATAATAAGACGCGTGTGAATAAACTGCAACTGTTTTTTTCATTTTTTATTTTTTTTATTTGGGTACAATAGTCGTTGTCTATAAAACCGAACGTTGAAATATTTTGTTACGACGAACAATACATATTGTGCGTTTTGTTATACAGGCCGCCGTTGGAACTGTTGGAAAACAATTTCGATTTCGTCCGAGACTGCCTGGAAGACTGCTGGGCGGAAAACCCGGACGACCGTCCGGATTTCAAGACCATCCGAGTTAAACTGAGGCCCATGAGAAAAGGAATGTAAGTTTATTAATTGTTCGTTTTTTTTTTTTGTCTTTCAAACAAAGTAGCCGATATTTTAAAATTAATTTTATTTCATTCTATTAATTGCATCAATTTCATTTTATCCTTTTTATTTTTTTTTTAATATTTTAACTTCGTAGAAGCGTTTAAATTCAAAAGGGTCAAAGGCGGTTATCCAATTCTTTTTGGGTTTTGAAAATTATATTTTTTAATTTACTGAATTATTTTGATAAGACTTTTTTACTAATCTGTTGTTCGTACCCATTTAGGGGAAGGGCCGATTTTACGAATGAAAATTACGTTTTAGATCAATAAGTTAGAGTAAAATTTAATCGATGTTGATCGCCAAATTTTAATTTTGAAATCGTATATGAATTTTTTCGATTTCCCGTCTACGTTTTGTAGGATATATTTTATCGTTTTAGATGCTGAGCGTATAGCGATCAATGTATCTGTTTCATTACGATGTGGGCTTAATTTTTCCTCTTTGTGTCTGCGTATAACTTTTTCGGGTTGCACTCGAGGTGTTTAAATTTTATAACTTACAAAAAATACGATTTATAGGAGACCAAATATTTTTGACAATATGATGGCGATGATGGAGAAATATGCCAACAATTTGGAGGTGTTGGTGGACGAGCGAACTGACCAGCTCGTCGAAGAAAAGAAGAAAACGGGTATACATTTAACGCTACAGTACTTAAAGCGTTTATTATTTAGTCGCGTTTATTTTTAATATCGTTGATTCGAAATTAATTTTTTTTTGAACAGACGCTTTACTATACGAAATGTTACCCAAATACGTGGCCGAACAGCTTAAAAGAGGACACAAGGTACAAGCCGAGAATTTCGATTGCGTGACGATTTATTTCAGTGACATCGTCGGTTTTACATCCATGTCCGCGGAAAGCACTCCTTTCCAAGTAACTACCCATAGATTTAACCGTTAAACTAACCGGCGTACTTAAATTACATATTGTGTTGTGATTTTTTTTTTTTTTAGGTGGTCGACTTTTTGAACGACTTATATACGTGCTTTGACTCTATCATAGAGAACTACGACGTTTACAAAGTGGAAACCATCGGGGACGCGTACATGGTGGTGAGCATTTCAATTCTACCGTATAGACGATTCACTTTCCTTCTGTTTTTTTTTTCTGTGTGTTATTGATTCACGTTTTTTTTTCTCCCTTTAGGTTAGTGGTTTGCCTATTAAAAACGGTGACATGCACGCCGCGGAAATCGCTACCATGTCGTTACATTTGCTGGAAGCCGTGAAGAAATTCCAAATCCGACACAGGCCGTATGACAGTTTAAGGCTTAGAATCGGGATACACTCTGGTTAGAATAACAATATTTTACGTCCTACTATTGAATCTCAGTTATTGGTTTTTTTTTTCGTTTTCTTTTACATTCTCTTAATCTATAATCGTGAAGGTTATTTTTGTATATTGATCCTTTCATCACGATTCGGCGATTTTCTCTTAAGTGAATTTAGTATAATTTTTTTTCGTCAATCGTTATTGAAATTGTTCAACCTTTATTTAAACACAATTTTCAAATGGTTTTTACTCCGACTCCTTACTTCGTAACTTTTGATTTTCAAATGTCAACCTCTCCGGCTGTCTCCCCATTTTCAACGTTGATTCGCAGTGGCGTCGAAAAATTGCGACGGACGAAATACGTTTGAAAAGACTCCAATAACTAAACACATCTGATTCAATATCCCAAAATAATTATTAGCGTAGGATTTTGTTTCAGTTATGAATTACATTTAAGATTAGTCCTTAACATCGATGACGCGGCGCCATTGGTGATACCAATATAGCATATTTTTGTATGCGTTTCGATACCTGTACGTAACATTAAAATGTACGGGAATTACCGTTTACAATTAAAAACGGTTTAAAATTTAAACCGGATAGATGTAGAGAAGGGTAATGAAGCGTTCGTAACATAACGGTAACGGTTTACGATAAAAAAAAAAAAAAAATCACCTCATACACCTAATATATGGTGTATAATATAATATAGTTATTATAGTTGTATTAATATTTCGTTATAATATTAATGTTCGTTCGTTGGTTGTGTGTTTTGTAGGTCCAGTATGTGCCGGAGTGGTCGGTTTAAAAATGCCCAGGTATTGTTTGTTCGGCGATACGGTGAATACGACCAGCCGGATGGAATCGACCGGCCAAGGTGAGCGATTGCGATAGTATTATGACGTTTGGAGTCGTAGGCACTTAATACAGACGAATCATACGAATCGTTTTAGAAATAATGTTTACACTAAAATCAAGAGCATTCCAATCCCCGGACTTTTGAGTGTTTATAGTTTTACAAAAAAAAACAAAACAACACAATTCCCGAATTTGGCACACAAAAGGTTTTAGCTTAAACATGACCACGTGAGTTACCCGTGACATTCCGAATACTGTACATTCGTATAATATAGTCGACTTATTAGTAAACGATTTATAAAAACCTGGCGTTTAGCCACAGAGCAACACGTTTTACGGCCAAAAAAAAAAAAAAAAAAAAAAAAAAAAAAAATAATAATAATAATAAAACAAAAAATTAGAGTAAACGCGCTTAGGGAGTGTGGTATTGTAGTTTTTAAAAGCGAATGCGTGATTATTCAGACTTTAAATGCGCGAGACATTTTACACGCGGTTGGCTCCGATTTATGTAACCCCTCAAAGCGAACGGTCGAATATGTTTTCCAGATATTTAACGTGTACCTATATGCCGGCAAACTTCAAACATGTGCATAGTTGGTTGGATTTTTTTTATAATATAGTGATATCGGGATTTATAGAATTATATAAAAAAAAAAAAAAAAAAAAAACAAGAAATAATATGTCTGGGGGGCCTGGGCCCTTAGCTTCCCTCCCGGATCCGTCTCTAGGTTAGGTCTACTAATTCTCTTGGTAAGATCGAAGATTTCAATACCTTTAAATTTTCTCTGAATAACTCGGACAAATCTCGCAAAAAACCGCACGTAAATTGATCAAGTAGTTTCGGAAATGACCCGTTACAAAATAATAAAAAAAAATAATTAAAAATAAAATATCTTCCAAATCTCCAACTTTTCCAAACACTTTTTTCATATAGACCTTCATTTTTAATTTTATCAATTTGGTGTTGTCATGGAAACATGCGACAGCAGATCTGAATGTCAATTGTTGAATTATTTTTATTGATATACCGATTACCTCGGTGATACGGATGAATGAAAAAAAAAAAAAACTGCCGAGATTTTCATAAAAATATACCATCCAAATGTACGAAATTTTCGGTGGTTTTCCCGTAAATTTTCATTCATAAAAACCTTGTCCTCAAAATTACGAACACAACAACAACGAGAAAAAATGCCAAATCGGTCTATCCGTTCTCTATCCTTATGCGCTAACCGATGAAAATGAGCATTAATTTACATAGGTACATAGATTCAATCGAGTTACAAGGAAACAGTTTGATTTATTGACCATTAATTTAGTTTTTTGAATACGGCTCTTAAAATTCTCATTGTCGGTTCAGATCAAAGACAACAAAGCTCAGCGATTTATCCATCGAACCGTGACGGTTATTATTTACTACGTCCCCTCCCATTGGAATTCCGCGGGCAGACCACTGAATACATTTGAACGGGGTTTTTCAGCCCTGAAAATCCACTGTTCGAGCGAATGCCGTACGCTGCTGGAACGGTTGGGCGGCTATCAGACCGTCGAACGGGGAATGGTCGAAATGAAGGGGAAGGGTAACGTGCGGACTTACTGGCTGGTTGGCGAAGACCATTTGCACAGGCTGAAGAGAGACGAGTTCAGGTCCCAGCGGCGACAACAGCAGACCGGCAACAAGCACCGCAAGTCCTCCAAGCACCAGAAAAGCGTGAAAGAGGGACCGCGTAGCTCACTCAAAGTCCCGAAGACCACCATCAACGGCCCGTTATCTAGGTAATACATGCACTTTGCACATTTTATTTTTTACATTTTTAGCTGTGTACCTTTTTTTTTATGCGGCGAAGAAATAGATTTTGTCAGAAAAGTTTTCCGAAGTCTTTATTTTTTAAAAAAATTATTCAACTTCAAAAAATCAAAATCGTACAGTTTATTGTTAAAACACGGTTTTAAAAGTCGGTACAATTAAAGTCCACAAAAGCGGACTTCTAAGTTTGTATACGAGAGGCTCGCGTTATCCATAGCTTTTTTTTGCTTATCTAGATATTTTTCGAACATCCAATCAGTTTTGGCACATATTTTCGGAAGCATAATATTCCAGCGATTTTCAGAATACATTACAAACGATTGAAAAATAAAGGCCGTGAATGCCGAACTCCGGATGTTCTTTTCTTTGGCAATCTTCACGCACTGCTTACTGCTGCGGTTCACGTATTCTTTTTTTTTTTTTTAAAAACGTATTTTTTGTAGCCAATGATTCGTCCGACGAATATCAGCAATAATATTGTACAGAAGATCCCATTTGTCGGATAATATTCTCTGAAATATATATTATTGACTAGTATGCACAATTCGATCCAATTAAATGGATACACTCATTATCTCGAAATGTGTTAACTTTTTTCGGAATACATAAAACATATATTAAACAGGCAACTCTACAATTTTACATTTACACTGTTTTTTGTCGCCCTTATTTTCGGAGTTCAAACCACTATATCTACTTTTGAATTTCAAAAGGTTAATTTTTAAATTTAAAATTTTTTTTTTTTTATATAATATCGTTATTCAGAATCAAATTAAAATGCAGAATTTAACGCTATCTGTAAAATGATGATGATGATTATTAAAACAGAAAGCTTTAGTTTGAATATTTTATAAATAAATGTTTTCTAGAGATAATTTGAGTGAGTCTTCTCGCATAAATTATCATAAAACACGAAGTTTGTGTGTGCACTGCTTCTCTCGTATCCAATCACCCGATTGTTTTCCACGCCTCCTTTTCGTAATTTGATCCCTGTAAATCATATAATTATATCCGTGTCAATCACGATTTATTCCGTAAACTCCTCCGGCCTTTGTCCGTCTCGTCCAATACGGTCGTCTGCGTCCATTTCGGACTTGAATACTACTGTGGCATCGGTCTTGTTTTTCTCTCGTTACTTTAAGCTCTTTATAGCTCACGGTCCGTCACTTTTTTTTTCCCCCGTTTAGAGCTAAGAATTTTTCGATAGCACCCCACGTTTCGATACGATTAGCGAGTATCCGTAAATTTACGACTGAGATTCTTATATGACTCGAAAGTAAACCGACGACATGCGGTGCCGGGGTGTGCGGGTAGCGAGACAACACGAGACGCGTTTTCGAGAATTGTTACGACGTTGCATTTTCGCAGGTGCTGCAGTCTGGAGTCGCCCAAGAAGTTGAGGTTCGCGGTGCATCACGACGACGGCACGCCGGTACGGAGGCGCCCGTCGGGCGTGGCCGAGGAGGACGAGTACTGCTGCGACCGGCACCTGAGCGTGTCGTGCCCGTGCATAGACAATTTCGTCCAGTCGCCGACGGACGTGGCGACGGCGCCCATGGCTGCGGAAGGTTGCGCGTCGTGCGCGGGCGGCGGCGCCCCAGGGGCGATCGGAAAATGGACGAACGCCACCTTGCACCATTTGCAACCGACGCCGGTCAAGTGTTCGGGGGGTTTCCCGCGGGTGAACTCGGCGCCGGTCACGCCGATGGCCGCCGACTGCATCGACATGACGGCGGTCTCGCCCATGTTCCGTCGGTCCGCCGCGGACGACGTCAACGAGCCGCTGATTAAGGACAACGGCGGCGTTTACAACGACGAGGACGACGACGACGACAGGGACGGAGCGATAACGTTCGTGTAAACGACCCTGAAAAGGGCGGCGGCGGCGGCGGCGAAGGCGGTGAAGCACGCTAGAGGAACGAGACACCGCCGAAGAGTAAAAGATTCCCGGTTTTTTTCATTTCGTTCCCAGTTAAACATTTCGAATATCCCGGAGCGTCCTCGCGCGCGGTACATTATTTCTATCGTCGCGTGTGTCTCTTTAGAAACAATAATAATTAAAATAATAATAATAGTGTAAAAAAAAAAAAAAAAAAAAGTGTCTAGACACTTTACAAACGCCTACGCGATGATGACGTCTCGCAGTCACGCGGCCGTCTGTCGTGTCGTGCGCCCCCTTTTTTGAGGCTTTTCGTTCGGCCGTTGTTATCGCGGTGGTCAATACGATCCGGTACTGGAAAACGTTCCGCAGAGTCGGACCAGCTACACGGTACGCGCGGCTATAAACCCGTGGGCCGCGCGACACGACACGATGACACGTGACGGGAAGAGTAAAATCGGATACCGTCGTCACGTCGTGTACGTACTATAGCGTTAGGGACGGGAATGAAATCCGGATTTCGACACAATCTAAACCCGGGTTATTCGAATACGTCTTCTTTTCTCTCGTCTCTTTGCCATACTATTGGGATCTCCCACGTCTTTATCACTCGGATTTCTATAGTATGTAACTTCAGTATCAGTATACTATTATTATCACTCTCAATAGAATCTCAAACGAGCATCTCATTTTCGGGATTTCACTAGGGGACTATTCAATCCGCATTCATTTTCAAAATTATAGCCTTACGGCCTACTACTACGAACAGTTTTTCCTATAGTCGTATTTTTATTTATTAATTTTATAATCATATTCTCCAGCGGCTTAAAATAGGCACCCGCGGAAATTCGCACCGAGGAGGGAATTAAATTGTATGATTTAAATTATTCATAAAATAAATTAATTTCAACTGTGTATTATAACGTATTTAATGGAAATCAATGAGGGGGAGGAAATTTCTCGTCTCCTTCTTTCGGGCGATATACATAACGTATCGTTGCAAAATTCAGGTTAAAAAAAAAAAAATCCGGATGCTCCCGTACCTATAATAGTCAAACACACGCACGATATAGATCGCGAATTAAAGAGTAGACGGACTGGACACGCACCATCGAAAACCACGGCCAGAAAATGTTTGGTATGGTTTGGATCTAGTTGACATTAACTCGTTTAAATCCGTGCGGATTATATAATATAAAAATGCACCACACAATCTGCAATAATTGTCAAGCTCTATTTTGTTTTTTTTTTTTACAGCGATAAGAAATTGAAAATATGACCATACAAACAGTGTGGGAGGGAGATTTGAAAATTGGAACCACCGGTAGACACATCGTTAATACTCTGCACGTGCATCATATACGCGAAGTTAAATAAAATATTGTAAATGCAGTTTTGTTTATTATACAAAATTTTATATCCTCGATTTGGAGTGCGTGTACGGGTGTAAAAAGTTAAAAATCACTCTCTTGCCTCAACAAAACGGTGAAGTTTTCATTGAAACGCAACTGAAATTTTATCACTTTAGTCCGTTTATTGGAAAAAAACAACCTAATTCTCGAATCAGAGCTATTTTGGTCCAGAGAAAGTAGCTAAAAGTGTCCAAATATACCGGAGGGGGGGGGGGGGGAAATTATATAGATAAATGACGGAAACAATACAGTGCGTTGTTTTCCAATTTCGGGGAAAATTCGGAAGAGAAAAAAAACGATACATTTCTTGTCAGTAACTCAATTTTGTTCCTGGGTGTCATAATTCGTACGTCCGGTACCGTGTGCTCCGTCATCCGTTCACCGTGCTGTGTCCGGTGTCGCGTCTTCTTTTTAGTTCGCGATTTACAGGTATCCGATGGCCGGCAAACGTTTCGTCGTCATAATATTTTTATCACGGACGAAAACCCGAGACATTCCAAAACTATAATTTATACGTACTATTTACTATTTTTATGACCCTATAACGAGTATTATATTATAAGAATTATATTGTTATACTGTAATCTAAGACACGAGTATTTGTACCGCGTAACGCGTTTTTTTTTTCTTTTTTGTTAAGTACCTATATTAAAATGTATACGCTATAGAAAATTTAAAATAAAAAAAAAAAAAAAACATATAGGCACTTTTTGTTTACCGAGTCTGATTAGCGAAATTCGCCAATCGACAATAATACGACGACATAGAGAAAAAAAAAACAACAATATACTATATATTTATTTGTATCGTTTTCGTTACACACGGTTTTAATCGACAAGCAATTATTATTAGATATTGAACATCGATGTTAAAAAACTGTTACTATTATACTGTATTGTTATATTATTAGAATTTGATACGGACAGAATATAATATATTATGCGAACATTGAAATTCCGAATTGTTATTACTGTGCGGCACCTATACCTATATGTGTTATGGTATGCGTCAGTATACATTACTGTCCCGTCTCACGACCAATCGCAGGACAGATGTCCGGCCAACGTGTCCCGTGTCGTTCCCGTAACGTCTGCGTCCTTTCAGATTCCGAGTGTATCGGGGAAGAAGCGTGTGGTTTTTTAAAGATGTTTTGTTTTTTTTTTTTCTATGAACAACCTTTTTTCCAGAAATCTTGCTCCGATTGCTCCAAGTGTATCACTTTTTCCGAAACAAAATCGGTTTAAGGAGGTAAATTTTCGATTTTCCAGAAAAATGGGAAGGACCGGGCAAAAACACAGGAAAAACGTAGGAAAACGGGAATTAGGTACAATATTCAACAAATATTATTGAAGAAAATGTTTAATACATACGTAATATGACATATATACATTGTTGACAAAGCAAGGCTTTCAATCAAACTCCGCTCAGAATCGTTTTTTCGTTTGCAATGATTAATCGGTGCGTACAGATATACACCGATCTACCTCCCGTCTGTATCCTACCTTCCCAACTTCCCACCTACAACAGTGGCTGCACCCGTTTTTTACTATGTATTAGCACCCCGTCCTCTGACTTCCCAAAAGTCTTATCTCCGTTGCGTCGTGTTGTAGTGCTGCCGGTAGTTCGAGCCTCACGTCCGACCCGTCTCCGTCTTCCTGTTTTTCGGCGATCTTTAAAATACCATTTTCTCCGACCGGTATCCGTTTACAGTCCTCTCCGCGTTTCCTCCGTCACCGCTCTCCGGTTATGTTATCATTTTCTGGTCCAAAGAACTTTCGCAATATTTTTCTTTCGTGTACCAACGATTTCAAATATCCGATGCGTTTTTTTTTTTTGTTTTCTTTTCCTCGCGGAAATTGCTTTCAGTATACGTTATCGATACGCGCTCGTCCGCATGATCAGTGAACGTTCCAACGGTTTTATACGTTTTCAAATGTGTATCAAGAAAATATTACCGTCGTACGTCTACTACCCAGTATTTAAGGGATTACTCGTAGTTAATTTTAATGAAATTTTTGAAAAAAAAAAAAAACAAAAACAACCAAAATTTAAATTTATCAAATATATACAAATTTAAATTCTGAGTGGAGCGAAGAGGCTTATGGTTTTACAAAGACGTTTTTTTTTTTTTTTTTATCTGTGTCTACCAGAAATCTTGTTCCGATTTATAATGATAGAACTTTTTCTAAATGGAAATCTGCCTGGGGAGGTACTTTAGGGAGGTCATATTTTGATTTTCTCACTAGTTTTCCCAATAAATGGGAAATCTGGGAAAAACCATGGGAAAACTGTAGGAAAACGGGAAAATAAGTACAATATTGAACAAATATTTTTAAAGAAAAGATATATTGCCTATGTAATTGTTTCATCATGACATGATATATATATATTGTTGACAAAGCAATTACACTATCAATTGAACTCCGATCAGAATCGTTTTTACGTTAGTAATGGTTAATCGTTGCTAACAGATATACATTAAACTACCTATAACAGTGGCTACACCCATCTCTATTATCGTGGGACAATTTTTTTTTATAAATAGTTTTTTGTGTGTATTTGCGATACCGAAAAAATAAAAACAACGTCGTACATTTACTTTATTTGTTTAATACAGGTGACCATTCCGTTTCTTAATTTATTATTAACATTATTTTACTACATAGCTAGAGTTTTGTAATAACAATGTTTCCACGGGTTATACACAAAAAAAAAACGAGAAAAAAAGAAATAGAATTACGTTTGTGCGTTGACAGCAATACTGTTGAAGTTTGAATGGATTCAAAATGTTTGACGTTCACGAGAAAATTCAATATTCGTAAGTGTAAATGTCAATTTTAAACACTGTTGTTATATATTCATATAGTTATTCAAAGTGTTTATAATCTTTATTTTGTGTTGAAAAATAAAACCATAGAGAAAAAAAAAGTAAAAAGTTTCGTAAAACACTACGCGATATTGAGTGTTCCTGTAATATTTTTATACACGCATATGCGTACAAAATAATAAAAAAAAAAAAAGTGTATCTCTGTCTTTTATTTATTTATGTCCATACGGGCCGCGTTCGATAAAAAGTTTAAAATATAATACGTCGCGTATAATAACAACGTATGTGTTAAACGGAGAGAACAAAATAATTATCCGGGAATAAATACTTGTTATGTAATATAATTGTGAAAATATAGGACCGAGAGGACGGATTTTTTTTAATCATCGGTCCGTAGGGTTCGGTTAATCTTTAGCCGTCCAGGACGTTGCCCGGGAGTGCACTGCGAGGAAGCGATTTACCGATTGACGTCTATAATAATATTGTACGTCGACATAATAATTCGCTAATACGGAAACGGAGCAAATTAAATTCGAACAACACGCTTCCAAAATACATAATGACGCCATTAACGGTTCTAACCGAAGACTAAAATCTAGAAAGCTCACTTGGAGACTGGCCCGGAAATCAATTTCAGATGAACATACTGAATGGAATGACGAACGGAAATTTAGCAACATTGGCAAACCGAGCCTAACCGATGTTCCAACGAAGTGAGTCCCGGGCTTTGATCTCCCGTCTAG